CTTATAATCTACTTTGCTTCCAGTGGGTATACGCTTCAGCAGAGACAGACGTCAACCATGGCTTCCTCCGACCGTTACATGATATATAGAGCGAGTAGTGGTTGTCTGAATAATGTTCTCTTTATTTTGTTACCAAATCAATTTTCATTTTCCTGGATATCTACAACACGTTATCAATATCGAAACATCGTATCACATTCCCCTACAAATGTTTGCGGACGTAAAACTAACGGCATTCGTATTATTTGTAGTAATATGAAAAACCAGCAGTCCATGTTTTAATAGCTTATTTTCACACAATGCTTCAATTAACAATTTGCATGCTGAAACACACTTTGAATGGTGTTCGCATTGCCTTAATAACTTGTTTTGAATGCATAGCACCTGCATAAAACAACTGTCAGCCATTGGAATTTGAAATGGTATACTCCGAACTCTGGAAACGACTTCGCGTAACGTTTTGAATGACCGACTCAATAGTAGGTTTGGTTTGTCGTATAAGTTGAATACCGATCCAGTTACACATGTATAACTTTTTGTGAAAATTAATATTTACCGAGCTGAAGCTTGCGGTATTATATTCAATGCAGGTTAATATTGAAAAAAAAAATATCGTTCCTTGGGCAGAAGCCGTCATCTGAAATTATAAGGACAAAGTGCTATTAAGTCATAATAATGATAGAACGGTTTGGAATTATCTTCCAATATTTCTTGATTTAAAATCAGCATTCCACGGCCAATGATTTTTCAAAGAAGCCGATCGATGGATATTTAAAACAAGTAGTATAGTTGCCATACAAAAAATCTATACTTTTGAAATATATGTTTATGTATATCAATATAGGTATGTTCGATTAAGTAAGTTGATGTGCCTGTTAATACTGATTCACAGTCAGAATTAGTCGACGTGGTAGAATTCTGTACTTGAAAATATATTACCGAAACTAAGATAATTATTTTATAAATACCGGCTTTAGTAATGCGTTTAAAGACTAATGAAAGCTAAAATCAAATTATACTTTGAAATACAAAGACAAGATAGCATTTTACCACAATAGCAAAGGCAGATATATCACAAGAAGAATTAGGAAACAAATAATTTTTGCAGATATTCGTTATTCACAATACCTGGTATGTTAATGTATTCTTCTCTTGAATAATACAAAATCTTGGACGGAAAAAAAGGAAAAGCTTATCCCACTTTTGTGATACTGCGCTGCATTTTCAACTATTGTGGGATATTTCCAGACGCAATTGCTGCTGGTAGGAGTAAGAGGTCAAGGCCGATTCCCAAATGTAAACGTATTGACGAATAACTACCATGTTGGTTGTGTAGTCACTGATTATTCTGGTTGGACTGTCTATGTGTTCGGCAGAATGACATCGCTCCCAGGTGATTGTCTAGAAATTCCATTCCTTTAATTAATATAACTTGGGGACATCATGGTGGGTGACAAATGCGATAAAAAAATCTACCTTTCAGTGAACTTGTGTAAACCTTCATTTGATTGAGATTGGTGTTGCCGTTTCCTGCTGTGCTGGTAAATGATTACGTCTTTCAGTATTTGTGTTTTCAGACGTTTGTTTCTCTGTGCTGTGAGAATGGATAATTATTCCTAATTTTCCACCTTCATCACAGGTATGATATATTTTTTGTAAGTATCTACTCATCCATGAAACATGAGTAACAATCGGGATCACATTTCCGATATTTTATCGACAACCCAAACACCGTTAGCTGTACCGTACTGTTTCGGATAGTTGATATATACTCAATCATGGATACAATTTAACTCAATTCTAACATTGGTTTACTGTCATCATTTACTATAAAGTAACTGCTACGTCAGTATTAATCCTGTATTCATCAAGCTATGGATGTAAAGAGCAAGCTTTCATTGTGTCACAATGGCTTAACTGATATATGTTTTATGCAAATGATACACCATTGAGACGCCGGTGATTGCTCCGGAGAACGAAAGCGTTCCAGCGTTCGATCAAACAGAGACCTGTGTCTGTCTGGTAGCAGGAGAACCTACGTTGATCATAACATAACCTAGAGATGTATTTCAAAGTTTTTATTTCTATAATTTATTGAAATATTAAGTTATCTTCGTGCATCTAATATACAATATGTGCACAAGTTGAAGTATGCTTTCCATTGTAAAAAGGAGACGTGGTGTGTTTATTTATGATGTTCAGAGGTCAAAACCTATTATTAACATTATATAAAATAATTTATTTTATTTTGAATGGTTATGATTAGGTTCATGAATATTCATGTGAAAAATCACGTATTTAGAATCGGAATTTGTCTAAACAGTAAGATCTTTTCATTTTTGTTGTAAACTATTATTGGTATAAGCCGTCAATATTTCATAAGGAATTACGGTCACTAACACTGATATATGAATCATGTAAATCAACTCGTAACGAAAGGAATGAAGATCGATAAAATAAAGTTTACTAATTATAGAAGATTCTGTTGCATGGCAATATCGGCAAAAAATTTCCATGATTTCAAAACAAATATTTTTCACTGTTTATCCATGAAATATTTAGCTGTCACATATTCATATTTCGCCGTTCAAAAACTTAAAAATAATTGTTTCATAAGATCGTTGTCACTTTTGGCCGAAACTCTATTCTGAAGGATGATAATTATTTGAGTTATAAGTTAAAGTATAGAGAGCCCACATCATCCTCTAACGTAGTCGGAAGTGTCTTAATTGAGCTTCATGTTATTTCCCGAATGCGATCTTGCTTTCGAGTTGGTTTACCAAATTCGACAAATCTTTCTTTTTCCAACTGTGTGATTTCTTAATTCATTTGTTGTCATTGTGTGCTGGTATTTATTTGTCTTGTTTACTTGACCATTATATCTGTGGAAATTGAGTAAACTGTCAATTGAACTTTCGTTTCTGCTATAATCATCTGGCATGCCTTGACATATTTGTCATGCACAACCTTGATCCAGTAGGCAAAACGACGTCATATTTACCTTAAAGTACTGGACATACAACTGTTGTGAAATGTATCGAAAACTATTTTGTTGCGAAAAAGAACGTCTTAAGTAAAATTGAATTATATTGAGGGTGAAATCAAGATAATCATAAAATATTGGGTTTTTCATTTGTTTTTTTGAGTTTGATAGTAAGATCTCCCAGCACATGTTCGGATATAACCATAGGAGATAGCCATGCCTCTGTATTGATTGATTTTGTTTTACTTTCAGTTTAGAGTTTACAGCATAACAAAACTAGATAAAAATGCTTTCATTTTCTGTTAAGATAAAAAAATTATCATCAATCATATATACTTACCATAGTTGGAAATTGAGGAAACAGCTACATCTCGATCGAGTCCTACAACCAAACCACATGGGAAGAATGATTTAATGATTTCGTGGTCATTCCCAGTTGTTCCATTTGTCAATTTTACGTTTAAATTCATATTTTATTAAACAACAATTTTCCTTGCTGTATTCCCATGATAATAGGGTTGCTATCATAGTGATTTTCATTATACTCTGCAACTCTGATTTTTGTAGAGAGCGAAATTTGGCTCACCATGATATGTTATAACTTGCATACGTTTCGAAGTAAAGAGAGAGTTCAACTTGCCTCACCACTTTATGTTATAACTTAAATACATTTCGAATTAAAGAGAGGGTTAAACTTGTCTTACCACTATATGTTATATCTTGAATAATGTGGAGTTATAACAGCGTGTTAAACCTGACTTACCACAAATACACTGTTATTATTATCAACTAATATATAGTTAAACCTTTGTTATATGTTGTAAGTCCCAATGAAGTCGAGTTAACATAAAGTTCAATTTGTCTTACCACTACACTTAAAACTCGCATTCCTGTCATTTCCTTACATGTTTGCATTCCCTCGGTAACTATCAACGAAAATATTCTACATTCTACAGTGGTTTTTTCACGGTACTTTATGGCAGAACGTGGTAAATCGTGGTGAAATCCTAGAGCTAGAACCACTTCAGATGGTAACAATTATGATGTAATCAGTCGATTGTAGAGAGTTAAGACCTCTTGTGTTATAAAGCTGTGATGTAACCATGCTATCATAGAGAGCTTAGTCGACTTTTTCACAGTAATCCTCGAGCGCCAAGCTTGTCTTCTAGTCGTGGTACTACCTCACTTTGTCACCTGGTTATCTAGGAAAGGCCAGGCGTAATTTTTCCTTATTGTTACTTCATTTGTCCCGGACTAATAATGCACGACATTGTTATCAGATCAGTTGATTACACCAATCAATACACACCATCATTACACTCTGGAGACACCCTAAGTTGTTTACAGCATCAATATTTCAGTTAGGCACATCGTAATGTCAATGTATCGTCGAGGTCAAGAGTTCTATCTTTGGAATCACAAATGACTTTATTTCCTTTTGGGTTTTTTACAAGTTACAGTTACGCCTCACTTCTTGTATGCCGAGAGCGCCGTGATGTCTCCCGCTGCCGTGCCGCTCTGTAGGTCATCCATTCCTTGTTACTATTACAGTACCATACACACCGATCGATAATATGGTAATAAGTCGTTCATTAATCAGGTCACTTTCATACTGATCGCATCAGGAAATGGATTTACAGTTGGACTAACAACTACATAGATAACAAAAAATAGGAATTATAGGTCTGCTAGTTTTTTACCCTTTCGAGCCTGCGATAGCCATGATCATTTCACGGTAACACATAGCAAGCCTATTGAATACGTAATGAAGCTTTTTGGTACATAATGTGTGCACCTTTATGTATACATCGATGCATTGTCTCATACGTACCATCTAGGGACTCATTTACAGTCGGCAATGTGCGACATTTAAAGAGCGTATATAGTTAGAATGTTTGCGCTGGGACGAATTGGTAAATGAGTTCATCTTTGTCCGGCGAATCACAGAGTTGCTAGAACGTCTCTTTAAACTATGAACATCATATTTGCAGGTTCCTGTGAGTATTAAGAATTGGAAATGGCAGAATATCACATAGTTAAGAAAACCGATGATGACGCTGATGATGATCCAGGGGAGCCACAGGTTATCATTGATGCCGGACATTCAAAAGGTTCTCGATCAAATGGTACACATCCAGAAGGAGACGACGTATTTGTTCTGATCGGAAATGACGTCGATGATGACGGTTCTGATCATCCACAAGACGGTAACATCGTTTGGGACAAAGATGACCTGGCCTGGAGCTATCCGAAAACGAAATGCGAGTGAGTATGCAACTTATATATGACAAATATATGCACATCAATTCTTATATACCATGTGTATCGAATTCATATATGCATTGTGTGAGCCTGTGCATATCTTGTAAACGCAATGATGTTGAAATATTATGTATTATATTATATAACATTGGAAACCGTATATAACTGAGTTTCCATGTACAATATATCAATGTGTTTTGAAAACAAAATGAACTTTGAAATTTATCATTAGTAAAATGTTGTAGTTATCACAGTCTGTATAGTGTAGATACATTTATGAAATATTTTAATGACATTATTTTCACAAATCAAGTTAATAACCATTCTATTTATTTTTACCTTGTGAATGTAACCATTATCATGTTATCCTGTATGTTACCTTCTGAACCTGACCAGTAACATGCAGTCATGTATTTTCCAGCCGGATACGATTACGGATAGGTTCGGTAATGGAACATGTATACTTCAGGATAGGTACAATTCTTCTCATTCTTGTCGATATTGGTGTAGTCATTGCTGACCTTCTCACTCCGGACACTGTCCATTACCATTTGGCACTTGGAGTCGTTTCCAGGGTCATCATCAGCTACTTCGTTTTGGAGATATTTCTTAGGATGTTTTATAAAGGGTTGGTATTCTTTATTGTTATATAAAACAATACAGATACTGTTACAGCTTTACCTACATATACATTTTCTGGATATTAAGTTATCGAAACCATTTGTTCTCTGGTTATATGTAAATGCATATATACACTGCAATGCAATAAACACCTGTATGGTATACTGCAAAAGATATTCATGAAAAAGCATGTTATCTTCTTTGGTTTCTGAGTGAGAAATTTACCTTATTTACGGGTTTTGTCTTCTATAAAATAAGCATTGATTCAGTATCTTTACAAAATCTGTATCTAATTTTAGAACATGTGGTAGATGGGTTAGTGGTGATAGGTGAACCGTGTTGAATATAGCATGCTATGCTGTATCATTAAAAAAACACGCACACACTTCTTTTTATTGTTTCAGTAACAAATTCTTCATGCACTGGGCTGATATGTTGGACATGCTAGTAGTGTTTGCCACCTTCATCATTGATCTTGCCTTCAGTGACTACGCGAGGTTAGGACAACTATATACATTTTCAATTAATGATCGGAAAATCCATAAAAATAATCCCACTACCGACCACAAACTGTCCTAGGGCAGTGTCGTGTTACTATTTTATTTTTCTCTCGGTTATTAAGTCATAAATACCTCTGAAGTAGGTAAAGAAATAAAAGCATCACAAAAAACAATGATAATGTGGAAGAAAATTAGATTAACTATTGTAGAGAATTTATGAGAAGTAATAATTGTCTTAATAAGCATCAATCTAAAAGTTCTGACACCAACGAGCTACACTTAAAAGGTTTTATACAAATCAAGCTTCCATCAAATTTTTTTCCATAGCATATTCTAACCTGATAAAACCTAAGTCGATATAGAAAATGTACAGAAATTCGGTATCGACCAAGAATGTTATTGGTTAATGGTTTTCTGTGTCATGTATATTAGCTTACAATGTTGAATAACGGTTATCAGTTTGAAATGGTAATGAGATATTTTATAAATGCAGACTTGGAGTTGCCGGACGATTTCTTCGGATTATCCGGATAGCTCGTGGGATTTACATAATGTCATCCGAATATAGACACTTTCAGCAGGCCACAGCCCGAATGGTGTCACAAAACAAACGACGCTACCGCAAAGAGGGGTTTGATCTTGACCTTTGCTACGTAACTGGTAAGTCAACCAAATAATTACCTTGACATCATCTGAAAGAAAAAAGGTTTTCATGACCTAACTTTGAAATACATGTACATTACTTTTAATGACGTATAAGGGATTAATTAACCTTGATAAGTTACCTAACAACTATTCATAACAGCAAATGAGATAATGTAGGGATTTTACATATTTTTGTGAGCAGTAAGTCTTCTCAGCAAACTTACAACTTGGAAATAAAGTCTAATGCGATAGATGTAATAAAAGTAAAAGGACGATTAATTGATTTAGTGTAAACTGATATTGGTGCGTGCTACGTTGCTAGCTAGACATGGTCTGATACTTATGGAGCGAGATGACTTAACAAAATCAATCACAGATAAGATATTACTTTACTTTGCCTACAAGTAAAACGAGAGAGGCGTGAAACAACATTGTATGATAAGAGGCAATTTTGCCTCTTCTTTATGACGGTATTCATGTTTGCAGGATATTAAACCCAGTTTCATTACCGACTATGTACATATACATGTAGTTACTTTAACTATGCCACCTGATGAGAAATTTCAAGTTGGTGCTCGCTAGAGATCAGGTAATAAACAGAATTGTACAACCGAAAACCTTATCTTCAGTTTAAAAACTTTAACAATTAAATGTCCAAGGAAATTGCACTATCCTTTGCTCTTGTGTGTTCATAAAGCATTTGGCAACAATATTCTATTAGACGAAATCGAGGCTAGGAGATTTTTTTTTAATTAGGCAAATATTTATACGCGCTCTAGATAAAGTATACACAAGGTTTATAACGATTATAAAAGGACAAGCCGAGAAACATCTGTCTAAACACTTGTAAAATAACAGCATTCGAGTTGAATGATACATATCTTTTACGTTGTAAACTGGTAGTCTACTTTGGTATGTAAATAGCATATCATATGCTTTTATGTAGAACACTGTTTAGGAACATAATACTGCATATAAATGAAAAAAGCTTGGGATTGATAATACCTGTGGAAACTATGGGCTATTTATTCATTATGAACAATGCGCATTCTGGTCTGAACATAATTGGGACTTGGTTGACTATATAATTTGTATATAATAGACTATGTACATTTGGCACATGTATTTCATTTACTCTGTCATTCACTGATGAATACCGAACAAGGAACCCTTGTAATTGATACATGAACGACTAAACGCTCCTGATATATTTTATGGCGCATATTATTGGTAAACATTTTAAAAGGTTTATGCCATGTATATCATAATTATGTAATGAACAATAGATCCTTAGAACACAGCTGCCTTTATATCATAAGTACAGTGTGGACAACATTTGTTCATAGTTGGTTATCAATTTTTGACGACATTAACATTGGAATACAATAGGTTATTGATGCAGGAACTCCGATATTAGTTATTGACTAAGCCATAGAAATTGTTGCTGTCGTTCTTACTTTTTAATTTTATATAAGTTTATATACAGAAAATAGGAAATTATTATAATGAAAGAAGAAAGAAAATTTGATAATACAAAAATATACAACACAACATCAGCCAAATGTGACTATGTGTTAAACACACTGAGAATGATATTCAGTTATTCTTTCCATATCTGATTACAGAACGAGTCATTGCTATGTCATTCCCTTCAACTGGCGTACGTGCTATGTACAGAAATCCAATTGGAGTGAGTATTTTTTTAATGCTGACCACAGTCACAACTAAATCATCACTTAGCTATGGCACTTTTATTTGCGTAGATCTTATATTATATATACATATATACATGTTAGGAGAATATTTTCTTTTGATCTACAACGGTCATACTTGCACAGTCTGTTGTATTTATTTCCTCTGAATACTTCGAAGGCTTGCTTTGATCTTTTTTGATAATTTTGACACTAAAACATCGAAACCCAAAACAGCTAACTATAAATGCAAGATTTTTAGTGATCGATTTCATTGAACAGCAATAAAAATCGTATTAAATTCTTGATAGAAGATAATACTATTTATCTTAATAAATTGACGTAGCTGAGAATCGATTATCAATACCTACTTCTGTTATACGGCAATAAATAACAAGAATTTCTACATCCTCTAACGTAACTGTATGATGTAGTTAAAATCATTATTTGTTTAGCCTCCGGTTCTGATTGTTGAATTTAATGGTGATTTCAAACAGAGATGTTAATATAATTAATTGTTTAATAGAAGGAAATAAAGACAATACGTTCTAGTAAATAAAGGTCAGAGAAAGACAAAGACCAGGTTGGTTATATCTATTAAGAGAGAGGATAGATATCCCTTAAAAGTAGACCCATTTCATATGCTCCATCTCTGTCATGATGTACATTATACAATGTGATATTTTGTTATAGTCGGAACATTTGAAACAATTAGTTGTAAGTATATGTATTGTGAAATCTTCTGTATTCATCCTTTACAGCGCACCATCTGCATTTGAATGCGATTTTCTGGAGTATGACAATCCCCGAAATACACTCTGTACCATTGTAGACGAGTGTTGCCTTTTTCAGATAATCCATCCACTGTGGAATGAACGAAACACCGAATGCTGTTGTTTACCCTCCTTGACACAAATTAGTGGTAGATCTAGTTACCAATAACCTAATCAATAACACTCTCTGTAGTATTTTAGACACTTAAACATACATGAGTCAACGTATTCGCAATGGTATTATTGAGCCTAATGTAGCACTGAAATTGGAATTATGTAGATATATCTGTAGACAGATATATTTGAATTCAAGGCCACAAGGTAACAAGAAAGAAGAACATATCACATTTTTAGATCAGCCATGGTAAATATGATAACGAAAATGATTTTGGTAAAATGTGTTCTCTATTTTAAAAAAAAGGTCTCTTTCAACCGAAACAGTTACCTCAAACGTGATACTGGCACAAAACATTGTAATATCACAAGATTCGTGACAGAAAGCATAGCAATTTGCTAGAACTGATTGGATTTCTGTGATCAGTTATTTATAGTTAAAAGTAAATTGTCATGTTATTGATTTCGTTTAACTCTGGTGTCACGATCTCAGCAGTAAAGGTCACGCATGTATGACCTTTGAATGTCAACAATTTGGGAAAACTACGAAACAATATGGAAAGTTTCACACTTTTTCTGAAGTTTTAAATGACCATAAATATGCCAAAATGCTTACAAATGCAATATCTTTTATCTTAGCTACTCTATTTAGGTGTGATGACCCATTCCTTTCTGGAACACCTATTCGTATTCGCATGCCCCACTCTCCAATATTTGGCTGTCATAGCCTCCTGTCGCCTTATTCTGATAAAAATAATTTATATCAGCTCTGGAAAATATAAATGATAGTATAAAGTTACGTATGCCTTCAAAAATTATAAAGTAAAACCAAACAAACACAGGGGCAATTCCATCAGATGCTATATATTGATATTAGAGAGGTTTGAAGAGAACTCGTGTTAGGATTACAAAAAAACAAAGGCAATTTTGTAATCCAATTGTCGTCATCAGACAAGATCAATCTTTGTAGGGCAGCGATAACTAAGACAACAGGCTATTGGCCTAAGCAAACTAGCGTGAAGATTCAAGTGGTGTATTTCGACGCTCTGTATCCGTTGTGAGTTGTGTAATTCCGGAGAAACGGACATGTCTGTGTGAATTGGGTCCTTTTTTGGTCTGGACACTTAACCCCTATGGCGCCGGATGGCATGAATTTGATATTCTCCATGTCTTTTAGTGCTGTAGCCACCAGCTACATTAAGGAGTTTCCTCCATAAAATGACCCTAGCTGTTCACAAGACGACAAACTCAGCAAACGTAATAGATAAAGATAAAAGATAATCTTCGTACGAATAAAAAACCTCATCGTTAATATCATCTTTCTCTTAAAGTATACAGCACTTTTTTGTTTTAGAGAAACGACGCATTTCTTTTGACTTTGTTTGTACGTTTACTGTTTTGTTGTTTCTATCTCCTCTGATTCTATATCACCCTATATAAATCCTTATATCCTTATATACGAAGTATCCCTTTTCGTCAAGTAATAGGACAAAACAGCAACATGTATTACCTATACTGCAAAACTTTTTCTGAATCTTTCGCTTTTATCCTCTCTGGTTTCCAGAACTTTGTCTTGTTTCTGTTACGTTTTGATTGGTTTTCGGTTTGTCCTCATACATTAACAAATAAACATATTATTTTTTCCAGCATATTGCCTATACAAGGAAATAGAATATATTATTAAAATGTTACATCATTTGTAATTTGTAAAATTGATGTTAAGAATTTCTCAACTATAGCACCTTTTGGATAAAATTCTTTGTTTTATACGTTCAAAGATTTATGCATTTCTGTTGTTCAGTTTTGATTCTTATTTGTTTCCTAATGGTTGATCTTTCTTGAAACTTACATAGACTTTGCATGACTGTCACCAAATTAATTAACATTCATACATTGTTTTGATGTAAAGATATTCGAAATTTGTTTTCTCAGAGAGCTAAAATATTTCATTTATTGTGTGAGTCGTTTCCTTCTTCATCGTTGAAACGCACGGAATATGGAATTACAATTTGGTATTGTATCAACGATCTGCAGTAATATCACAGACGTATCCTTTTATGAAGGACTATAATGATTACTACAAGTTACCATGGATATAACTTACAATGGTACCATATGTACCGTTTATTTGTTTTCAGGATGCTGCAACTGGCGGGACATAAGCATTGTTTAAATTGCATGTCTATCGGACACATGATTTATTAAAGAAAACCGTTCTGATTTAGAGTGACTGGAATTCTTAAATGACAATGCATCATTTCTCTCTTTATATTTAGGTTTATGTCTCATCTTCATCATTTCAACTGTCTGTCTTAACGTGTATACATTATTTGCATTTATTTTCATTATTAGACATATTGTAACTGTGTCTATTCATGCTTTCCGTTTAATTTTGCAGGCAGTTGCTAAATTTCTTGACACCAAACATACAAATCATTATCGTGTCTACGATCTATGTAGTAAGTAACTTATATAATCTTTTGAAATTAATATTAGTATTGATGATTTCAATTAATACTGTCATTTATTCAGTATATATTATTCTTAATAATCAAATACAATACAAACCAAGCCCGATTTCTAACATCGCAAGAATTTATGTCTAAAATGTATGTTCAAAAATCTCATTTTCATTTGAACGTTAATGCTTATCAGCTTAATCCTCGTGGGCCATCACAAGGTTAGAATGTTTAATTCAAGCTAAATTTAAGCTAATTATACATTTTCTTTTAATTTATAACGTTCAAGTTTAGAATATTTGTTTCTATAATGATAAGATAAAGTACTTGTTAGACTACTGTTCAGGTTGGGCAGGGTGGACGGGTGGTTAAGTGGTAATGCAATCGTCTGGGCGACTGGGGTTTGATTCCGGCCAAGGACGTGAAAAAGGTATGATATCACCTGCTTGACCACGTGGGTACCCCCTCCAAACTAATTGATATGATTGATTAATATTGATTTATTGCCGAAACCTTTGTTAGCAGGTCTTTGTTTACAAAGCATCAGTAAGTAGTCTTCAATGTTCAAATGTTCGTTCTTACTTTCATATTGCATTGTTTTAAATATCGAATTATTACAATCTTACTGAGACAGTTTAGGTGTAAATTAGGGCATTTATTAAATGAATGAAAGTTGCCAATTATGTGTTAATGTTTTTAGGTGAACTGAATTATGATCGATCGATATTTCACAAGCAAGTCCGGAAAGTGAAAATTGATGAACACAACGTCCCCAGATTAAAGTAGGTTTGTCAAAATACATGTTAAGGCAACAACCACTTTTTCGCAATATATACTTGTTCATTTAAAGTTAACACTGTCGTTAAAATATACCATTTTATTCCACTATTACAATGATTGAAATCTTTATATAATCGAAATATATGTACGAATGAAAGTTATCACGCTAATGCTCTAACTTAAATGGCGCGTCACTACAATGCCAAGGGATCACGGATTCAGCTGCTGTGATGTTATTGTAATGTGATTTCCGGTTTATAGAGATATGATGGCATTCTGCCTTGATGTTCGAGAGTGGCTGGCTGCAGATGACAAAAACGTAATAGCAGTTCATTGTAAGGGTGGAAAGGGTCGAACAGGAACCATGATATGTACCTGGCTCATACACACGGAGTTGTTCAACGAAGTCCAGGTATTTACACTTATCATTCACTCTGATTAAAAGGCTCCGTGTAACGCATGCTATCGATCGCTTATAAATAATACTAGGGTTATCCACGGTCCACAGTGAATCATATTGTTTTATAGTCATGATTTCAGTGTTATTTTGCGACAGAAAACACATTTGTACCTTGTGCCATGGGAACCACGTATTGTCATGATCTGTAATTTACCAGGGCTCATTAGTAGGCTAATTTGAAATAGATCCAGATAGCAATCATAAAACTTAATATCTATACCTTGGGTAGGATCCAAAGCAATTTTCAATTAAGATGTAAAAATTGTTACGAATTATTGCTTTATTGCATATATATATATATTGCATATATAGATGTAGATTAAAACATCAAAGTAAAACAAGCGAAATAGATTGACAATTAACTGAAGAAACGAGTCTTACAAAACAAACTTGAAGGGACAAAAGAAAAAAACATAAAGCTTAAAAAACACAATCGGAAAACAAGAAACGAATTCTGGTTTTCCGGATCGATAAGGTTTCACGGTTTATAGAATTAAAGACAACATATCTGTCGATTTCACCGCACATACTGATAGGCATGGAAAGGATAGAGATACTATAGATGCATGGCAGGTCATGACTTTGGAATCAAAGCTTTGGTCTATGTATCGGAAAACATTTTCGCTCCGTCATCATTTGTCTTTTTTTGTGTTTTTATCGACATAAGAAGGTCAATACAGAAATGGTATAATTATCTTCGATTTTATATTTACACATACTTGGGTTCTTTGTGCAGGAACCTACTTTTTAACACCGCCAACGAATGTCGTTTGATTCCATTGATCAAAACGCTACAACATATTGATTGTAAGTGAATGAAGATCCGGTGTTTTAATATTCAATAGCAGAGAGACAAATCATTTGATATTCTTTTTGTCAGTTGTTCAAGAACACTAGTTATAGCCAGGCTCATGTTACAGTGCTGACAAGAATAATTAAGGTGTATTGGTTTGGTAGATTAGGAAATAAATTGTTGAAAGAGCTTTGACGTTAACACATTGAGTACGTGATTACTATCCTGTAACAGTACAGTCACATCAAATAAAATCGATCAAAAAGATTTTATTTGAAGATAAATGTTCCATCTGTTAAAAAAATATTTTACTCAATACGTCAGTGTATAGCAATACTATTGCAGTTCCGCTGCATTGTTTGAAGATGAAACATCACAACAGGCTGCACATGAGATACAGAAGAATTAAAATAGAGTTAAATTGCTATGCGCTTCGAGTCTTTGGTTAGAATATCGCCTGAGTTCATGTTGACTTCTCGTGTTTTCTCTGCCACACTGGCTATTATTAAATCTACCAATAGTACAATGCTTAAATTGTAATCCTTATGTGTCCTTTATTAACATATGGTGTCTGGTATATGTGTTGTTCATATTCCAGAAACCTCAAAATTTCCCGTCAATCTAAGATATTTAGGATAACCAGCTCGCACAGAACAATAACACGTGAACCGGAAGTACAAAACATGTACGTCAAACGTTGACAATATAGGTTTAAACTTAATAAGTTACAAAATTGTTGCATACTAAAGACGCGAATCTTTATCTTATATTCAAATGAACACCAAAACGAGTTGTTCTTGTTATTATTTATCTCACTAAGCCTAGAATACATCACGGGGTCAAACCATTGTTTATTACTTTTTAATGATGCATCACGAGTCATCGGTCTTCATATGCAAATGAAAAAGATGAAAAAACCGCTTATCGTTGTTATACAGTCGCGATTCATTTTGTCTTATCAAATGCCGAACACCATCACTGTTTTCTACGGATCATTTTAAATGCATATTGGAAATAGTGATTTGAAACTGTGACAAAGAGTACTACAAATATGAACTAAACATTTATGGAACAAAATCGTCATTAGCTTTCATAATTCACATTGAACATATATAGCAAAATGGGTTGGAAATAGGATTCATTAGTTTTTTGAGAAGAAAGGAGATATCTGACAAGTATCTCCTTTACGGTTTGACATTTCCTAAACTGAAGGATCAGATCATATTAATCTTCCAATCATGCTTTGTCATACTAAACCTACAATGTACATTGTGGTGTTGTCATGCTACATACGATAAACACACATTTATTGTCAATATCAACTATAGAAGTCTTTAATATGTTGGCCATATCTGACAATGTAATGTTACACCCAAGAACGATTCTTATTCACTGACAAGTTATCTGAATACATATTTTAAAACAATGTTTTGTCATCCCAATTTAAAACATTCAAATCTGTGAACGCTAATAGACAAAATCTACATCAGGATTAATGTTTATTCTTTTAACACAGACATTGTGTTTTTCAGCAAAGTCTAAACTATTTCGGAAAGAGGAAAACTGAATTAAATGTAGGATGTTTGTTCAAAGGCGTGGAAACTCCTAGTCAGGTGAGTGATATTCAAAGTTGAATTGAATACATTAGAGACAGAGAATTTTACTGAAACAATTACTTGATATTTTACTTTTTAGCTAATATAAACAAGAACAAGATATATTATGATGCCAACTAAAGATCAATCTAATCACCGTCGTGAGTTATTATTGAAATCAATAATAGTATGTAAGGAGTTGGTTTAATCTGCCATAATAATTTAGAGAAATATAAAACAAAGGGATACGTTTCTAAATATTTTTTATATGCATTATGCTTCACTTCATTTTTTTCGGACTACAAAGAGCGTTTGTAAATTTTTATTTCTAATTGTTCATCAACCTGGTTATGGCAATATTCTATTGTAATACAATTTGTGTTAACGAAACCTAAAGAATACAGATGAAATAATTTACCATGATATCAGATTAATTAGTTAAATTAAGTTAATGTTAATGTAATGTAATGCAATGCAAGTTGTCATTTTTTCCTTTGATAATATTTCAATTATTACGATGCTCTCCTAAGGTTTTGATTTGCACAAAGATAAACCCAATAACCTCCCCCTCCCTATCACCCCTCTAGGTTACGATAGTTAATATCAGTCTAGTCAATTCCAAACTCGACGAATATACATCTAGAATTTTGTAATTAATGCTGAAGCAAGTTATCTGAGGACATGAAAGGACGAAAGTTCCATTGGTTTAGATCTCCCGCTGTGCGTTTTTAAAAATGATAGTGAAATATCAAATACAAATGTTCTCCGCACGACCATTGCTGGCGTTTTGCAATAATAGAGAGCTTACGCAACCAAAGACTTGTTTAATGCTTAATCAATAAACATAAAACTGTGGTAGCAGCCCAAAACTCACTAACAGCACATTATCTCTCTATTTTAGTGCCGTTATATAGAATATTATGAGAAGGTGAAGTGGGAATTGGATTGGACCCTTCCTCCAGTCAAGTACTTAAAATTGAAGAAAGTTAACATCACCTCCATCAAAGGTTTGGTTACACTTCATGATAGTGAATTCAAATTCATTATAATGATGTAAAGAGACAATTTCGTTGTTAAAGTAAGGAACAAATCAATTTAATGTCGTTGCAAAGCAGCAAAAATCGTAAGATTGAGTTAAAGAAATATATATACTTCATTAAGAGGTTTTATGCCGTGATGCGGCGTCCGTTGTCTGTCTGGTCGACGCCAAAGTTATTTCCTTTAAATGTAATAACCAAAAGACAATGAGTCAACATATTAGAGCAGTAGGATGCTAGTATAAAGTGCTTTTGTGTTTATTCAAGGTTACGGAATGACGTCGATCTCCTTTCAAGAGTTCAAAATGTCAAAATACTTAAACGCCCATTGAATAACAAGGAGACTCAAATTGCAATATTATACTTGTAACATGGAAGCGTCAATATCGATACACTTTGCAAACCTTTTTTGTCGCCCAAGGAATACAAGATTAGCAGAATAAAACTATTGGGTTTCTTATGTTTGATGTTGGGAATATGATTATTATGCAAAAGATGCATGTAGCAATTTTGAAAGAAGTTAGTTTATCATGCATGTGTCACTTTGCTGTTACACCCTGTCTGTGTATTGGTAATAAAGGTTATATATTATGTTTCTTGTCCGGTATAGGTGTGGGTAAGGGAGATGGCTCAGATTTGTCCATGGAGGTATACGTTCCATCATCAGGTGCAGTGTTCAAGTGCAGCTTACACCATAACAATAAATGTACAGTAAGTTAACACCAAACATATTTCAGATAGACTGAAGCCTGGTGTTGATGAATGGATTTGCCATCTCAATTATAATGCTTTTAATCACTGTCACTTACTTACTCCCATTTATCATTATGGCACCATACCGCTAGTTTATTAAGTGTTCACGCCAATTTTGTGAAATGCTGTTTCTGATACAAATTTTCAAAATTATGTCAACGAGAGTTGCATGGTTATTGATTTTCACATACACAATTCAAGTGAGTGTTTGATATTCAGAATTAAAATTCAGTGAGTGTTATTTCCGTTCATGTGGTCTCCTTTTAACAGGGGATCCCAACGCTATCAGTACCTTGAGGAGCAAATTATGAATATTTCCATACACGAAACTTCTTCTTCAGTCAGTGTATACCATTTATTTTCTAATGGTTTTATTCTCCTTGTATATTTCTGTCCGTAGTATTCCCACTATAAGGATGAAGATAGAATTACAATACTCATTGATGATGAGAGTCCAATTTTGGAAAATGACGTGAAATTTAGATTCAAATCATCTTCGGTAAGTACCAAGAAAACGGTCTAAATATCATGCATCGAGATTGCGATATCAAAACATTTAATTGCCAATTTAAGAATAATTCTATGTAACTCCTAGTTTAGATTCACATTTGTTTACCTTAATTTACACTGATTTAGTGTTTATTCCAAACCGTTTTTATTTCCAGAAAAAAATTCCTCGGGTGTACGACAATTGTGCTTTCTACTTCTGGTTTTATACGTCGTTTATCGTAGACAACAGGTAAGTGCTACGTCATGACCTCATTGTACTATCAACATTTGCCTAAAAAAAACCCGCATTATGAAGGTTTCGTTTAAGTTTTTTGTAAAATCTCAAGCAATCATACAGTGCCGAGAAAGAGATGAACTTGGTAACCTAAATAAAAAATACATAAAAGTTAAATAGTAATAATAGTAGACAAAGAAAGGTTCTCGAAATTTCAAGCAAGTCTCACACACTTGATGATCTCTTAACTTATTTGGTACATAATTTCAAAAATAAAAAATGTATATCCAAAATGTTTCTGTATCAAATGTGCATTCTACTAAACCTTTGTCTTATGCAAAATACATATGTTATTGGTATTAATATATCGTAAAATGTCACTACATTTATAAGTTGAAAACGGTACGGAATTTCCATAAATGCTGTCCCTAATACTCTACTTATTGTGTTTGAAGATTGCATTTGCCACGAGACTTCATCGATAATCCACACAAGAGGAGGGCACAGCGTGTTTATAGGGAAACGTTTAGTGTCGAACTTCTTTTCGAGGAGGTGACTAACCCAGATATTGATAACGACGGCAATCAGTGACATATACAACAAGGAACTGGTTACTGGATATGTCGCATATACATATATTGACTGCTGCGTTGATGTAATGGTCCCATAGAGATATTTTACGGGTACGTCTAAGGTTTCACTCAAAAATCTAGTACCGTACGTTCATGTGGTATTGGACCACTCTGTATGGGTAGTAAGATTTGGACGTAAAATGTGTTAAAAAAGAAGCTTGTTATTCTTTGTGGTACAAAACGCGAGAAAGAATACAACAGAAAGAGGTATGACAATGATCATCATTAACACATGATTGTTGACATTGCTCCAATATGTGACTACTAGATCACCAAACCATGCAGACTAGGGAATACTTTACAAACAATATACCGATTAACTCGGTCATTTTTTTCTACATTTTTAATATTATTGATATGTTTCACTTTGTGAACGTTCCATTAGACACTTAAACCTTAACTCAGGACTGTGGTCGATGTTCATGTGTTTTGATGTTTATCCGACAATTATTGATTCTTGAACAAATGTCTGGAAAAAAACTTGTGTATATTTGTTCCTAATCCCGCTCACAACCTCTCGCTAAGAGACATTGTGAATGGATGTGGTATCACTATTATGACGGATCACATTTTATCGATATATATTTGTACAGAAAATTGTGTCAAATATTGTATGTTCTGTTTGTCTGTCCGTCCGTTTGTTTGTTTGTTTAGTTGTAATACATTACTCAATTATCTATCAATCCACAAATAACAGGTTAGAAAAAACACTAAACCATTAACACATAGGTTGATTAGTGTGATTAATATAAGATATATCCGTCTGCATCAGCAGACCTTTCGTAGTATCAGCAGAATTCCTGGCGTTCCGATTATGACGGGGAAACATTTTCCACAGTTAGCGTTTAAGCAAATGCATCACCATTTGCATCAGATAGGCACGGAATTAAAGTTGTTCATTTTCCATGCACAATGCACCTCCATAAACTGTTATCCAAAATGAATTATTTACAAACTGTTCTTGTGCTGATCATAAATCCTGGGTATCAAACAGGTTACTTTTTTATGAAGAAATGCATATTTAGTTATTTATAATTACAACTAAATTTAGAACAATGATATTTGTTTCACAACGTTTCAATCATATTCTCTATACATGATTTCCACAGATGAAGTGAGAGAGAAATGCGTTTGCTTTTTATGTGTATATTCAACTATCGAGCAACTTCATCTTGTAGATATAAATCAGTGAGTAACAGTCCCAAATAATTCTGCCTCTTTGACAATCGATCTTTGGGAGACTTATCGCGAAGATTATGCTCGCCATAACTTTCATTCCATTAAACTCAAATGACTTTAATTTTTTAAAAGAATTAATTTATCTGACATCGCATACAATATCACACATGTCGTAGATATTTCTATCGTGACTTCAATACCGTGCTGAATGTGGTTGTTGTTGCTGTCTATCAGAGCAGTATAAGACTATTGCGCAATACATCCGTTTAAAAGTTTATGTTGCTTATTTTTGTCAAATTTCCGTATTAACCTATTTTCACTTTAATTGTTTATATAACGATGCTGTCATAATTTTGATGAATGTGACCACCTATGTCTGAATACGACACGCTCACGATTAGCTCCCTTTATCTATGCACCGGTATGATTTTTATACCACATGTATGTCGTTATTGTTGTAACTTTACCATCAATTTATTATTGATTTCTTTCATTGGATTTGTTATATTGAAATAACGTTCGAATTTATACATATATGTATATATATTAAAATAATTTTAAAATCGATGAATAAATATTTCAATTGTGCATTGCCTTTAATTGTAAGTATGAATGCTACATTGTATACAGATAAACGCATTGCATGATGATATATCTTATTAAATACTAAAACAAGAGACTAACGAGACCTGAACCACTTAGGTAGAAAGACAGTGAATGTTTAAGGAAAACGATACCGGTGGCATTTTCACGAAGACATCCTAAATAGGATATCGAAATATAACAAAAAACATCATAAAATTGAAAATCGATGAGAAATTACGAAATATAAACAAATGAAAAAGATTTACATGAATATTCATGAACAAGACTGGTTATTCCGTTGGAAATTTAAGAGTATTTTGCAATCAAGGACACATCTAGTAATTTCACGTTTTCAAATGAGAACATTTTTCGTGATAACGAATCCTCCTGACATAATGTTGCCCTATGCATTATCACTTTGAAATCATGGTTTGTACGCTTATCTGTCGGTCGTCGACATCTTTTACAGAAATCGTGATAGTCACCTACAACAAGTGAGTAAAATTCTTTAAATAAAAAAAGAGGCCAATACGTCTTAACATTCATCTGACTATAAAGATCTATAGCTATAATGATAGTGGCAAGGCGAACAAAAATTACATAATTACAACAAGTTTTAATAAGGTAGTTTAATGTTTTAAAAATAGCGACCGGATTGGACTGACCCAAAACTCAAACTTGGTAAGAATCATCTCATGATAATTACAGACAAGATTGAACTAAATCCTTCATATTTAACTTAAATAAAAAAATTGTCGGAGGACGTGCGATGACGCTAGAAAAATAATGACTGCAGTTTATCCTGACCCTTCTGGTTAAATAACCTAGAGTCATCATTTCCTCACCGTCGGTAAACTGTATGATTCATTTAAGTAAGTTGTGTTGGCGTAAGTTGTCAGGAATATTTTAAATATCACCCTTGCAGTATTTATACAGCCCTTCTAGTAAGAAGTCTTAAGCTTTACATAAGGTTTTGCAATAAAAACATCGTCGCTTATGTGTGACAAGATGCCAGATATCAATTAATAATAATTTACAAGGCATTTGAATGTTCAGTTGTAATTGACTAACTAGGCATTTGTGGTAAGATAAAACTATTTGACGTCACAAACAAGAAATATTACAAAAATTGTTTTCGAAACTGATATATCAAGGTTTCAAGTTTCTTTGACACTCATAGCAACTTCCAGCGTTTGCATCTTCAATGAATACTTGACCATTGACTTTAAAAACCAATTCACATAGTAATCGGCATCCAAGACTTATTTCTAAAATAAAACTTGATTGGAAATGTAGATGCTGGACGGCATTTCATCAATTTAAGGATACATCTTTTTTCAGAAAATATTATTATTTTCCCAGCGTCGTAAAATTTACAAACACAGATCAACAAAATTTAAAAGTGTGGCTAGTAACAAAACACATAAGGGCTAACACAAATCTTAATATTAATCAATTTTAATATCACAAATATTAGAAAATTGTAAAAACTTGTTAACAACTTAAATATATTTAAATGGCAAAGACATCAAGGTCGGTTTCAGAGAACAAGAAACCAAAATGAGAGAATATTTGCTTTTAGAAAGTTATTGATCTCCTTATCAAATGTACGAAATCTAATAAAATTCATGGAGATGAGTTAACTGCCAAGATCACATGTACATTTGAACGTTCGCCCGGTTCAAAATCTAATAAATTCATGGAGATGAGTTAACTGCCAAGATCATTTGTACATTTGAACGTTCGCCCGGTTATTGTGACATTGTCTTCAAAACAACGAAATGAAACACACAAAAACTAAGACTGGAATTAATCAAGCACACCCCAGGGGATATAACTTTTACACACATTACATCTAAAAAGTGAACAAAGTTTCAACAACGTTTACAAGTAATTTAGGTCTTTAAGCAGTAGCATATATTGAGATATAAACTCGTTATGGTATACCATCTCGATACCATTTAATGACTTTTCCATTTTAAAATAGTTGAATAGCAATAAATTTAACTCCATGTAGTTAATAGCTCGTACATGTGAAAGTAATAGAAAACAGATGTTTAGAAAGTTGATTAAATCATCATTCGAGTATTATGATGTGCGTGCAAACATAAGATTCTCAAAACAACTATGAGTAAATACTATGCGTACCTGCACGTCCCTATAAGGACAGGTTTAATAACACCATCCGATTTTCTGGCATTTATTGACTAGAAGTTGACATATGATATATTGTAACTATAAATTAGTGGTTACTCTGTTCTTTCGAGACTCTAGAGGACAATTTTCATGTTAGGAGATATTAGCTTTCTGAACGATAATCTATTTTAGATCTTAGCAATCAAGATAGTCACGTAAGCAATAGAAAAATACCATGACAATATTTTCACTGACGAATCATGACCGTATATACAAATACTATAACTTTGACACAATTTTTGCTTCATATCAACAAAAAGATAGCTCATAAAAAATTGTTTTCTAATGGAGATTGTTCGATTTTAGACAAGAATTGAAGAAACCAGAAATACAATAACAGAAATATTTACTATGGCATAGTGGTACATGCCGAGAAAAGATGAAAACATATTTATGTTCTTCCCACCTAAATACGCCTAAATGCTGATGTTACTGAGATTAACAGCAAAGCGATCCTTATAAACCTTATAGAACATTCGTACTTTGTAAGCAACCTTAATGATACACGATTCAAATATCTTATGTATATTAGAAAAAATCCCTTTTCCTTCACCGTCGTCGCATGCTTTTTTTCAAAGTATTTGTTTATTGAAAACACAGACTAAAAACCCAAAGCGTTATTTCCAGATATAAATTCAAATATTTACCAAGACATTTTTTTTCATCAAAAGATGGATAATGATGATATGTTAGCTATTTGATTTCCTCAAATACACGTCATATCGACAAATGATGATATAAAAGGTGCATCTGTTCGAAAGGCGCATGTGGGATCTGACATAATCCAATGTATTGGAAATAAACATAATAATGGAACATTTATTTATACAAATGCAGTTAACAAATAGTGAATGGTCTACTCTTGCCTAGCTTAGCATGGAAATTTTCAGTTCTAAAGATTATACAAATATCTATTGTACAAAAAAAGGAGATGAAGATAGTTTACTGAGAATAATTAGCAGCGTAAGAAAAGCGACGGATAGCTGATCAGATGGCTCTTGTCAAATTATATCAAACATCATCAAACAACAAAACTACATTTTATAAACACGTATAAATCGAATGTAAAATTCGGTACAGTAACGGTTTAGGGTGCAGCAAACTATTGTTTCGGATCCCAAACTATTATATCCTAAATTGATCTATTTAACATGTATAAACAAAACAAAATTCATGGTAAATGTTTTGAAAAAAAGAGACAAATCCTAGCTTATTTATTCACAAACCACATTGTCATCAGCTAAATGTATGAAAGGAGAATGGTAAAAACATAAAGAGTTCAGGATATTTTTTAGTTACTAAGGAATGAATGAAGTAGAATTACGTAAAATGGAACATATTGAAATCTCACAAAATTCAACACACACACAAAAACTGGACAGGTATTCTCGTCAGTGATAAGTACTTTGACCGGGGATCACTTTAGCCGGTCGATGGTCAATGGTCTGTTGAGCGATCAGTGGACATTGTTCTGGTAAGTGTGCATCAGGCCTGTCATATATCATTTGTGTATTCTGTAGGCATGGTAATAATGTTATGCTACGATGAAATAACCAACTTTTAAATCATCACGTGACATCATCAAAACTAAGCATGACGGAGAACTCCTCTGTAAAAATCTTGTGAACTTTTTTCTTGTGTGGATTATCAAGTTCGTCACGTGGTATAAGTAATCTGTTGGAAAAGAGAAAAAATAATTCACTTGTCTTACTGTCTTACACTGTGTTGCATAATGATGAAGGTCTTGAAATTAACGAACTTTTCTGGACAGATGAGAAAGTTCAATAATACTGTAAATCAGATATATTCTATCACATCACTGGACTGTTTCACAGGTATATCAAACACGTTTGTATATTCGGTTAAATGAGGTATGCGTGTTTACGATTAGATTGTAATCAATTCCATAAGTTAATTAACTCGGTATATCAAAAAACAGTTTTCATTAATTTTTAATCAGATATTGGCACGACAAATCATTTATATACGTCATACAAAAGTATACTAATGGTGCCCCTAAAGATCGTTGATTAAATTAAGTACATATGAAATCTAATTAGCACATACCTATTATTGTGGATAAATGCTGTATGGAACCAGAAGTAGAATGCGCAGTTATCGTATCCCTTCGGTACATTCATCTACAATTAAAACATGAAGACATAATCAAATACTCCTTCACTGGCTATTTCCCTTCAAAATTCAAGATATTCAGAATAAAAATGATGCTAGCTTAATATCGCAAACATTTTGTATTGATAGATTTGTATCATTTGTAACTATTCTTATAAGATGAAAAAGAGCGCTTAACGTAACTTTTTGAGGAAATTTCGTTTGTGAACCTTTTTTGATGAAGTAGAAGAAGGCATGAATTGGTTAATAGCGGCAACAATTCTCGTTACTAAAGCATTTCTATTGAATATACCTCAAAACATCCTGGGTAGGCTTTAACTAAATTTTACATATATTCATAAAATAAAGGACTTACGTCCTTTTTCTATAGTTCCCCTTTCGAATGTCATATAGTTTTAATGTAATGAAAATTTAGCATCTAGACATTTTTTAATATCCAAGTAATACTTTTTTTATGGAAGATAAAATCCATGTCACCGCGAACATAAGAAAGAATTTTTCTATTCAAGATGACAATACGATGATATGTGAAAATTAATAATTCCTGTTACACATATGCATCAGAAAATGAAGAGCAGTAGCTTTTTCGCTTTTTAGTTGTTTTCTCAAATCTGACTCTTCAAAAAATCCTCACCAGAGGAAACGTTTAATACTGTATTTTTCATTCCACCACGAGTACATCCCTAATTGAATAAGTTATACTTATTGGAGTTTAGAAGTAGTTTAAAAAAACATTTGTCATCAGCTAAATTGCAGAAACCCGAATGAAAATGAGACATTTGAATAAGATATTTCTGCGCGATAAATATATGTTCTAAATGATTCGCATTAAGCAGTTTTCGAATTATTGATGTAAGACGTTACATGTACAAGACTAACAAATAAATGCATTACGAATGGGTTTGATGACTGACTTCATATGACACTTGTAATAATTATTGGTACTCACCGATGAACACGTAAACCTAACTTTCGTGTCTTCTAGTATTATGGGAGAGTTATGTAATGCCACCTCTATTCTGTTGTTTTCTTTATCATGTGTCAACTGTAATGTAAACATATTTGGTTTAATTTTGATAACACGATTAAGTGATATCACTTGAAAATAAATGTAAAACAGCAGTGCATTTTCATATAAAACATACCTATAAAATAATTTTAAGATGTGAAATCCTTATCCTTGTAACATTACAAAAATAGGCAACAACGGTATTCTATAAAGATACATGTATAATATTGAAAATATGATGTTTGTAAACGACAAACCAATCAGATCAGCGTAAATCGAAGTTCTCATGTTATAAAGTCTCAATTATCATCACAGAAAATTCCGAAGGATATATGTAAAAGAATAATACCTTGCAATTTTCCCCCTTGCCAAAGTTACAGTTAAAGGCGATTTCACGGCCGAGGAACAGGGTCATGGATAGGTCAGACCCATCGCCCTTTCCAACCGCTGAAACAAATACGTTAATATTGTGTAATCTACAGTATATCTAGAGCTCGCCAACAATGAAAATAGTAAAACAACTGACCAATTGTAAATGTATTTGCAAAAAGAACGACACAACAACATTACGGCTACCAGTATCTTAGCGATTTCCCTATGTTATTTTACGGGTTTTTTTATATGCAATTAAAAATTGGACAAAATGAACGTGTCGCGTCGTTTGTCGTTTTATAGGCTTCCAACAGACGAATAGAGGAAAAATCAAGTGTATTAAGTTAGTATAAAAAAGGAAATATAATACGTCCAATTTTGAAAACGCTTTAAATGCTACAAAAAGAATTGGATCGAAGTGCGTTCTGAAAGGAAAGTAAATCGGTATATAAAGACGATAAAATGAAATGGAATGCGAAGTTTTTTTAAACAAATCATTACCAACAAATGTTCCACAACATAGGCATGTTGGTACCATTTCGATTGCAATCAGTACTTTTATTCTGTGGAATATATACTGGATTCACGAATTATAACATAGATTTAAGAATCCAGTGGTAAACAAATTTAGAATAACTGAACTATTTACTACAGAAGCTGGTAACCATGGCGAAGTTTATTAAATGCATTACCAGGAATCAAAACCCATTGAATGGTCAGAATGCAAAGGATGTTGTGTTCAGTTATTTACACTGACGGCGTAGAAGCCACACTTAGAGAACACTTCAATCGATGAAAACGGCGACCGAGTATTGATATTGATGCAGAATCCCAAAGGATCGACAGTGGTTTTTTTTGCTAAGGGTGCGATCTTGTGAGCGGGTCTGACAGTTACAGTGTCCGATCGAAAGGTTAATTGTCATTTTCCTCACAAGCGTCGTGGCTGAGGAGTACGACTTACTACACTCTAATGGCTCTCACTGAAGCCTGTAATGAAATATATTAAATCATTCACGTAACCGTAGTATAAATTGTCCATGAGTGACCGGGATGTCAACTCGTTCGCGTACCAATCAGTCGAACCCTGATGACTTGCCGTTCTAGAGGCTGCTCTTCGAACGCGACATTACTTGTAACGCGTGTCATTAGTTTCCGGCTTAACGATGAATATACATTGTCCACGAGATATATTTTGTTAATAGGAAATGACGAGATGCATGCCAACAAGGCTTTATCATAATGTGCCGAGCAGACCTCGAACAGACAGGTCGATTGTTGACCCTGCATATTATACTTAAGATATTAACAAGTAATGTCTTACAGATTTTTCTTACATTAATACCACCAATACAACGCAGTGCATGTTAAGATTCATCACAAGGACTAGACAATTTGGTAACTAAGCTAGGAATACAGAAAAAAATACACTCTTTAAAACCAGATAATTCACTATTTTGCAATTTCTTACTGATAAGTTTTAACAAATCATCACAGCAATGGTACATATTCAGTTGCCCTTTAAATGTTTACCAAAGTATGGTACAGGTGATGATGAAAAAAACGACCTATTGAATTTGAACTTACAATGAACCTACAATCCATGGATGTTGGGTTTAACTCACAAACAAATTATACAATGCATTTAAATTTACATTGAACACATGTACATGTGACGGTATCACAGCCTTCATGAAATGCAAAGACGTCGTCGTTAATTACAGATAGCAACCGACATGTATTCTGTACCGATCTTCCACTTACTTTGAATTCCCGTGATAGTTACGGTAGATATCCTCAATTTGACAACAGCAGGAATTTGATTAGCATATTCCTTCTTCACTTTCTCATAGTAACCCACGTATCGACTCTGATAAATAAATTATTAGTCGTAATTATTTGAATGATAAAGCAGAAAAAACATACAAAAATCGATTTCTTTCAAATTTTGACTTGCTTCAAGTTGTCACATACTATTTCAAAGACACATATTCAAGTTAGGATTGCTCAGACGTTTGGTTAGAGTGAATACGTTTTGTATCAATATATCACAATAATGCGTTAGTTTGTTCTTCCGACATTTAAGTGTTTTACGACAAAAACAGATATACGATTCACACCTACAGTGCCGTCTGTTATAATATCTCTTTTCATATTTACAGTAAGATACTTATCTTGTCATGTCGCAATGCATGGTACATATCATGAGAGCCTTACAATACTTTATAGTGTAGTCATTACAAACAGTATTTGTAAATCGCATCGTTACTTGGATGACAGGTTACATAAACACTGAACAGGTTCCAAAATGGAAACTATTATCCAGCTGAGATATAAACCATGTGTACATAGTTTGTGTTTCAGGCAAACTCGACCTATTGATTTCCTGATACACAAAGAAGTCTTATCAACGTTACACAAATCAAACACACTAAGAATGATAACAGTTGTAATCTAAAATAGGAATTAAGATTCAATTGTGTTGATAACATAACAAACCTTTTTACTAATATTAATGTTAATATTTTAACAATCTTCAAAAATTCCAATGTCGCACTAGATGAATAAATATGAATGAAATCAAGCTTTAAATTTCCCTGCAAAGCTGTAAGCAGTGTACATTTTCGCGATATGAAAATATTCTTGTACGGATATCAAATTTGGTATTCAAGAACACAATGCTCGAATCAACATCACAACACAACCTTGTTCTATTTAAAATCCTGGGGAAATAATTAAAGACAGTAAAATTGCATCAAGATCGACAGTTGTTCAAATCAGACTTAATTTGGCATTTTTTATTATGAAATATCCAAAACTCACAAAATTTGTTAAGATACGGGTTAAGTACTCTTCTCCTTTCTGTTGTAGTAATTGTTCTATTCATTTCATTTTCCTAGCTACTTCAGCTTCCTAGAATTTCACGCTTTTCTTGCTAATAATTCTACACGAAAGCTATACAGTTTGTACTGTATAAATTTTGAAATAGGCATCGAATGTTACTGGTGACTTGTGCATCTAATGTATAACCAACTGATATATGACTGAAAATGGTTGTAATTGCGTATAAAGGTCAAATGTAGGTCAAGGTTAAACGGCAGTGTTTTGAGATTTTATAAAAGAAATCAAAGTTGAAACCATGATAAAATGTTTCTCTTTTTTTCCATAGGGAAATAAAGGTTTTCGTGAGTTTTATTTTTGTTATCTCTTTCGCGTAAGAATGACAAAGCTTTGAGACACGGGAAGGATAGTTAGTATTGGTGAATATCTATATATGTACTGGATTGTGCTATGTAGCCATCAGATATGTAGAATCAATATCACCAAGGCTAGTTAGAGTGTAAATAATTTACAAGTTTCATTAATGTCCGAGGGAACAACGGCCACACAGTAATAACCCCAATTGTTGAATTATACATACCGAAGACCTCTCATATATCTACCGCGTGAGTACGACAATGTGTAAATATAGATAGGGAAGATCTGTGATTTTTAGATGCATGGTAAGGACGATGCTGCAGACTTAATCACTCTACATTCGCAGGCAAATTACCAGAGAAGTTCCGATTGCTGTTATCGACAAATCAGCACAAAAATGCAAATAATGAAAAGTTGAGCTCATATTGAATAAGTAGAAAAAATCTATTAATATCCTTCAAATCTTTTCCAAGAAATAATGATATGTTAACCAATGTCTATCCTAGTAGAGAGATAACAAGAAGCATGCATCAGTCTTTTAGTCATTTATACAAAATTGCGGATGCTTATCTTGATAAACAGATCGGATGTCTGCTGTCTAGTTTATAGTTTATCCAAGTCTACTAAACGCTAAAACCTGTGAACAGGAGAGTAACAATTATTGATAAAATGGGCATAAGTTTTATGATAAAAACTCTCCTTTGTTTCGCAACAAGGATAATGAAATCCTCACTATCATAACACCCTTCCTCTCCTAATAAAACTGTACACGATGAACAAGATCAGTATAGGTGAAGCTGGCCACGTTTCATATTCGTTAGTTTGCTAGCTGGTTCCGTTTCTTTGAACCTTGTTCTCATTTGAGAACGCGACATTATTTCCTTTGATGCAAAGAGATTTACATGGCGGGTGTCGTTGATAAAGTAGATAATCTTACTCTTTCGGAGCATTCAGTCTTATTATCCTTGTTTATGAGTCTCCATGTAAACATCTCTTTTGTTCATAGTTTGCCCTATTTTAATCACATTTGAGTTTGGATTATGATAACGTTCACCTGTTTGGATTTTCCAGATGTTTTTAGACAAAATGGGTAAGGACAAAACTATCGATTGATACAGTTTTCTTTGGACGAACACGGTTTTAAAACGTGGCGTGTGAGATTGACAGCGGCGATACATTCCACAGTGTCATAGTATGAATCAATTAATGATTTGCTGAGTCATATTTACCTGACTAGGGGTTTCAACGCCCTGAAATGTTGATCCTACCGAGAGGTCAGTTCGTCTGCCCCCAAAATAATCCAGGCTTTTCTGAAAGGCATTATGTCATTGATAAGAAACTTTGACATAACTTTTATTCACAAAACATCGACACATATATTTCCTGATGTCTTTTCAAAAAGTAGTGAACTATTTTGTTTAGATTGCATTAATACAATAAAAAGTCTTCTCAAATACTGGCAAATTGATAAAGCAACAACTTGATGAAATGTCTTTTTTCTATGAAAAGAAAAGCATTTTATTGGCCTATTGGTGAGGATAGATGGTTGGACTCACCTCAGCCTCCTCGAACATCTCACAGTCAACAAGCCATGTACAGATCATGGTCCCTGTCCGACCCTTACCACCTTTACAATGCACGGCGATCACATTGGATTCGTCCTCAGACAGAAACACCCGTACGTCGTCACAAAATTTTACCAAGTCTCTGCAACGTACATACAATAAGTCCCTAACATGATATTCTACATATATAAATACAGAAAAGCATACATAAGGTCAAGAGGTTCAGATAATTGTTATAATGACATAAATAAAACATCTTATTTCCATTTTTGAATCTCAAAATTGGAATAACGAATATAATGAATCCCTAAACACAATACCGTTTTGTTTTGTTCTTTTATTTATTTTTATCTTGTATATGATATTAATTTTCATTTCAAGTAACCAAAAAGAATTTTTTATACGAAATTTGGAGCCTTTAAGAGGACACGCGTGACTCGTTAAACAAAACCATGGGTAGGAAGTATTGTGAGATAGCATACTTCAAACTAAAGCGGTATGCTTCTTTTGTTTATTATGCAAAGACAAGGCTCTATCTCAAGGTCAACACAACCGTCTATAGGGAATGAATTTGTTCCTGGACTTCGTAATTGCTATAACCAATGTCTGTACGCGACAGATAATTCATTAATTCAAATCGATAAATGTATGTATCACCATCGCGTCGGCTTTCTACATGTCAATGTGTTATGCTATCATCAATCGATCACTTTGCTATTACTTATCTTATCTGTTTCTTTCATTACATCCCAAAACGTGATGTACTTAAACTCATGGTTCTGACTGTTTTAGCAGATATCTGACTCAATATCGTTAACCCATATATGGTATATGAATTAGATAAAGCACGTATGGAAGTGATGTTGTCAGTTTCATCGCCCATGGACATGACACAGCGATCAATTATGTAGAACTACGCACAAAATATTCATATTCCTCAAGCGTCGCACGGATGCCACAAACCTTTTTTTTCAAATGTTCAGTTTTTCGCCGTTAACCAAAAGCCTGAAGTAAATATGATGTGCTTTTCACAGAAGTCATCAATAAAGTATAACATTCTCTATCAATTATTTTGAAAAATAATTCAATATTGCAAATAATAAAATAAATTGAATTTATGGGTTTGTGCACCTACAATTTTATTTTCACTTATTTTAATAGGTTTGATTTTCCATGGTCGGTTCCTATGTTTCAACAGTGCATGTGCAATTCATTGTATGCATTTTTTCGATGGAAAAATAAAGACAAGAGATGCTCATAACCTTTTCACAACCCCAAGCTTACTTAATACGCAACCAACGTCACTTTTCGATTCGATTTCAAAGCAATATAACGCGACACTAGGGAATATATGGCAGTATAAACCAATTCAACTGAACAATTTGAATCGACACGCATAAGACTTCAGACATGTACCGAACACTCGCATATTCTCACGTCTGGCATTCCTGGTTTTATCGCCTACAATGTCGAAGCAAATTTGCTAGTCTATGGTTAGTACTGGTTTTATCAGGACATCCTTTATGAAGTCTGACTGCAAAATCGGAACAGAGAGTCCCGTGAGATGAAGGATTTGGCGAAAATCTTTCTTTTCATTATATTATCCGTTATTTTATCGATTATGATAATGGAATATGGCCTGGGATTTTATATGAAGCAGAAAGTCACATATACTTGTTTAGGTGCGAGTTGGCATGCCCGATAGTTCCGTAGTTATTATTTTTGTATCTTATTTTAGAACGCAACACTTCATACCAAAATGGACAAATGAATCGATAAGGGGGATGTCATCAATGAAGCAAAAGACGCAAGCCCTTCTGGATCATCTGAATTTTATTTTCTTGGTACTTTAACATGGTTTTCGTTCGTTTATTCATATTCACGTTAGTTTCGTCGCTTTCGAATCGTCATGTCAATATGTTCCAGTCATATCTATTTCCTGTTATATGTTCTTAAGGGTTTACATATAGATCTTCCCTTTGATCAAATTTGCCGTATTTTCATCGACGTTGAACCGGATTCATACTTTTCTTAAATTGTGCTCTTGCGATTACGCTGTAACATATATTTTGGTAGAAAACAAATCAGACAAAATATCGACATGTTGAAAATGTTAATTCAAACACAAATTCGATTAAAGCATGGCAAAATAAGAACAAAAGAAATATCTACATATAGACATAAAGAGAATAAGACCAGGTTTCCCGGAAGAGTAAGCGTTTTTTGCTTCGTTGATGATACTCGCTAAGTTAATCTTTCAAGTTTTAATACTTACTCAAGTGTCGGGACGTTGTGATCGTCTATATAAACCCTTTCTACCATGTCGTGGAAGAGCTCGGTCGGGTAGTTACGTTCACCTGACAATGGAAAGAGCATATAATTGAAATAAAATTAATGTAGACCTAAAATTAATTTTCCGTTTTATTTCGTTTCATACCAATCAGTATATTTATTTCAAAAAATTATTTAAAAGTTATCAAAATACCTCTGATGTATATATGTATTTAAATAAATCGTAACAAATAATAGAACATTTGATTCAACACGTTTTTACCTATATCGCAATCTATAGATACGATAGGTAAGCATTTCCCAGTTTAAAATAAGACATTTAAATCAACTTGATTCCTTTAAAATTCTTTTCTAAACAAAGCAGGAATTACACATAAGATACTTAGGTTCTGTTTCATAGGAAATCATCAAAAAATATCATTCAAGATCAATTTATTTATTAAAAAAAAAATGAAAAAATCCATCAGATTACTTTAAGTAATCATCGTAACAACAGTTGTAAGATGTCATTCTTTGACCAAATAACAAGGATAAGATGTTGGGATGAATTCTTTTCAGGGGTGAGTATTCAGGCGATAAGTTACATATTGTTTATAATTTAAAGCAGATGTTGTGTTGTACGTAGTAACACTTTGGATACGTGCATATCGCGACGCGCGAAGCAACGTGCAATTCTGCCCAGATTGTGAATCTATACTTAGTATGTAGGAAAACTTGCGTTTGTCAAGTTGTCTCGGTTGTTGATTATCTACCTCCACCGCAAAGAACTAGGGCTGTTTTTGATTAGTGTATATGTCTACGGCATTTGGCAACAATGGAAATAACAAATACAGAAAGAAATGTGAATGGTTTATATCAACTGCTCTACGTCGATACAAAACAGAAATGCATTGATTTGATCACACATCTAGAATATCTCACTATCATAAACATTACGACTTTTATGCCATATGATGTGTCTGCACGGGATGCCCGCCATCATTAGCACCACGTGTATACTGTGGAGGTTACCAAAGACAGCTGTGGCATCTTCTCGTATCGTACTTGCAACAGGTGTAAAATGCATGTGCATTACATTGATGTATGTGCAGTTCATGCACTCTTTTTTACGAGGCATGTAGAAGAGGAAACGGATCATTTTCGGTACATGAATGGTGAGAAGACAAAAAACGAAAGCGAGAGGCTTTACTCCCATGAATACATAAATATTTGTCAAGAAACATGCACTTTTACAACTGTATGATAAGCTATTATTATTAACTTACACAGGATACCACAATGAAAGAGATGATATTCAACTACAGGTTCATGACACTATGCAGATATATGTCTCTCATGTATCTCATTATTTACACAGGGAAAACTAAATATAAATATTTGTCTCCTCGTTACACATAAACACGATAGAAAGCACGTGAATACAAAATAATCAGAAAATTCTTCCGAACTCGTTTTTTTTCCATCGGACACGGACTGATCGAGTAAACAATGAAGTCCATTATAGTTGAGTGTACTTATGATACAAAACCGACAGAAAGATATAATAAAAACTCGTTGTTATTCCCCTAACAAATTATCCTCCGCCAAGAAACTGCCAATCAACACCATAGCTGGTGTAATTAACAAATAACTCCGCACTAAGTCAATAGCCCAGCAGTTTGGAAAATGAAAACGGTAGGTGCTAGTGAGGAATGCCTGGTTTACGAGTACATCCCCTCAACTCTTCACATAATTCTCATGATACGAAGGCCCAGTGATGACTAAAATGTTTTCTTTTAGTTTGATTCTTGATAAATTATTATTGATTTTTTTGGTATATCTAATATCAATGTGATGATCACACGCTGAATGTAATATCCTTCGTAAGTAATAACCGCTTTACCAATATACTTCGAACAGCAATATATAGGGTAAAGAAAAAAAACGATCACCCAGCATTTTCATTATGATGAACTAAAGTAGAATTCATCTGCCGTCATAATACTAAAACTAATATATTACTTCTCTCGAGTCTGTCACAAGAATAACATGAACTAACGAGATAGATTTGTAAATCTCGAGATGTCCTAAACGGCAAATTATAAAAAGTAAATGACTTCCATCGAACAGATAAATATTTTTTATAAAGATTACTTCTGCAAACGAATACAGCCTTATATTACCATCGACACGACTTACTGGAACCATCTCTCGTAATCGCTACCGAAATAACTCACATAATATTATCAATATGTCATGGTGAATCCTTTAATCGAACTGGGAGAAACAGAAACAGAACGCACCAAAGAATAAACATAGCCAAACAGTTATACATCATACAAATACGTTTTTACATCGAAAGTGATTTATGATATTCATTTTTACGGCGAGTTTAAACATCAATTTTAGCTTGGTGTCGAATTCGTTTCATATCTACAAAATTTGTTTTAGTAGATATTCCGATAATAAAACAAAAATCAATAAATGTGTTGATACATACTACATAAGTCATATACTTTGTAGTGGTTGGGATGTTTGGTATTCAGGAACCTGGCTACCTCCTGTAAAACAAAATATTTGCATCTGTATAAGCTATTATGCAATAAAAATGAGCAAATTACCACTACTTATATTATTGTTAGGGTAATTATATATTCAGTATCAATTTACAATCCCCGGTAGTCATATAATTGGAGAGGTCCATTGGGTAATCAGATTATGAAGCAGGATAATGATCCGCGGTCGTCCACATCCCCAACAGACGGTATTGTTAGTTCTAATAAGTATGAATAGATATTGGTGTTGTTATACCTTTACTGCCAGTATTCGGAGTACAGTTTAGATCAGAATCGGGGGAAAATGAGTATCCAGTGTATTTTTCCTGCTATTTGTTAGCATCCAAAATGTTTGTTTTCGTGTCATAATGCTAGGAATGACATTTTCCCGATATACTGGTGTTATGGTTTTTTTTCAATGTGTTTAAACTCATTTATTAGGTAAATTTAGAGTGAAAAATATCATGACATGTAAATGCGCGTGTGATGGTGGCTACGCTTGCTAATGAATCTCTCGAGTGACAGGTGTTTAATGGTATTTCGATCAGTGAATATAAATCTTCATTTTAATACGAATTTATTATTAAATGATTAATATCAATGTTTCCATCTACAACAAACAATATGTATTGATTATGCAGATATCGCAAACTGGAAAATAAACAAAAACAGTTGTTTGCGTTTATGCATATAAAAACAAATATGGGCAAACTGTATGAATCTCATTTCCGAAGCGGGTAAAGCACTTGTGTATATATCTACCACCGTCAGCGTACCGACAGTTCATATGGAGCGGAAGGACATAGATTACCTACATATGTATGTTTGTTATTTTGGTACCTTTACAACAACATATTGCCATGGAGAATTAACTTTACTTTGTGCCGATGTTTATAGACCAGAAAATAAAACACACACACAGAAAATAACGATTCCATCAACGAATTACTACAAGTACAATTTATGGGTAAATGAAATGTATACCGCATAGCAATTTCTCTGTCATAAATTCAATGTAGTCTTACGTACATGTCATATGTAGAAATCGAAAAGCGAGGATACTCATAAAAAAGTTACGTAAAACTATTTTTAAACACTATATTATCAACATGCATTGTAATGCTGACTCGGTAATCTTGAAAACCACAACCCGTCAATAGCTTATGATGAGCCTACAACATCTGGAAGAAATACCGGAAATGATTGTTCCTGCCTTGAATAGGTGTTTTTATAAACAATGACTCTACGCTCATTCATTTCGAACACTTACATAGCTAGAGGATGGTTATATACGTGTGCATCATGTTAACATCTGTATTCTTACACCTCGACAACCATCTCTAAACAACAACGTAGTAGATATTTTTTATTTCCACTTTTACTATAGCAAGGGTATTTTTTACCATTACTTGTACAAATAATAATGCGTTTATGACACGTATGTGTTTAACATACCTAAATGACAAATTATAAGCAAAAGGATGCAGTAAGGGGCCTCGACTCTTAACATTATACAAACTACACGTGCCTGCACGTGAGTCGGTACTTACGTTTATTGGATTTCGGTACATCTTTCGTAACCCCGACGATGGAAATGACATTGCGATTACTCTCTCTGAAGATAAAAACAGATGTGTTACCATGACAAAAAATATTCCCCAGACTTTTGCAATATAGACACATTAACTATGCTCTTGCATAAATAATATAGATAGTAGCAGTCGTGATCAATTTATTCCATTAGTACCATGGTAACAGACAAAGTAGCTTGATTATTTGCCATAAGTTTTCTTCTGACCTGTAATGTAGCAAAGGTCAAGGTCAAATCCGTCCTTGAGATAGCGTCGTTTGTTCTGTGATACTGTCTTCCTGGTAGCAGTTATCACGTGACGATACTGTTGAACCATGAATACCACGCTTCGGCCAATTCGTATGATACGTAATGTGCGGCCAACGACGCCCCATCTGTAATACAGGACAGGTAGTGACAGGTAGTGACATATTTACATTTCCATGTCCAACCTACAGTTAGCTTAACAAATTAGAATAACATTTAAAAAGTCGTATGACATTAAAGTAAAACGTCTCAACATATGTATTATTTCTCTTCATGGTAACGATATCTTACAAGTTAACCTACAAGTAGCTACAGTACCGTTCAGAATATACATATGTATATGACTTTTATATAGAAGAAAATTACCAAATTTACTTCATTATGGGCTGATGCACCTCCCTAAGTCGCTTCGTAAGCTTCAAAAGTTAGGCCCTTTAACATCACTAACGAGTCATAGAAGGATAAAACAGCTGTATGATACAGTTTAATTCATTGGTTGGCTCTACTATACCTATCTAAATTATTAAAATGTGCAATTCACGCGTGTCTTTTTGTAAAATCTACAGTAGATTTTTTTTTTATTAAAGCGTATAAGCATAACATACATAATAATTCCATTCACATTTCTGTAAACTACACCAAAATGCGGGTGTAAACAAAAAGCCTAATATTAGTGGAAAGATTGCCAGTGTATCACATTAAACAAATGCGTTCAGTGAATGCATCACTCACCTTCCATAGTTACTTAGTGCGAGATCTATGATGAAGGTGGCTAAGACTATAACCATGTCTGTCACATCAAAACAATTCTTGAAAAATTTGACACTGGAACCAAAGAACATACGTTGAAATCATTCATAAAATACCTATCCGAATAATTCATACGAGCATTTGACGTAAGCGATATTTAGCTAATGATTATATAATATTTAATATAGCTCTCTTTATGAACATCTGTAGTGTCATCACGTGTTAGCATTTAATTCGTTAAGTCTAAAGATGGTGGTCGAAGAACAGATATCAGAGGAATCACCGGGTTTCGCCAAATGCAATCAATCTTACTCTTTAATTCGGTATTTCCACGTTGCTTTCATTTTCAACCAGTGATTTCATGACTCATTCAATTAATTTTATGTTTATCACTAGCAAACATTAAAAAAATTGATTTTTCTCGTCTGATTTAAATCTAAAATCTTTACAGCCTTAGCGCACGCATTTTCATTTAGCGCCAAGTGCATGACATTGTTAACGCAAACAACTGATTCTAGACAGAAAAAATTCTCACCCTTTGGCAAATATCCGCAATAGGATCTCCAATAAAAAGTAGCCAACTATGACACGGGATGTGACGGTGATACTTCGTGACGTCACTTCGTCCAAGTTTGCACAAAAATCAATAATGACGAGAGAAATATCGACGAGGATGAGGATGACGGTGAAAAGGCGGAAAAGCAGGTGCTCAACAAGAGCCTTGACTTTCCATCGACAGCGACTGGGGAGACAGAAATAATTTTAAAATAAGAATTGATGTTTCTCATTCTTAGACATGCAATAACCCACTATTCACAAAACCGTTTGCACTGTAGTCAATATATTTCATATCTTAGACTAAGAATACTCATGCTGCTTGGGAAAAGAAGTGAAGTGACGTTAATGTTTAGAACAATATGAAATGACCTTCGATGTTGTGTACCAAGCTTTACCATGAATAACTGTTACATTTGTGTTACTTAATATTGCATAACTAGGCAATAAATATCTTGTTTGGAAGGCCATCTTGAAATAGAAAAAGACATAACTACTGAAAATAATCTCTTATTTTATGACAACTGGGTTATTTGGGGTGCTTGCAATAAACAGTATCCATTAACGCTGTATAAAAATGACAAAATGTTGAGAACAAAACGACATGTTGAAGTATACGTTAGTACTGTTGCCGTACGTGTTACTAAATATAAATGTTCACTAATGGAATCGAGCGACTATCTATATCACAGCGGTAATGGGGCTTGTCGAATGGGTTAACACTAAAATAAACAAAGGTAACTACCAATTGTTTATAAACAAATGACGACTACTCTGTTGACAGGTCATGTTTATATATACATAGATAAATATACAATATGATAACAAAGGTCAATGGTGTAAATTCTTTATTCACCTCTACAGGACAGTAATGTCTTGTAGATGTAACAATTTCTAAAGCGTTGGGGCTGGTATTTGAAATGTATTGTCACTAAATCTCTGCATTAAATGTATTTGGTATAAAGTTATTGTTTCAATGTGTAAGTGTCTTTGTAAATCTAAGCTTGCGACAAATGACTCATCTATTTTGCTGGCTGTTGTCCACCTAACCGCACGACAACAATGTATATAAAACTAGATTTAAATATACAATTCCAGGTAATATATTATTAAAATTTCTATCACACGACCGCTGTATTCATACCACAGATTATATGTCTTCAATTCATATATGTTACCCACCTTTGACTTCCAAGACTGTGAATACTTATGGGTTACACAGTAGTATAATCATTTAATCAGCCTGGCCTCTATGTACATGACAACAGCTCATTACATACACTAACCAAACGACCATAACAGCTAGCAAAACATAGGTTTTCTTGCAGTGCACACATAACATGACAACAATTGACACATACTATTATTCAGGCGTCGTAGAAGTTGAACAACCATTTCAACCATCAATTTACAATTTATACACCATACATACTTTTAATATCACAACTGAGAGCCACAAATCATAACAAACTATGTTTATACTTTATACGTACTTCAGTCGGGAGGTTGGAGCTACGTTGGTGTTACCCTCCTCGAGAGGGATATGTGAATCTGGTGGAGGGGGGAGACTGGAACGGCGACTCGTGTTACTTCTTCTATCATCTGGAATATCCAATTCCATGCGTCCGACAATCGGGGGAAGTGTGTCCTTAGGCAGGTCCTGGGGAATATCCACTACCACATTTCCATTTGTCTCTGTTTCCTCCATATTTATAGCACGTCTTTCTACTAGTACCTTTGAACAACAGATATACAACACTTCATGTCAGTCTTACGTCAAGCATTACAGAGCATTTGTTAGAACATCACATTGAGATTCACGGAACACATCATCGACTCATCGCCAGTTAAACAACATCTCACCGAACACATTGCTAGAGGATTCCATTACCAGATACACATCCGGCGGCGTAATTAGACCTGTATATTATCTGTTAAGATCGATTTTGAATAACGAGTCTCCCGTGTTTTATAAAACCATTGAACTAGGATCACAAACAATCCTGCCGCTTCCGACTATGCACACTGCTGGATATTCGTCGCGAGAGAGCTAAAATATTTCCAAAAAAATCGATGTTAGTATATAATTAACACACAGGCAGATGTTGGATGAAACATCGAACGTCTCTGCATTGACGATGAACACAATGAAGTATAGTGTCCATAGCCACTGTCCAGTCTATATTAAATATATCGATAAACCCTGCGAGTGTACCTGTCAACAGAAAGTGTCCCTCTGGATCGCATGGTCTGTTGCGCTGGCGACTAAATCAAAAACAGTTTCGTTAAATGTGCGACGATGGTCGAGTTTCGTGCACTTCACACACAAGAGCGAACTTACTGCAGATAGTGTACGGTGAGCGTCAGAATAATTTACGACATAACTTTTAGCGCTTCGTCTCGAACAGTACTAATTTGCATAGATGTGACCACAACAATGGATATCCGGATTATGTCGAAACAAATTTGTGTCTATAGTGACCTTTATGATATATTGCACTGTAGATTGCAATTTATCAAAAGTTCGAAATGCAGTAACTATGCTGTAATAAAAAATACACGGAACAAATATCTGTTTATGGTCTGACGTACCGATTGCATTACGTCTATTTTAGCTGCAACAATTAGCAATTAAATCCATGATAATTAAAAAACATAAAGGAATATAGGTAGTATATTCATTCTATCTTAAAAGGAATAATTTTCATTGATGGCAGTTGGTAACTTATTATACGTATAACTTAATCATTACTTACGTCTGAGATTTAAAGCATACAAAGCATACATGTGTGAATTCGTGGTCACAGACAAAACGCTTTATGTCGTGTCAGTGGAACCCCTCTTATACAATCGGTTACACATTGTAAAGAATTGCACTGCGGATAACTGCATATTGCATGACAAAGTGGTCTTATTGTTATGTCATTTCAACAGCAATAAACACCTTGAAAGTATTCAACTCTCTAGCTTTCCATAGCCACACTAATGTTGTATATTGCAGTCACGTTTTTTTTTAATATTCTACGAAGCCGCTTAAAGCTCCAGTATACACAACTTTAATTCAAAACGAGAAAATATAATACATCAATATCGACATTAATCCTCCAGTTACGATCTTTGCGAATCGAAGTCTACATTATAAATTCGTATAAAAAGTGATATCCACTAGCGTGTCTACTATGGACTATTTTGTTGACTGGAAAGACAAATCTATCGCCAATGACATATCACATGCAAGCAGGGGTGAGAGGTCATGTTATGTAATAAAACAGCAAAAGATATTTGCATTGAGAATAAATTTATACCGAACACAATATTCAATTTCAGGACTTCTGCGAAAAATACGCCTTTTGCATATAGTTCCATCGCCAAGAAAGCAATTGCAGTAATAAAGCAATGGTTTGTAGTATATTGTGTTTTTATAATAGGATATCGTCATATTCCTAGCAGTTGGATACTTATTTTTGTTTTTTTTATTACTTGTCCCAAGTTAACGAGTCAAATCTTTTGAGATTACAAAATCATCTCAAACCCATAAGTCCTATAAAAGGCATTACATTGATCAGCAAATTCATATTTCAAAAACTATTTGAAAAATTTATGCAAATATCAGAACGAATACCTTACATGTTGGTATTCAAAACAAATTCATTGCAACAAAACAGTATTTGTATTGTGAAGTTAATTTAATAACAAACCAATTATAAACAAAATATGATATGAGGTGAATGTGAAGATATGAATCTAATTGTATAACTACAGCTGTGTTATATCGACATATCATGCGAGATGAACAACGGAAATTAACCACAAGTAGTCAGTTTTGCAAAATAATACATGTTGGTATATCAGAAATAAAAGTTGATCAATGTTTAGTAGTAAATGCTAAAGCGACATTTACCAGGGAGAGATACGTCTTTATTGAATTATGAATGAAGCATCTGATGTAATATCGTATTGTGGTACAGCATTGAGATTTGCGCGCGGTCGTTTCGGCGAACTGGTTGCCATTATTTAGAATAAACATTTGGACTAATTAGTTCGGTATTGGAACCTGAATCAAATTATTAGAACCAGAAAACCAATTCAAGTCTGGGAGAATGTTTCATTCAATATTTACTACAAGCGCACAGGACGAAGAAGGAATGGATGAAACTCCGAGTGTCTCGGGTCCTGTATGTTTCAAAATAGGCTGAAAACACAACAAACAATATTCCATTTCAATACTCTCAATGAAAACTTTAGAAATTGTCTGACAACACAACAAACAATCCCATTTCAATACACACAGTGACAATTTGGAATTGAGGTCATGAAACACCAAAAATAAATAACATATATAAGGACCATCCTGTTAGAGGAAGAGGAGAAGGTAGACGACATCAGATCGGGAACAACTTGAAATCACCTGTAAGGTATCTCGAACAGGCAGATATGTCGTCCTTAAATTCATGTATTATTTCTCACTGCCTGATCGCGTACTGCGGCCATGTTTGATCCTGTGTCGTCTGCTTTGAAGACTTTGTGTATATACTGGAACTAACTATGTGCTGGGTCTGATATCACAACATTATCACGGTATCTTTATTTCTTGTATTTACAATTTTAGTGTTGGCACTCAGCACGTCTGATTAACCTGATCACAGACGGTGGTGACCGAATAGAATGTCTGATGTTACAATGAAATACAAATGTGACATTCCAGTAGCCTCATCACTCATAGACGCCACAGCCGGCTACAAAGATGTAAAGCCCCAACAAGCTATCAACATAAGTCAAAACTATATCGACGATGTCGGAAGATTGCTTGCAATTTCGGGTTTGGCTCTCGTGCTCTCAATGTTGTTTTTCGCCTGAGCGACTGCTGCAAGCAGGAACAACACAAAAATGTCTAATTTCCGTTTGGGGACTAGATCGAAATTTCGGAAAAGCCAGATTTGGAGAGTGTCGTCTATCATCCGGACAAGACACTTAAGTCGGGATTAATTTCCAATTTAAGCAACTATACATTCCAGTATGTTGATGACTCTTCGTATTTGAAAAGATTGCTATTGTCACTCGGAACTCCGAATGTCAGTCCAACAATTCACACAGCACTTATTCATCATTAACGGAACCCAAAGTTAATTTGTTCTTATAGGAAGACTGTACCGATATATATACCTTAGCCCGGAGACACCTTATTCACAATCAGACGAGTGCAATGTATAGATCACTATCGAAAGTGTATCTCAAGCTAGAGAATCAAAAATGAAATAAAAACGAAACTAAGTTTTAAAAATCTCTAAATGTGTTCTAGAAGTCATTTTGAAACTTCACTTGCAGCATGTTCATATATTTGTTTCTTCACTCAAGTCATTTCTCACATTTAAATCAAATACAGAAAGTACAAGAAAACCAGGCAGAAGTTTCACTGTTAAATGCTAGTATAAAATATCAAAAAGAATTGTTTCGTCTTCATTTCTTTCACGAAAATAATGAACATGATACAGCATGTAGATGCTTTTCTATTATGAAGCAAGCGAAAAACCACCACAAACCTGTAAGTTGATGACCGGAAACCCACCCAAATACCTGCGAGTTGATAAGCAAAAACCTATCCCCGATACCTGCGAGTTGATAAGCGAAAACCCATCCCGATACCTGCGAGTTGATAAGCGAAAACTCACCCCGATACCTGCGAATTGATAAGCGAAAACTCACCCCGATACCTGCGAGTTGATAATCGAAAACCCATCCCGATACCTGCGAGTTGATAAGCGAAAACTCACCCCGATAGCTGCGAGTTGATAAGCGAAACCCATCGAAATACCTGCGAGTTGATAAGCGGAAACCCATCCCGATACCTGCGAGTTGATAAGCGAAAACACACCCCCAATACCTGTAAGTTGATAAGCGAAACACATCCCGATACATGCAAATTGAGAAGCGAAACCCCGTTCGAATACCTGCGAGTTGATAAGCGAAAACCCACCCCAATACCTGCGAGTTAATAAGCGAAAACCCATCCCGATACCTGCGAGTTGATAAGCGAAAACCCATCTCGATACTTGCTAGTTGCGATGACCCATCCCGATACCTGCGAGTTGATAAGCGAAAACCCATCTCGATACTTGCTAGTTGCGATGACCCATCCCGATACCTGCGAGTTGATAAGTGAAAACCCATCTCGATACTTGCTAGTTGCGATGACCCATCCCGATACCTGCGAGTTGATAAGCGAATACCCATCTCGATACTTGCTAGTTGCGATGACCCATCCCGATACCTGCGAGTTGATAAGCGAAAACCCATCTCGATACTTGCTAGTTGCGATGACCCATCCCGATATCTGCGAGTTGATAAGATCAATGAACAAACTTCCTCAGTCAAAATTATGCTCTTTCTTGACATTCCTTTTTAAGTTCAAAATCTAAATCATGCGAAAAACCACTTTTATCGAAATTTCAAGTGAAAAATACATACTTCATCGAAATTTGATATGAAAAACACTTTATGGAAATTCCCCCCGAAATATCTACAGAATGATCAGATGTCAACTAACGTGTCCTGGTGACAGTTATTATATTCTGATACGTTTTACGATGTTTTACGACAGGATGAAAAGTTTCCACATGTATAACCAACCTGTCAATGATATTGGTATATATCGATACAACATCAGTTCTAGTGTTTCACTGACACGCCTTATAATACAAGTATATCTGATCTGTTAGATCGTCTCTAAGAGTGGATTATTACATAGCAGACTCTCGGATCATCAAGTTTTGTTAAAGAGTAATGCTATGTATATAGATTATTTTTTTATTTCCCAGTTTAGGTCTGTTATGAGACGGTTTCGATAAACAAATGAAAAAAATGAAACCCCACCATAACACATCAAGTCCCTTTCTGTATTTCGTAAAAATACTTGACTCACATTCATCGCTGGTCAGCATTCCTTTTTTTCAACAAATTGTAGCACCAAAAGTGTTACCGTGGATTCTTGATCGCGGACCATGGTAATAACACACTCAGCAGTCAATACTGATGCTAAGAAAGATTTGACCTTTGAAATCCAGATTCCAGGGACGAGCCTATTTCCGGTATTTGTCACTCTTCTCGGTAATTTTATATGTGTTGACGTCTTTGTGGAAGATATATCAATGTCAGATTAGATCATCTGTTATTGGTAGGGAGTTTATCGCGTTTTTCAGGATCTCCGTGGAAAGAAAGTTGACACGATCAATATAGATCACAAAAAATCGATTTTTTCGTGCTTGAATTGCGATATAGTCTAACTCCTTCAATTTCCATTTGCCTTCCATTTACATATAACACTAATGTGTAACCCACTCGCCATCTTCCTGACCTCTGGTCACTTATTCGCCTCCAAAATTTGAAATAAGATAATTTGCTTACTTTATAAAACTATTTAATTCTCGGAATTTTTAATAATATCGATTTATTCGCCTAAGAAAAGAAAAGTGCATCACATGTCATTGTGCGAAAAGCCATTTTAAGTGTACACATATTTTCCTCGCTAGTCAATTCGGCTGACTCATTTTTTTCCTACAAGTATCAGATACATACAGTATAGGCAAACATCGTTACATACGTTTACTTATAGGAAAGTAAAAGTCTTTATTAGTTAGAGGAATAAATGAAAGACATATAATTAAACACAAACATAACGGAATGGGTTGTTGTAGCAATTTGGTAGTTTCTTGATAAGGTAATTATATTAATTGAGAAAACATCAGAAATGTTATAGTCGGTATTAAGAACACTAACATACTGTGTTGAAATTAGCTATCACATAGTGCTCCCTGATGCCTGCATGCGCATCATACGTGCATCCAGACTGACAACTGCCGTGCGGAAGTGTTGCAAGATTCCATTATTAAACAAAGATAATTACATAATAGAAGTTCTACTTCTAACCCTCCCCATCTGTTTTTACAACTTTTCGTATAAATAAATGTAAAATATTTAGAAATTAATAAACGATTTCCCCATCATTTCTCGTTTTTACAGACCAAATTATGATGAAGCTCTGTTAGAGATCTTGGATGTGTAACCTACTGCGGGCTGTAGATATGTATATGTGTTGAAGTAATACCCTCCAAACGAACCACATGCCGTGTAGAACACGCGATAATCGATACACGTGCCGTATGAGGTCACAGAGTTTAGTTATAAACTATATGCTTCCAACAGCTATACTTTGTTTATGTCGGGGCGTGTTGACTTCGGAGTACTTAAACAAACAAATACCACTTGGTGGGATGTAATGCATGCAGTTATTTTAAAAGTTTGAAGTGGAAGGGGGGAGGGGGGGGTTAAAAGATGGAGCCGACGGTTGAGAAATAAAGGCGGGAAGTGAGAGAGAGCGAGGCAGTTAGTGGAGAGTATCTGAGTACGCTTCGTTTGACGTTGTTGACGAAAGGTTGACGAATGAGAGACTACGGGTTTTGCTTGATGGCCGAGCACCGTGTTGGTGGAGATACAGTTCGTAAGAGACAAGCTCCTATATGACAAATATTACAAAATTTTAACTAGTACACACTACAAGGAGTTTCATTACATATGCACTAGCTTTCTCTATCTCCAAGAACCCTTTATCTAGTCCAGATAGATAAACTATGTTGGGATGGCTTGATATAATCTATAAATAAACACCTAGTCATCTGACCTAGGGTCAAATATTCATTTCTATATATTGCATGTTTTGTGTGTCCACACGGAAGCACCGAGTATAAATGGTGAAATCAGGCGTGGGTTTACCTTGTGTACACTGCCCTGTGCTGATATTAATGTGAGCACACACCTGTACAAAACAGAACATCTTAATAAACGCCTGTTACACCTGTATATACACACACCTGAAATAATGTACGTGTTCTGTGAACACTATAGACGTGGCTTGTGATACTATAGTGCTGATATTAGGACAGAACATCAATACCACGACGTACGTGTGTGTAGTATCATTTGTCAATAGTGTAACACAACACATGTGCAAAGTCCCGGTGATGTGTATTTTTTGTACACCACATTCAGTCTGTTACACGTGTGTGCAGTAAAGTATAAATAAAAAACCGACATAGCATAAAAGCTACATACACACAAACACGTACGGTATGTCTTGATCTATAAAACGCATCTTCTAACCCAAGAAAATACCTGACCCGTCCACCTTGACGTGTGATCAACAGCTCCATATATAAATAACTGGGATACGGAATTAGACTTACCTGTAGAGAGCGTGTTACCCGGGAGCCCGGGGTTGTCCTTCTTGTCAGATCTAAATGTAGTTCTGAGTGTACATGGCGTCTCTGACAGCTATATACTCAAGCTACAGTTGGATAACTGTGTCGTGAATATGTGTCATGTTACGACGCAAGGGTACACAACAATTTCCAGTATTAGACTAGCTATATATAGCTTACGATGGTAACGATACACAGACGATTCCAGGGGATTACCGATACACGTGTGTGTCGCATCGAGTCAAAAATCAGTTGTTAATATTCAATTCAAATTCTTACTTATTTAGGCCTGTGATTAAAGCTGACTGTTAAGTCCATGGCGTAAACCTCTAATGTACTTGTTCTAACATTAGGTCACCGTCGTTTACGTGTAAGTCTAAAAGAGTAGTCTCCCTTCCTCTGAGTGCATTATCATACCACAGGGCCCCTGCATATCAGATGGCTAAAATGGCGATCCAAAAGTCACAAAAATAGTCTATTAAAACCTTAACCAAGAAAACGATAATAACATCGGACTGAAAATGTCTCGGCATGTATATTCATATCAAATGATTACTTACACCTGTTGTGTGAGAACCTGATTCTTGTAAAGTTATTTTGTAATGTTTTAACAGAACAATTAGCACATTATCATATTTTAGATAATTTCGAAATCCTGTGTTAATGTTTCATTTATGATAAAGTCCATATTACGGAGACAAGATAACGTCACTGTGTACTTATTTTGACACGTGACTTAATTATCGATGTAATTGATAAGCTGCTGTATCACTTCGTTCTCCTTTCTCGCGTAACTAAGTGTTTATGGAAATACATTTTCAAACGACCATTTGAGGACATTAATGCTCTCTGTTGGTCGAGGAAGACGTGACGTACATATGTGTGATTTAATATGACTGTGATATACATATGTACTTAAAACCTATATCCTTTGTGCTGGCCCTTAAGACGCATTTTATAATATGAAAACTACGAAACATATTGAATTTTCTGAAAGAAGTATAACAGTAGTGGGTCAAATGATAGTCCAGCGTATACACGATTACAATGGGATCAAACGGAAGACTTGCCGTAAATCGACCTCCACTTTAAAGGAAGGAATAAAACTCACATTGAAAACACAATTACATTTTTTAAAGAAGTAAAAGGTTTCCCAGCTTGAAGAAATGTTCTCCTTATATTTGACGTACAGTTTAGGCGTAATTCGCGGTGAATATAAATACACCAATTGATAAATTAATTAATACAAGATAATTATGTAAGGGTCGTGTATTTATAAGTGACAGACTTAAATAAATATCTATTTTCTTTTTGAGGTTCAAAAATATCTTAACCATGAAGGAATTGCCCTGTAACAATGCGTCTTACGTCACATCCTGTTAAGACAAGAGGTAACTAATATTTGAACCCTGAAAAGCATCCACATTTGATCAAGTAAACTTTTAGAATAAATAAAGAGAGAAACACCAGTTACATTGAATCCCCCATTCGGCCATATCAAACCGTATATATCATCTAAAATCTAGATAAAACGAGCGAACAAAACATTCGCACCACGAAATGTACACTGCATGTGTGAGCACGAGCTGACACTTGAAGAGTGGTGCATAGACGTTCTGGAAAGAGGATTTTATCCTGTAACTAGCGTTATCATTTTCAGAATACACCTACCATACATATATTTTACTATATTCGACATTGACGGAAAACAGCTGTATTCTAGTACGTGCATTAATTCGACAGAATTACTCCATGATTTACTAAGATATATGAACAAAAACTGTTTAAATAAGCAATTTTTATTTGTTGTAAAAACAAGTTTATTTACGAAAATTCATGAACTTTTTTTTTATATCCATTGAAGTATTGAACCATATTTCCACGCGGAGGAATCAGTTTGACGTGTGTCATCAGGCGCAATCCAACAAATGAATATACTTTACACACTGTGTAAGTACTACAGGTTAAGTAGAACGCATGGCCTGTGTCTCAAAATACAAGCTGCAATTTGGCCCGGAAGAGAAAGACGAGAGCAATTGACCATGTATTCTCTATACAAAGTTACCACACAAAACACGGAGTACCTGTCCATCATATCACAAACATTGTGCTATCCATCCACCAGACTCCAGCTTCTTAAAGGTTAGTTAGTATTTACTCGTGACTAGTGAAACATTCAAATTGTTGCTGTTGGTAAAACACGAGTGTCAAAGGCAAAATAAACATTAAAAACATTCCAGTCTGGCATTTTCAACAAAATTACAGCTGTGAAATGATAAAGAATGTTTTCAGTTTTGTTTAGCTCATATTTAACCATTTTCACAAAACATTGGTTATATCTAACCAGCCTTTAAACCTCCGGTACCAGCTGCTTTATTTTCATTTGAATGATTATCTATTAAAAATAATACACTTTCATTGAAATAAATGTATTTATCAAATTTTAAAATAGTTTAACGATTTTTTTATTCCAACCTTCGTTTATCACGACTAATGAGTCTGACAGCCCCAGTTACACCTACTTCCGGTTCTCTAAAACATTATCACAGAAGTGTATAAGGAATAAGGAACTAGAAAAAGTGAATCCTTTGTCATATAACAAACATGTTAGCAATGTAATAATATCAATCATAGCAAAGTTGTTATTACACACGTGCAAAGTCTCCTAACGGGGCCGTGTCTGGTTGTTTGAAAGTTACCATTGTCATACCAAAGTAATTTAAGCACTGAATCTTGCATTGGTCGTCGGTTTCCTGGGATGAGGAATTGAGCTGTTCTTCAGATAGATTTAAATGAACTGCAAAGCAGTTCAAGTTGAATTTATCCCAGGAATAAATTAATTTCATCCTCTTATGAATCCACAAAAGATTATATGCTTATGTTTCATTTAAAACAGTTTGTTTTCGATATTTTGATCACTTCCAAGTCTGCAGTTAAACTAGAACTTGTGCATGTCTGATGAGTTGAGTTAAAAGATGAAGTCCGACATTTTTTCAAGTTAAAGGATGACCAATCAGTATTACTCAGACAAAATACAATTATGCGACACACAAAAAAGATAAAAAAAAAAACAATTGAATTGAAGTTATTAATTATTGTATTATCAATGTAGTTTAGAAATTATAAAAATTCCCCGTTAGTTACGGGGAAGAATAACGTGTGCAGTGAGTTCTACGGTTGTCTCCCGCTACGCTTCAAACTGGCCGGCTGACAGTTTTAAATTGTTATGGAGTGTGTTATGACTTTTTCTGGATGTGTCCCTGACATTAAGAACTTAGTCAAGAATCATTTCTGTATCAGAATCGCTCAGTGGACGCTCCTTGGCTTGTTCGAGATTTTCGTTTTAAGTTTTAAGTTAAGATGGCTAGTGACAAGTGACAATTGCTAGCCGCTAAAAACTCTCGCAATGTCACATTTTGATTTATTTAAATATTCTTGTATATACATTTATCAATTTATATTTTTCAATTCTAAAGCAGATTTGATTGCTTTTAATTTTGGATGTACTCATGTAAGAAGTAAAAAAAATCCAGTATTAAACCTTTTTTCTGTTAATGATTTTTTGAAAGGTGCACTACTTTTTTTCCTTACAGACATCGGAACCAATCCCGAATAACAAACACCATTTGTTATTTCTGCGACAAACCTTTTTGAAACTACATTTTTTATTTGTTGATCTATCAAAAATATGAAAACGTGGTGTTGATACAGATATGTGTGAGCCTTCCTCTGGAAATAGACAATGCGAAGTAGCGGCTATCTACATTAACGACTCGGGTGGTCAGAACACCCCTGTTTATCGTAGATAAGGAGCCAGAAAGGTGAAAGATTATCTATGAAATGGGGGATTTACTCCACACGTATTATATACATATGTCACAGTAAATGTCACTCAATAATGAAATGTGAAATTTTGCACTTAATAGAAGTATCCTTCGTGTTTGTCATAACCAATAAAACTAAAGCTCTGGTCAGTCGATATCAAACTGCGCATGCCCAGTCGAAGTGTCCAGTGAGAATTGCTTGATTAACTTTAGGAATAAGAAATCAGACTACAATGTGTGTTTTCAATATGAATTATTCAATATGAGATTTGCTTCCCTCACGCTGCTATCGTTTTGAGGATCCGGAATATAGGAACTCAATGATGCACATACTCACGTTATGTGTAGTTTTCCTCGTCTCATTTTATCCGACACAGACTAAATACCTTGGGGGAACCATCAGTTGGCGGAAGTTCGAAGGATCGGTAAGTGACGGTAGTACTCTTTCATTACGTCATATTCCTAGTGTTTTTTATTTCTCCTTTTTTCATGTTCACTATTTGTTACTGGTTTTTGGTTCTTGTTTCTTTCCGTATCTTGTTCGTGTTCCTGTTATCTCTTTTTTCTTGTCCTAGTTTTGTTCTTTCTTCTTCCCCTCTTTGTCTTGCTTCGTCTTTCCTCTTTTCACTTAAAACAATGAAATGCGAAATATATGCTTAGACTATTTCATATTGCATACAGTTCGAGGCGTGCACACGTACATTAAGTAAGGTTTGAAACGATATGTTTCCTTGTTAGACTGACGAGCACTATCTACTTCATTTCTGAAACTAAGGCAAAGTATACTGTTGTTACATTGTGATTGAATTATAGATTATGGAATTTTAAGTTTTATTTTTTGCATTTTATAATTATGGAATGCAGATCAATCGAAATCGTCGTTGTTCAAATGATGTGTTTAAGGTTATTAATCTTTAATGTTTTATAAATGTGATGTAATTACTTAATGTAAATATGAGGTATTATTCATTTGTGTGTGTGTTGAAGTGTAATTACCTTTGGGTAACGAACAATTTCACTCACTGTCACTATATATATACACAGGTAGAATAGTGAAAATATGACGGTGAGCTAACGAGAATACGGCGGTGAGATAACGAGACTACAGCGGTGAGATAACGAGAATACGGCGGTAAGATGATGAGAATACGGCGATAAGATGATGAGAATACGGCGGTGAGATAACGAGACTACAGCGGTGAGATAACAAGACTACAGCGGTGAGATAACGAGAATACGGCGGTGAGATAACGAGAATACGGCGGTGAGATAACGAGAATACGGCGGTGAGATAACGAGAATACGGCGATGAGATAACGAGAATACGGCGGTGAGATAACGAGAATACGGCGATGAGATAACGAGAATACGGTAGTGAGATAACGAGAATACGGCCGTGAAATAACGAGAATACGGCTGTTAGATAACGAGAATACGGCTGTGAGATAACGAGAATACGACGGTGAGATAACGAGAATACGGCGGTGAGATGATGAGAATACGGCGATGAGATTACGAGAATACAGCGATGAGATGATGAGAACACGGCTGTGAGATGATGAGAATACGGCTGTGAGATGACGAGAATACGGCTGTGAGATAACGAGAATACAGCTGTGAGATAACGAGAATACGGCGTTGAGATGGTGACAATATGATTAATGAGAATGGGTTTAAGAAGTTTCGAGCTCCCTGAGCCTGATACACCAACTCACTCTCCAATCTGTAATAACGTGTAACGACATTAGGGAACCCCTGTTTAGTATATTCCTGTAACTCTGATCTTTGCGGAAGTGTAGGAAAATTGTGGGGATTTTCTATGAATCCATATCATATTCTGATGAACGAGAAAGAGTAGCGACATTATAGAGGCTACTTTTTATCTGAAAAAGTGTAGTTATGTCGTAAGAATTCTCTATAGAAACGTTTTCGGTGGTGTTTCGGTTTCCCATATACCATTTCCTGCTATTATCTGTACGGATGCGTGGGAAACATAGATCATTGTAGGAATTCCCTACTGATCACATTATTGTTTAATCTGAGAACGTCGTTAAAGAGGATTCACCGTATGATGAGTCAGAATATCGAGAGGGGTTCCGAAAAAATCCCCATAAAATACTGTGATATATCTGGCTCTGGTTTATTAAAAATGTGTTTTTAAAGAAGGGAATCAAAGCATTTCGAGTTAATTTTGACTTGTTAACGTTGTTTCCCTATAACTCTGGAGTATAACCAATTCCTCATGATGGACCACTGGCGGAAAAGAGAGGATGGGATGGTGAGAATATAACGGTGAGTTAGCGTTACTAGGTGTACGTGGGCATATGAAGTAAATAGAGTATGATGCTGTGTCGGTGAATAAAGGCAGAGGCAGTTTGAATACAGTTAAGTAAAATGAGGACAAAATGAGAAAGTGTCATTCCTATCGTGTTATTCTTGTTCCCCAGCCTCACCGTCTTAAAAAAAGAAAAGTTATGGTTTAGTAAGTTGACACCAAAGATAGATTACTATTTATACTAAATCGTCTTCAGATCCGATTCGTGTACCGCATGACCTGGGAGAAAGGGACAGGGCCATGTGGTTCTTCGTGTTCTAGTGCTGATCTGATATCTAAGAGCCACCTTCCACCATCTCTAAACTCCTTGTCTTGGAAATGCACTTCCGGTTGCACCGGAAGTCCTGTCTTGGGCGACGTGAACTACTTTCTGACATCAGTGAGTAATGAAGTACCGGGATGGGAACAGGGCGAGGATCAATTCTTTTACAATCTGACTGGGACAGGCCCATATAGTATATCGTAAGTATAATGTAACTTTAATAATAACGATTGCCAACCCGAAGCTTAGGCAATCATATAAAGGAAGTTTGCTAATCACGCCGACATTTTAAAAGAAAAGAAAATTCAAATTTATAAATTACCAGCTAGGAAAAAGAAAGATGACTGCTGGACGATTCTTCTCTTGAGATAACGGGTTTGTCCGGTTCAGGTTGATTTTTAACACCTGATGGCGTGAAGTGGTCAGTCTGTGACCGTAACAGACGACAGTGAATGATTGTCACTGTGTAAATCCTACGGAGTTAATAAAGATGATCGTCTTTTGATAAAATATTTTAATAAATCACTTTCTAGTAGTGATAAGGTTTCCAGACAATGACAAGGGTCACCTTGTCAAGCTAAATGTATCTGTACTGGTCAGTGTAGTCCACTTTAGTTAGCGTGATATATACCCATAATACATGGTCTTGTATTTTTATCGTAATGGACAGCTCGAGAAATATGTACATATGGTATATAGTATAAAGCTAAGTGAAAAATATCCGATAAGGACTCATCCGGGTATTACAGTCATTCATGGCATTATTCTAAATTCAACGAAAGGAAAAACTCCGTTAAAAGCATATTAAACCCAAAGGTTATGCACTAAGTTAACTTCAGTAAATGTAGCAAAATAATACCGCAGATTTATCTAAATACTTACTCGTATGGGATATTGTCAGCAGAAATAGAACTGGTGATTTGGGGTTTTTCATTTTCGATCTCTCTGGGAACGTTACAAGTGAGAGTTTGTCAACGACTGTCAACGTCAAGTTATTGTTCATGTTGTCATTTTGATGACCGTTATCATATTAATTTCGTTTACTTTAGGAGATAACTTTATCGTGTTTAGAAATTTCCAACGCTATATCGTAATTATACCACTACAAACAGTTGTCTTGGCGACGCGTATCGGAAAAGTAAAACATTTATACAGAATACAGAAGTCTGTGTGTCTCTTTTTTCGACGTCACGCGCTAATGGTCATGACGTCATTTTCAGAACGTCAATCTGAACCAATGACGTCATTAGCAATTGTCATGCTAACTAAAGGTACAAAAGAAACAAAATTAAACTGGTCCTTGCACTGTTGATTTAAAAGATAATGTCATTGTCATCGTGTTTTTATAGTCATTTTGGTATTCAGAATCGGAAAAGTGATACTGTGAACATAACAGTGACTTGTGATTAAATCCACTTGTAGGATTGAAGGCCTTTCTTGGCCAAATGCCACCGATCTTGGCAGAATGGTGACGTCAGTTAACCTCGGGGTTCGCAACGATACCAATGTCTCTAACGCCAGTCCCATCGCAGCAGTCCCGCCCTCTGTTGGGTAAGTACATTAACTGGATCCCGTACTTACAAGAACAAAGACCCAAACCATTTAGTAAGTACATGTTCAGGGTACCGTCTTGTCATGTCTCGGGTACTAGGGTCAGTGTATAGGGCCATAGACATTTCTCTTTCTTGTCATCATTGCTTAGTTTCACACTCGGATAACGCCGTGATTTTGGATTAATATGATAACATTTTTATTTGTATTTGTTACTTTCAACAACGAATATTGCAAAAGGTTCGGTATGATCTTTCGAACTTCATCTGGCTGACATTTGGCTCGTGCATGAGATAAAAGAAATGGTTTCGAAGCATGCACCATGGAGGAATCAATTTAAAAACATCTAAAGATTTCACGAACAGTTCATTGCCATGTGAAATGGTTCTTGTGACATTCATAAAACAAGTCGAAAACCTGCCTGAAACAAAAATCTTTGATTTCGAGTTAGTGCACATATTGTGTATTCCTAATGCTTAAAAATACAATAAAGCCTGGGTCACTATGTAAATCTGTTTTTTCTGAAAAAAAATGTCTTCAACGAAGTCCATTTTAGTAAATATTAAGTTATGTTTTATAATGGAACAAGTGAAGACCCGAGTTTCGGTCTGTCACTGTTTTTCTGATCTGGTCTTAACAGTATTCACCGCGACCGCGGAAGGCCTGTGCGAATATTGTTCAAACCAGGTTTGTAAATCGAGGAAAGACCTCACCTGAAGTCCATACTTGTATGACAGAGTTATTCAATATTACCGCTTTGTATCGTACACCTATTAAATACATACAGGTGAATATTTCCCCGTCTCACAGAAAAATTTCAGTATAAAAATAAATACTTAAATAAGTGAACTATACATTTCCCAGAATTCCTTTTGACTGCGAAAGCGTAATCAGTCTGCCGATAGAAGATCCGGATGCGGACACGGTGAGATGTCGTCTGGCTACATCCATGGAGTGTGGAGACGCTTGCACTGATTTGCCGCGCTTTGTCCTTAACGAGGTAAGCAATCTGATGGATAAGAGCCGATAGATCCGGAATATCACCCGAAGTTTAACAGTACAATTAATTAATATAAGTTTTTATTATAACAGGAGAACTGTACACTGACCGTGCATACAACCATTTCTAATGGATATCAACCAAACACACTTTATCGTGTCACCGTCATGATTGAAGATTTCCCAGATTACACCATCAGTGTCGGAAACGAGATCAAGAACCCTCGTCACTGCCTCAGTAAGATACCTTTACAAGTAGGTACCTACTAGATCACGTGATATATTAATCCCTATGTAAACCAGTTGATCTTTAACAATATGTATTTTTACTATGCTTAGTGGTAAGTTTATCCATTGAAAGTACATGTACACGCTTTCAGACATTGTGTTGCCTTTCCTAATAGAATCTTGTAATCAGTGAACTCAAGGCAAGGTTAAAAATTCTTAGGTTTAAATATACGAGGTTTTACGAGTGATTGGCCATTTAAAAATCTTTTCCAGTGGTTGAGATAACCCTATCATACCCTCAAGGGATTTCCCTAACCCAGCTGGGTTTTTAAGGAGGTTATTGAAATAAAAAAACACAACACCGAACGACATTGAATAACAACAGTGTCTTACTTCTACACTGTATGATAAAACATTATGGTTCAGGCTATCTCAGATTTCATCTTTTCATTCCTAATATTCTCTCCAAAATAAATTGTTCTCGGGTTATGATTTATTGATGCCTCTTATTGCTACCGCGTAAATATTCTGCATGGTTTCATTTTGTCACTATGACATTACCAGGATTTGCCCTGGATTCTTACACTGGATACCATCAATACAATAACAGGTTCTTGTTTCAGTGAAACTCGTGGTTTTTTTCGCTTACCATATCTCATTTATTGATATTTTATCCCTGATGTGGAGTTATGTTGATTTGAAATAACGCCATCTTTTACACCACTTCGTGTAGTTTGCAGTGAGAGTGCTGTCTAGTAGAGAAGGATGTGACGATCTCGCCATGACGTTTACTAGACCAGATATTCCGGACGGTATCCGTTTCCCATATCCCCCCACTGGACCTTTGTTCCAGACCCTGTCTTACTATATTGCAACACCAAACGTTAGGTAGGTGTTTGTCGAAATATCTACTAGGTGATATTTCTTGTATGTTACTTACAGTCCGTCATTTACTTAACTAATATCAGTTCATGTCAATAACATTATATCTTCTTATCAAATATAAGGTTGATGAATGCAAAATCAAAAAGTGATAAAAATATCGAGAAAACAACTTCATTTTATTCCGTATCATTTAAATGAATATATTAGATATCATGGTCCAAATTATATACAAATTAATCTAATTGTTATACAAAAGACACACGTGAATATCGCCATACTATTCCACTTCATGAATTAAATTCTACCCTGCAGCCGTTCCGTCCTCCTCAGATTCGTCAGTGATGCTTTGAAATGTTGAAATCTACGATTGTATGGAGTAAAATCAACATTGATAGGAAGTGATTGGAATGTGCACTAGCCCAATAGTTCAATAAATTTTGTTATCACCAGCTTCTTAATTTCCACCTCGTTTTTGCATTTGTCTATTAAGTGACGTCCCTTATCAGCCTTACATATTTCTTAGTACCGTCAAAAAAATGATCAACTAAAAATGTATTCATTTTCAAAATAGTCAAATAGAGACGACAAACACAATCCGAATTTCTTCATTATTTTTGTACTATATTTTCACCGTTGTAGTGGTACCGATTTCGTGGTGAGTTTGGCTGCTATGTTTAACCACAGTAAGATCCCGGATGACAAAAATAGGACAAACGTGACCCATCTGTATGGATCGTGGTACTCGCGTCAGGACCAGTCTGGAGATTCTCTCAACTGTGTTTGGGGAAGACGACAAGACGGGTAAGACCTAAGTGACTAATAGTGACTGTGAATAACGCGAATTATTACAATTAGTACGAAAAGACGGGTATGAACAAAATGACAAATTGTTGCTGTAAATACAGTTAGTAATCCTCGTTATAGCAAATACAATGTATTATTGTTTATTTACGAAGCTCACAGGCATAATTAAGAAAAAAACAGAAATAAAGAACGAGGGTTTTGAAAAATAATGTAGGTTTTTAATGTACAAAAAACGTTACCAAAACATTTATTTACGATTGATAATTTTCCAAATCCACGTACTTCGAGTTAGCTTGCAGAGACAATGCAAAACCTAACTATTAAAAAAAAATGATCAAACTTCTAATTTAACATATTACCTGATTTTACAGCCTCACAACCGTAGAGAAACGTTGTATGACTGTGTATCTCAACGGTAAGTAACATTTTAAAAATAAAATTTGAAGATAAACTAGTGATTAAAACAGTAATATGAAGGATGCACTGCCTAGGAGTGATTGCAGTGTTTTCAATACCGTGAGATACGAAGCTAAACGATCATTGAATTTTTATTTATTTTTTTTTTTTATTTATCTATTATAACTTTTTTTGTATTTTTATGAGTAGAAATATTCGTCGATACATTTGATACTATTCATCAGACGTCCTTGATTGGTTGATATGATACACTACACACATAAGATAAAGCAATCCAGGTACTGGAAAGAAAGTGTAAAAGTGTTGCTATATTTAGTGTTACCATCTAACAGAGTCGTGAAGTACACAGCTTAAATGGGTGTGTTATAAAAAGATACTGATACGGGAGGAAATTATTTGTTTTCACTGAAGCTATCGTTCAGTGTTCATTTATTACAGATGTTGACCACTGCATCGGAGGTCCATTCTGTAAACGTAACGGCACATGTATAACACTCTACAAACGTTACACGTGCAAATGTCCACACGGCTACAAACCACCAGATTGTGAGCTACGTGAGTTTTTATCTACACGTCACGGTTCAGAGACTAAACGTGAAATGCTTTAATTCGTCAGAGAACGAGAAGCAATATGAATTATTCAACAACTTCCATAACTGTTTCTGTACTTATGTATTGCGATGCGTTTGAGCTGTCATAGTTTTTTTTTCACATCTGATATACATGTTAATATGCTAAATCCAATTAATTGCCTTAATTTATATATATACAAATTAATTCAATAATGAATTTGCTCTTCCACAATAATTGCAATACAAAAAGCGGACAGAAAAGTTTAGTGTAATAATATTTTACGTAATATTTTCCGCGCAAAAAGCAGTAAAACAAAGATTACTGTAGACATGGCAGTTTTGTTTCTATTTTTACCCAACATAACTCCATGGAAGAACGTGGCATTAATTAATGAGATATTTCATGATGTCATTAGTTTTTTACTCATTACTTTTGCTTGTCATGCTCCTAAAATTTAAATTTAGACAAAGATTGTATTGACCTCTTGTTACATACTTTGTGTGTCTGAGTTACATAAAGAAAATCTTGTCCTGAAAAAAATCTTTTCCTGCTCCGAATTCTGATAGTATGTGTGCACAAAAAATACATCTGTTTGATTCTTTTCATCTGTGTCAACATTAGTTATTTTGAAATTGGATTCAGTTCTTAGCGACGATTTCATACGACAACTTATTAGCTGTCTAGGTCTAATGAATTAATATCATCGCCTTCCAATATGTTTGTATGCTGACAGGTGTGAGTTGCCTTGACTTCCCTTGCAAACACAATGGGTCTTGTGTAGATACCGGCACATTGTACAAGTGTATATGTCCGCCAAGTAAGTGTTTTGCCAATTAATTATTTTCCTATCTAAGTACACATGGGTTAGAAAATACACTAGTTTTTAGTAAATTGGTGCCGAAGGTACTTGAGGTATTTTTATGCCCCAGATATGTATAACAGAATTCTTTAAACGTGTTCAGAAAGATATCTAGAATAGTTTTTTTTAATCAAATATTAAATGGTCTAAAATAGCTTTGATCACTAAGAGAATGCCTAAATCCTGTATTAATCCAAACCACAAGGTTAGTCCATGATATGGAACTTGATTGCTTGCAACTGTCAATGACATTTGCTATTACAATTGTACGATAACTACGTAAAGATAGGTACATATTTTGCTGTTGTCCCAATTGAGAGCGCACGTTATTCAAGTCCATCAGTGTTAAAATTACTCGAATTGTGGTGAAAAACTTCCTATAAATGACTAAAACAAACTTCTCTTTTTTCGTACATAGATTACTATGGGGTAGACTGTGAATGGAAGTATGACGAATGCTTAAGTGCACCTTGTCAGAATAACGGCACTTGCAATAATGACGTCACAGGTTTCACTTGTTCTTGTCCAGCTAACTATACAGGCAACACATGTACAACTCGTAAGTACAATATTAACAAATGCACGAAATATTGTTAAATTCAAATATCTTACTCTGTACTTAATTAAAGTCATGTGTAATGAATAGGAAGCTCGATAAATATGTATGATCAACGACACGAATGATTAATATGAACAAAAGAATGAATTGCATGGATAGCATTGAATAAGTATAAAAAATACTAAGACTACATGTACCAGAAGGGATAGCGTCTTCTGTTTCATCGACGACATCGCAGTGTCAGTTTCTTCCCTGGCTCATTTTTGTTTTCATACAAAGCTGCATTTATCGAACTGCTTATCAACCCTGTTCATCAAGACCTTGGCATGCCCTTCAATTTCACTTTTACGTAAAAAAAAAAATCCTTTGACATTTCATAGATTCATAAGAACTGGAAGTAAGTTAAAGCATATTCGATTGCCCTGTAGTGAACACTCCATATCTTGATATCAAGAACTCCCGTCCGCCAATCTATGGTGTTTATGGTGCTGATTAAGATAAAATTACATTACACGATTTTGTTAAGCATAATATTTTTGATGCTTGTTGCTACGCCAGGTGGTTCTGGTGTTGTCAACTCTGTTCACATTTAGGAACATGAACATTACTCCTTTGGATTAACAAAGATATATATGGCGGGTGTAATCGATAAACCAGAAGCCGCTTACTCAACCGGTACACGTGGTCTTATTTTCATTGTGCTTAATCAGGGATTTCTGTGTAAATATGTCTTTTGTTTAAAAAAATACCTCTGCAAAATATTGATCTAGGATTCTTTGTTAATCAAATAATCGACATAATAGAGGAAATTTGACACTAAAAATGATGAAAAAAAAAAAAATGAAAAAAAACAATGAATGTCACAGCACAACAAATCCATGGAACAAAAATTCCATTTTCCAGCTCCCATTACAGATCACTGGAATATATTGATGTAATTATCATTAGCTATAGGTTCTGATACAGACGTTGAGTGGACATTTTCTCCTGACGATTTTACCATATATGATAAAAGGAACAAAAATTCCAATCTGGTGTGAATGAACCTTTGCAATGAAATAAGTGAACTATTCGGACCAAACTAATCATATAAATATTTAACTTATGTTACTTTTCTATCAAACATTTATAATTAATTTGTATTAATTTCAGGCGCATCAGGCACGGTACGTAAAGTAGTTGACTCAATACTTTAACTAGATGGGGTCGCGATGGTAGAGTGGAGATGGTGTGCGACCCTCTTTATTATAAGTCATCTACATCTGGGTCGCGGGTTCGAAGCCTGCGTGGGGCAGTCGCCTGACACTGCCCGTGAGTCGGTGTTTTTTCTCTCCGGTAGCACTGGCTTTCCTAACCATTCAAACATGGTACTTTCTATTTCGCTGGGATGTCAAGCATCAATACACTAAATTATTATAGTGTCACTCAAACCCTTTGAATGATATATGTATACTTTCCCCCAGCTAATATGACGAATTTACACAAAGTGTAAAATATGATTTTAATACATTCGGAATCTCTCTGGTAGTAAAGTTAATAATGAAATTGTAAACTTCAGTCCAAAAGATCACCCTTCTGAAAAAAAGAACAAACCAAGTTTAGTTAAAAGTGCATGACCAAGACCAAATCCGATTATCAAGAAGTACAGCGATTCTCCTTACTGAAAAGGTGAATGTTAAACCTGTATGATAATGGTTATTGGTTTCGTGAGAAACCATGATTCAGGTAAGTAAAACTATGTTCTAATCATTTACTGGTACAAGGGAGATAACTAGCGCTAGAATCTGAGAAAAGGAGAGAGACGACTGACAGTAACCATTTTGTCGTCCTGGTACAGCATAGGTAGCGCACTAAAAATAGTTTTCAATATTATATGTCAGCCATTCGCTATTTCGAAAAGAAGTCATTTTCATTTGATAATATCAACTTCGTTTGCATATCTAATAGTAACTGGCATTCACCGAATCTTTTCCAAAATGTAGCAAACAAATTACATATATCCCTTTACAATTCAGGACATGCGCGTGATGGTGGATAACCTTGACCCACCCGTCGTCTGGCCAATAGTAGTCGGCGTACTCGGTGGACTTTCGCTAGCTGCAACCACTGGTGCGTGCTGTTGGTGGTACCTTGGTGCAGCTAAGCGGCGTCGAAGGAAAAAAGAAAAGAAAGTTGAGCCTTCTTCGCGATGGGTTGACGATTCCAGGGACGTCTCACGCCCGCCAAGCAATACTATCCCCAAAGAAAGATCTACGCATAATTCTGAATTCGCCAACGGACCTCCTGAAAAATCTGAAAAATCACGTGATGGCGGTATGGGCGGATCTGACATCACAGCTAGTGCCACGCATGCGTCAGACTTTTAACCTTAAACAACAAACATATAATAACATTAAATCATCGAACCACAACCAGACCTTTGTGGTCAACAGGCGCCAAAAGTGACTGACATATCATAATTACGTTGGACAGGAGTATGCGATGTTTCACTTACACGTAAAGCGGATGTTTAGACTGCGCATGAATCTGGAGCAGGAAGTGATTCACCTTAAATGTAAACACTTTTGTAATATCTTTGATATTTACTGTTGATTTCCTTTCAAGAAATACAACAAAATAAACTCAGACACTATCTGATAAAATGCTCTTATGACTAAAATAATTGAGACTTAAAGTTTCAACATAGTCATATAGTATCATACTTAAATCTTCAAAGACACTTACCCATAGCTAGGTATTTTTGTCTTTACAAAACATATTGTTTCAGGAAATTCTGTTTGATTCGTTATAAAAACATTTGGTATGTTAAAAACGTTTGCAAGTAATTTTTCCATGAAGTACAACATCCAATCGTAAACGTTTATTGGACAAAGGTTTGTTACCATTTGCGCATTTACCTAAATCATCTGTAATATTCGTGAAAGTCCCTAAAAGGGTAATCTGCAACCATATTGTTCTTTATGGAAATCCAATGACTGAGAATGGAACAAGTGCTTTTTGTGTTCTATTTATATCCGCCAACTGCAGTTCTTCGATAACCGAACACAGTTCAGTGCTGAGCTCCCCTCTCTTAAACCTGGTCTCATGATGAGCAAACATTTGCCAATACAGTAACATACTGACCAACTTGAAGAGTTTTGTTAACCGTCGAAGTCTTTGTCACCTCCATGTTCCACTGTAGCGGTTATTTCTGTTTCGATGGATATATTTATCGGTTTTTAATCCAAAACATTGAACCAAAATAGAAGTGTACATCAAGAAAGTTGTGAAAATAGACTTCTTTCATCTTTTAGTCTTATTTTCATGGTTCCCGCGATTTGATTCTACTCCCGATAATAGCTCTAATTCTGTAGTTAGACAATGTTTTAAGTGTCATGATTCACAGAATAAGCAGTTTATAATTATTTCAGTAGGTTTTAAAGCCTATTATATAACTATATGAAAATTACTCTCAGAGTTTATTTAAATCATTCAAACAATTTTCTAACAGCATGACTTTTCTGATACACTGAATCACGTTTAAATTACCATTTCCCATGAGCCGCTGCTTGGTCGATAAGCAGTAAGAAACATTACTTACACCGGGCATGTATATCCACGCCTTTTACCTGTGCGAGATTTCGTTGTCTCATCCTAGGGTTACGCTAGGGGATTACCCTCTCCGGACAATGATTGGAAGTTTCAGTAACAAATCACGGACGTTATGTCAACAATCGCGGCAATAATGAGAAGCATTGGAAAGACAGAAATACAGACATATACACCTATAATCATTCACTCGATTGAGATATAAGCATCCTAACCCATCGGAAAAGATTATTAAGTTGCAAAGCCTAGCGCGTCTTTATTTTATCGTCTTTCGCCTAGGGTTGAGGTCCACCTATCTCATAGGGATGAAAGATTTTATTAATCTTGTATCTCTACCCCTATGTTATCAATGTAAGATTTACCTCGATCACTGGCCTAAACATTGTAGAGATTTAGATATGTCAGTATTCGGTTTTATTTTACTGGCGAAAGGTTACTCAGAATTGTTAAATAATAAAAAAGGAAAATGTAAAACATGAAATTTACATATGGGTTTCATACAAATTAGATAAGTGGTGTAAATATGTATTCCATGTTTACTACAAACTATCGCAAACTATCGCAGACAAGGTCATTTGAGTCGCCTTGTAGTAGCTGGTAGGTATCTCACTGAACATAATAAGGAAGGTCCGTAGCGTGCCACCCAGAGTAATCAGGATACAATGTCTTGTCCATGGGCATAAGCTCTTCAGCACTGACCGGTCATGAGAAATACAAGCTGTAAGGAATAGTGAGCATCATACCACGCGTCTTGGATATTCACGTGAGATTACATAGTTAACGCTCAAACCATCTGATATTCGAGTTAGATCATCTGATTGACATTCACTTTGTCTTGTTCACATTAACAGCACTATTGAGTATCTTTGTCACATCACTACCCTTCTGCTGCACTCCTTAAAAAACGCGGACATTGCTGATAGATGCTATTATTTCTGCCCTAAATTTAGGTGTCATTCAATACGTACACACACAAAAAGATATATACTTTTGAAATATATGATGTTGATATACATACATGTATACATTGTATTAGTTAATAATGCCGAACAAAAACTTTGGTAAATTTTTAACACCGCTTAAAACATTACAAAGACACTTACGAAAATATGGACATATCAAGGAATTTTCAGCCACATTCAGTGATGAACTAAGGCATAATATGAACAAAAGACAGCTTTACACGGAAACCATTGAAAGAGCACAAGAATAAGACCACATAATCTGGAAGAGTAAGTGTCTTCTGCTTGTAAATCTTGGTCCCCCCCCCCCCATCGAGCCCCACTAAGTTAAGGTTATAACCTTTCGTTGATTGCCTATAAAACGCCAATAATAAGCGTGGCACAGAGATATCCCAATCCGCGGTCTGCTGATAGTGCTGGTGCTGATAGTACCGTTGAACAATATCTACCTCGGTAGAATTTGTGACTATGTTTGCTCAAATGGACCAGACAATGTCAGTAGTACGGGTAGCTTTGTTAACCTCGATTGTAATTTCCTGTTGTCATGGGGCATTCCTTGGCGGAAGCATCAACTGGTACATGCTCGGTGGAAAGGTGAGAAATGTACAAATTTTGTTTTCAGATTTTTTTTCTCGATTTTTTTCCCCACAATAACAAAAAATCTTGATTATAAGATTCTTTGTAAACAAAGAGTCCATCGACAGCCTATTTTGATGGTGGCAATTCAGAAAAAAAGTGATTTTAATATTATTTATATCAAAGGACTGTGTTGGCTTGCCACGTTTTAATTCATTCGAATAGTGACACGGGTAAGAAAATGTACACTTTCCTAAAATTATTTGATGTATGAAAATTACGAAATTTATCTAATTATGGGGCTGCTGCACCTTCCCGTCTTGAGTTAGACTTTTCTTTTGATCACTTTGGATTTTCGTTATTCGCCTCCGAAGCTTCAAAAGTTTAACATCACTGACGATTCCTAGGACGAAACATTTATATGATGCAGTTAAATTCATTGTTCGGCTCTACTGTATCTCACTCTATATTATGAAAAGGTGCTGTTAACCTGTGTGTATTTTGTACAATCTTTTGCAACCTGGTATTTCGAGTAAAGAAATATTTAAAAATCGATAAAAAAGTTCTTTTTCTGTTGTATGTGAAGAGTTTTTCTCATTACCAAATAAAGCAAAAAAGATTGAATATGTATTGACTTGAAACCGTAACCAGGACTTTAAAAACTTGAACAAGGGTGAACCAAAACCAAAAATGGTCGTTTCCTCGATATTCGGGACCCAACGACACAAACATATGATGAATACATCTACATTTAAATTGAAAACTCGCGACAATACATCTGACAGGTCATAATCTTAGATTTGCTTATCTTTCTTTCACGCTTTAAGCAAATCCATTGGTAACGAAATCCGGATATCTACTCTCAAAGTTTCCACATCCTATACGAAACCGATAACTTTTCTGATATTTCTATGATATTAAAGTTCATCGCGATTAGACAGGGATTTGAACCGTGGACATCCAACGTCTGGACGAAAGATATGACCAATTGATTCAAGTTACCTGGTCATCAGTAAATACCCATCGCAAGATGATAAATGCCTTTGTCCATACCAGTGAAATGCCACTGGCTCATGAAAAATACGCAAAAGAGTCGAACTGAAAAAAAAAATCTATTCGGAATGGAAATAACTTCCGGTTCTCATGATTTCGTCATTCGATTTTCTTATACCATTCCCCAAAAGGATTTAATGATGACATGTAATGACAACAAAATAATAACCGTGAAGAATTTCATTAACATCTGGTGCCGCCTTGTTTAGTTGAGACTATTTTACATCCTCGTATAACGCATTTAATATCGTTTGCGGACGCCCAATTTTAAAGTGAAAGCTGGTGCAATGAAAGAAATAAAAATCGAAATCAGAACGTAACATTATACGAAATGTTTTAATACGTGGATATGATATTTGCCGATTCCATGTCATAGAGAGAGAAAAAAATGTCCTCTCTTTTCTACAGTGTCTCCTGTAGATGCCTCCAAAATTGACGTTTTGTGTCGTTTAAAGTTCCTCTTTCGTTTCACGTCCAGAAAATCTAATTTACAAACGGTGTTGGTCCGTTAAGTATCTTTCTAATACAACATGTAATTTGTTTTAGAACGAAGCAGACATTTCATCAATAAAATCAATCACTTTATTTATTATTGTTGGTGTAAAGGAGATAGATTACATAACTTTTATCACAACAAACGTTAGGCATACATTTGGCTCCTACCAGTTTTCCTCTAATATAGCATGTATACCTTACAATTAAAGGTAACTCACTCTTTCTCTTCTGTTTTACATTTACTATTATGATCGCTTAAACACGTCATACTATCAGAAAGTGGTAAACAAAGGAGAAAGTGTGTAACTGTAATTCTTACATGTTAAGTTTATATTAGAGATAAATCACATCACATCACATCAATCACATCAACATCTATGCATGCTAATCTAATGTGACAAGTGCATTAACATTGGACGTTGTTTTAGGCAAGTTATATATAATTATTCATGTTTAAATTGAAAAGAAATAAGGATATTATGCCGCCCTTACCTCGTTATTTTGATTTATACATATTTCTAAAAAAAATTATTCAAACCAGGTTCGGTTCACGTATCGCCTAACATGGGAGAAGGGAACAGGACCTTGTGGCCCTGGATGTTCACAAGCCAGTGTAGGCCAGTCCGGAACATTGTCTCTGCCGTTAACCATTTTGTCCTGGTCCTGTACCTCAGGTTGTAATGGTAACAGTAAGCTCCACGATGCCAATTACGTCACGACGTCTGTAGGGGCTGGAGCCTCCAGCTGGGAACAGGGAGAAGGAAGCTTTTTATTCACTCCTCCGAAAGCGAACGGAAAATATGAAATCATGTAAGTGTAAATTATTTAAGGTGAATAAGTTCATTTTTTGTGGTGTCTTGTATTGGAACCACGTTAGTTGTTATAAACAACATTTTACCCTGGGCGGTATTTTACGTCGGAAGAGACTTAAGTTTAAACAATAATTTTATTCAATATTCAACAATTTAACACGTATACTAAGTGATTTTTATGAGGAATTTCTCTTGCTTTGTAACTAGAAGATTTTACAATTACGCGAGGAATGTTGTCGGAGAACAAGTGGCTAACATTATTTATTTAATTTGTTAGAGAAGTATAATTTTGTACAAAGATACACATGTATTACTGTAGTATAGAAAATGATGTTGATGTTGTATTTTAAAGAATGTGAATACTTACGCACATCTTACAAAGAAAAAAAGGAGGATTCTCATTATTAACGAATATATTGGCTTTATTATTTTTATTAGATAATAGAAATTTATTGAATTATCGTTTAATCTAGTTTTTTTCATAAGATAGTTAAATATCATCCTCGGAGTCTGGTGAAAATGACACCACCGCTAGCGATTTTCACCAAGGGCCAAGGATGGATTATTTAGAGCAATCAAGATTGCGATGCAGTTATCATTGACTGAATCACTAATTATTAAGAAATAGGTAGCCTTACAGTGAGCTATTTTATACTTTAAGTGTATTGGTTAAAGTCTTTCTGTGTCTTGGTTATAAACTAACAATTTCAATTACTATTTGTTACAACATTGTTATAATGATACTGATGACGTCTAACGCAGGTAGTTGAGTTGAAACTATACTTCATATATATCTGTGTCATTCAAAAGAAATGTTTACGATTAGTTAGCTCCAGAATAAAACCAAACATGGTGTCTATGTGCATTATTTTCTGCATATATGTATTCCATCTACTGTTTGAACCAATTGTGTTGATCAAAAATATTTCATCTCTCAATGATCTGTATAAAGTGAAAAAATCAAGGCCCATGTACCGAGTTACAAGTCATATGGGAAAGACCGAGACTTTGCTAATCATTGCTAATTCCTAGGCACTTCAACTTCCCATTGATCTTTCAAGTATAAGGAGTTAGCTTCTGGTTTAGCTTCGATTGTCTCTTGGAATCTTTTATAACAATGTTATGTATCATGCTATCACATGTTCTTACATGATTTTGACTTGTTCGGATGTTCCCTAACATGATTTACAAGAGTTGTTTTTCGGGTAATTAGGTGCACAAAGGCATCACACTGTATACTTCCTGAACCCGTAGAATGTCTCAGCCGGTCTAAATAACCGTTTATCTCCCTGCTGTTGACACCGGCCGTTTAAAAACAAAACTCAATAATCTCAATACATTTGTTTACATAAAAAAAGCCACTTAAGCGTCGCGCAGTAAATTAAAATTCCAATTTCGGTTTAAAAAATCACTTTAAATATTGAAGTGATATAAGAATGACATATGAAGTCCTTCTGTTTCTACCCACTTAAGAGTAACATCGCCCTGGTGTGTTCATCATATTATCGTTACTGAAAGTTATTAAATTCCACACCCTTTCTCTTATTAACGTTAAAGCCTTTCTTGACCTTCCGTACAGACGGGAGGATTATAGGATTAACCTACAGGTTATGATATTGATCTCCTCGGTATATGGAGGACTCTTTCTATGTCAACAAGCCTGCGGGGAAAATATTCCTAAGATCATTTTTATAAATAGTGCTCTGTTTCCAATTTGTTATTTACAGATGGATATTGAAACCTATAACCCAATACCATTGTTACCTGGGCGTTATTCAGATTAATACCAAAATGATTTATTATAAAGTTTTAAATGTATTTCACCTAAGTTACAAAACAGATATTCTCAATTTATTTGAAAGATGATCCCAATTTCTGTTTATAAATCCGTATCACTATTAATGTAACTGGCCATATGACACCAATAATCTAGTTGTTTGTCGGTCCAAATTTCGCAAAAGCTACGTGATTTTAATATTAATATCTTGTCAACATAGAAGTTTTGTCGTCATTGCCTTTTGATCTCTCTCTCGAAACTCTATATCGGATTAATGTTATAATTCCAATATCCCAATAATCACAGTAAAATTTAGCATTATTTCATTTTTATACAACCACATGATAAATTACAAATTCGATAAAATTGTTTTTCTTTTAAAATCACGCCGCTATGAACAGAGTTAATTAATGTTTTAGAGAGATGTACTGTACTGGTGTTAATAGTAATTTTGTTTTACTTAGGGAAACGTATGCACCAGTTTCATGTTTGTATAATTGTCATTAAATCCTAAGGCTAAAAGTAACTTCACTACAAAATATTCCACTGTGCAGTACAACTGTGTGATATTGACTGATAGAATCTTACATGGGTATGTTCCATAGACAACGATATCTCAACCAAAGTGTAAGAGTTTGGCTGGTATGATAATTTTCGACTGCTGACCACCCAACCTCTTACACAAGGATTCAGATATCCCTACCACGGAACGTACCTATGTTGAATTATTTTTCCTCTCAGAAAACAGTAACAAATTATTAGTCGTTGTGAAACCTATTTATCGCACCATCGCCACATGAAATGCGCATCGAAATTGATTATGTTATCAATTTGCGACATGATCACGTTACATAAAGTGGTGACGCAACGCTATTTTGAATAGCGTAATAGCAAGTGCTTTCTCTCATACCCTAGGGGGAAAATTAAAACATAGGGTGTGACAGAGACATTTTGAACATGTTAAACGGGAAACAAATATGTGGAAGGCAGATAAAATTCAAACATGGAGATAAGGTTTAGTTGAATAAGCCGATGTAATTACTTTGGAGAGTGCGGACAATACAACACTGCGACGGTCTAACGTGAACAGAAAACACCGTAACGGAATGCTTGCGGTTATAGACAATTTATCACCAAAATATTTACTCGTCATTGGTGCAGAACTCTGTTTAAAATCTATTATGAAACATATTTTTATATTTATGTATGTTAGGTTCCCAGATTGGCAAAGCTTATTATGCGAATTCGGGTCAATGGAATGACCTATCCATTTCCTGGACGAAATCTTGATTTTTCAATCAAATATGACTTTATGTACGTTGTACGTGGTTGTTGAAAGGTGTGAGCAAATGAGACACATTGAATAACATACAATGTATATAAATAAATTCAACTCGACACAGTATATTCTGAATAAAGACTAATATCGTAAAACTCCGAATGGACGGGAAATGGCTATTGGGAAAATAACGCTTCAGTGCGAAAATTGGAATCAAGCGTTTCTTGTAGATTTCATTAATCATATATAAAGTGTTACCTTGGATAGGTTAAGTCCCTTGCGATGGTCAACTCAAGCCAATGGCCCCGGACAACTACAGACAACAGTGGACCTAAGAATCCGTAGCGATACTAATCTGCCTAATGCCAGTCCGATAGCGGCTGTACAACCCTCCATTGGGTAATTATACTCAACGTCACACATAACATCATATAATTGGAAAACAAACACTAATTTCATTCAGTTTGAGTATAGACATTGCGATTTTTTTGTAGTTTTGAAGACATTTTTATTTTCTTTTTTCATTCATTGTAATAACATACGTATGTCATATTGTTTCAAGTTATTTTATCTTAAGAAATTCTATATTATTTTGGCCATATTGTTTACAATAATGTAATTTCTCACCTTATTCCAGAGTACCATCTGGATGTAGGAAGACTATAGCACTACCGGTAGTAGATCCAGACGCTGACATCACCAAGTGCCGGCTGGCTGGTCCGACAGAATGCGGCATGGCATGCACAACACTTACCGGGATACACATAGACAACGTAACGTCATTGTTTCGCGCTTCAAATTACTTTTGTGATTTTTCTTTAAATAGCTTATTGGCAAGTTTTTATATCATAAAGGCTGAAATAACTGTACCCAGACTTCACATAGCTTACAAAATAAAGTAACTTATATTGAAATGTCTTAATTACGTTATCTTGTATCTTACAAACAAGAACGAAAGGTCGTCATCCTCGCTATATATCTGCTTTTCTCCGATCGATAAATGTAAAATAAAACTTTAAAGAATACCTTTGCTTCATCTAGTTATTTTCTGAATTCGACACCTGAGCTGTTGTTAAAGTTACCCTTCCAAATATTTGTTTCACCTGCAGGACAAATGTACAGTAACAGTTCCAGATACACTGACAAAGGGCGAGTATCGTCTTGCTGTAGTCGTAGAAGACTTTCCACGCAGTATCATACAACTAGGGGGAGCCACCAGTAACCTCAACAAGCCACTCAGTGTTGTACCGATACAGGTAGCAATATATTCATCTTAGTCGTGGCACTGGAAAATAGAGACATGAAATCTGATTCCTTTTGGATGCTTGTTTTGACCTTAAGTAACATATTTTACAGGAATAAACATCAAAATTGCAAAATAGCACTGACGATTGTCATTAGCGCAAGCAACAATATAATTGTGAAATATCACACCAATTTCGTCAAGTTAATGCATATAATTTATCAAATCAGTCATTGTAACCTAACCATGTTGTTCTCTAATTGAGATAAAACTTTGTCTATTTTAGTTAACAATTCACGTCATCCAAACGAGTGGGGGATGTGGTTCTGTGATTCCCAGCAATGCTGACACCGGTCCGACAATCACGTATCCTTCATCTGGTGCGCCTACCGGAAGTCTTCACACGGTCCTTATTTCTGCTCAAAGGTGAAAGTCAAACTATCAGCTATCTTGATGGAAATAAAATGTTTTGTCCAAGGGTTATTCCAATCAAAACCTGGAATATCGTTACTTTGTTATTTGGGCAAATGAACCTTCCGAATAGATTTCATGAAGTATATTAATCGACTTTTTTTTTAGATTTTGACTCAAACTCTTTATAACATGAAACAAGTACTGGTGGAGGAGGGATTTTTTTTTCATTTTTTCTCCTGAAAAATTGCCAAACTAACAAAACTTGACAAGCGAGACTTGTCATTAACTTTTATTTTTAAAACACAAGTTTGCAAATTGAAAAATGATGGATGTCACTAAAACTTTTGTACAATGACGGCGATAAAGTGGAATACGCTAATGTTTCAGTACCAGTTGGTCTTATTTTTCATTGAAGACTCGTGTAGAGTTTGAATTTTGGTTACGATATTGTCATATATTTAGTGGTAGACTTACGTGTACATATGTCATGTTATCATCACAGCAACGCACAAGCTATAGTCAGTACTTCAGCTGGTGTGAAAACCACGCAGTCACCGGACCCTTCTCATCCTGGGAATTTTCGCGTGAACACGAGCTGGACGCCAAATGCTGACCAAGACGGAATGGCCTTTACCTGCGTGTGGGCGTTACAAAACAATGGGTATACTGTTATTTGCCTATTAAATAAATAACATTATTTGATATATCTGAATTTTACATGTAAACTTTTGCCATTTTTCATTTAATGTCATTTCATTCTTATCATTACCATTGTTTTTCACTAAAATCTTTTCCAATGATCATTTTCGCTAATTTGTCACTTCTCACGTTTTTGATAAGTCCTTTAAAATATTCCATGTGACAATACAAATATATGCATGTACAAATACAAAATAAATAAATTTACTTATGGAATAAATAGAAAAACTTAAGCACTTGTATGTGTATTGAAATTAATCCAATGGTTGTTGGATGAAGCTAAAATTTAAAATAAATAAATGAATAGATAAATAAATAAATGAATTTGTTCGAAGCAAAGACAGAAATACATCCCCAATTTACACATTTGTGAAACTGTTATCACTGTTGCATGTTTTTGTCTCCTCGCTGTGACTTCATCTTAAAGTATAAGTAACAGATGAATGTCAAAACCTTCATTACGTCACTGGAAAGCAAAGTATATGTTTTCAACATGAATGATGTTGCTCGACAGGTGGCTTAAATCAGTTCTATAGTCATGTTTTAAAATCGCCAAAATAACAAAACAAGAACAATGATTCATTCGTACAGGCTTTTGTACACTTTTAAAAAGCATATCTGTACGCCAAGTCCTTTTGTAATCCAGTTGATTTCAATATTCATGAAAAACCTTAAGTTTTAATACAAAGAATCACATTTCAGATAAATATTTCTATTTTGATTTGATTATGGCTTATTTTTTCAGAATTACTACAGATCACAAATGTTTCACTACTATAGTTAGAGGTAAGAGTAAATTGGGAGACAGCAGCAGATTGATGTCTTTTAGTAAAAGCTACTATTCAGAATGCTCGATATTGCAACGTTACTGGAGTGACCTCTTATCGTCAGCAATTGGCCAGTACATTTAAAGAACAACAGATTTTCACTAATAAAACCGAAACACAACAATATGCCTAGAAAAAAAGACATTAGAAAGCAAACAGATACGACCTGAAATCCTCCTTAGTGCAAGAAGAAAAGGGGCATGTTTCTGGGAAGATACCCATACTATGAGAATACGAAGAAATAAAAAGTCCCCTAAAGTGAAGTCAGTATGATATAAGCAACTGGTTTTAACATGGTCCATTCTGTTACATTTTACTGTATTGCTGTAATCATACGATATCGTTTAAACTAGCAACCAACAATACAGCGTATTACGCATGATGCATGGCTTTGTCATTCACAAAATCAAATGATATAATCTGCTACATATACATCATCTTTTTTATAGATATGAGTTAAGTATTACGATGTACACAAACTTTGTACATCGAATATGATAACTTATTGTAAGCAATGCAATTCAGTTATCTCCAGTCAGCAGCTCAGTGCAGTGTTTTGATTATTCTAAAAATCTGTTATATACAACACCACTGGAGTATTATGATCCACCAGCGGAGTGTAAAGAGTTTTCATAAATTAATGAAATAAACAATTTTGGAAGCATATCTTTGTTGCTGTATGATTGACTTGCATTCGTTCGGCGTCAATATTCATGACATGGTTTGTTTTTATGTTGATTTTTAGACAAAAATGACTGTAGTGGTGGAAATAAATGTCTGCATGGAAGCACGTGCATTGATTTATATAAACGATACACGTGCAACTGTCTGGGTGGATTCACATCAAAGGACTGCTCGGTCCGTAAGTATTTGTATACCAAAGATACTTAGGCCATGTAATGGTCTATATAATTTTTTCATGACTTTGTCATTGTCGTGGCATTTGCAGTCCCCCTACGTTGTTTTTTATATACCTTATGATATTTGTCGAAGGTGCTTCCTGTGTAACGTCAAATCCCTGCGTGAACGGAACTTGCGAGGAAAGGCATGGGACTCTCTTTTGCATCTGTTCACAAGGTAAGCAATTTTACATTTCAGTATAACATATATTTTAATTATTTTACGTGTATATTAACAATACCGGTCACAGATCATTTATTCCAACTTTTCAACAACATTACATTAACATTCAATAAAGCTTTCTTATTTTATCTGCCTACATTTTTCGTTAAGAACACAAAGGGTGTATTCTTATTTGAAACATCTGACATCCACAAAACCCCTTACAAGAAAGGTTATCATCACATATTAGTAAATGAATGAATCATATTGATATACCTGCAGTAATGGTAATAGTTAAGACTGGTCAAAACTTCATTGTAGGTTACACAGGAAAAACATGTGATACAACCATTGACAATTGTGCCTTATCTCCATGTTTACATGGTGGCACTTGTATCGCTAAGGCAACAGGTTCATCGTGCACTTGTACTGTTCAGTTTACCGGAAGTCAATGTCAAACACGTAAGTAAAGACGTACTTCACTATAAATCGCTCAGTATACATAAATTTAAGTATCCTGTACTGTTCTAAATACCGGAAGTCGCTTCTGACATAAGTGTTCAGGTACCATTTCTGTATTATTTCGCATGCCGAAAGTCACTATCAGCATGTGTTGTCTTGTGTGCCGGAAGTCAGTTGAGTGCCAGAGGCACGTTCCGACATATATATTCTAGATGCAGATATATAAATAAAATTTTAGAAAGAAGTTGTCACATGTTTTACATTGGAAGTTAATACCACCATGAACAGTCATAATCGTATATACATATCTTACCGATTTAGGAAATATAAAATGTGAATATACAATGAACGTGCCTTACATATGTAGATGAAATTTGAGATCGAGGCTATAGATATTCCCATTATAGCAGAAGCAATATCGGCTCTTAGAAAATGTAATTGTGCAATACAAAGAACAAGGAAGATGGATAGACCCAACATTCACGACGAAATGAATAACTTACAAATGTAGCTAGAGATGAAACTGTGTAAATGTAACACTTTAAAGTTATCAAATTGTCAGCTGATGATGAATATTGAATAATTGTAGTTTAAAAAGAAATCTAACAGAAAACAGATCACTGTTAAGGTTATGAATAGTAACGTTTCCTTCTCAACAGGTATTCAGACTCCCCTTCACTCTCGCTCCGTGACAGCGAGTTTGCTCTACAAAGCTACAATATCCTCGGATAGCGACGGGTCAGTCCAGATTCTCGATTACGTGAAAGTGTCCGGTGAGTACACATACAAGAGATAAATCTCATTCAATTGTTTGTTATGCCTTGTGTGTTCTGTTATTACATCACGTGATCACTCATAAGTTTTAAATTCATCGCTTTCTGTAAATTATCAGTTGTTAAAACGGTAGCTTTACAGTTATTAACCCTCATTTTTTTCAATTTTTCTCTCTTTTCCTTGTAGATCAAAGCAAAAAGGTAAGTAGTTTATTACACCCAAGCACGTGACTTACGTCTCCGACCATGTCCGTTAACACATCGTAAGTGTCTAACTTGTCTAAAACACTGTGCTATATCTAATAAATGGTAGAATAACGGTACTTAAATTGGTAAAAAAAACAACGATAAACGACGCATTTGCATTTATTCATACATACACAATTATTCGTGTTGTTTGTGTGTAATTTTTAATTCTGACATTCTAACAAAAAAGTTGTATTAACGAAGAATCTTTTAGTCACGTGGATGAAATAGAACTTATTCTATTCAAATATCACTTCAGGATATCAATGTAGTTGTTAATAACGACAGTCCACCCCTGTGGCCAATAGGCGTGGCTTTTGGGGGCTGCCTGCTCATCGCTTTAACCGGGTGTGTAACATGGTGGTGCTGTTTTGGCAAACGAGGACCAAACAAGGGCTTCATTGAACCTCAGCCAGCTGAAAAGTGGGCGCGACCGCGCCGATCTGGCAACGCCCAGAATCGCTCGTCCGGATCTCCGGTCGCTGAAAACACTCCACGAAAATCGGGGAATAATGTAACACAGGTTGAAACAAACACGGGAACACAAGTGTCCGGAGGGTCGCCACGGATACTCAATATCTACCAATCTTCAGCTAATGACCCCAACTTACATAAATGCGGAAGCAATTCACGCGGCAACGTTCATTACAACAATACGTTCTGGTGATACACCATGGACTGGATACCAGACACGAGAAGAGTGCTTATAATCATTCAATAGATAAGTAGTTGTCGTCAGTGGTCACTTTCAGTGATTGCTCAAAAAGTGTACAGAAGACACCCAAGTGAAGAACACCTTTGAATGAATTAGTTAGATACAGTAGAGCCAGACAATGAAATACACTGCATCATACAGCTATTTTGTCCTTAAACTTATTGCAACAGCCAACTTAATTCGATTTACGAAGATAATAGAGCCACTTTACATGTCACTTCATTTGCTTGTCATATTCGACAAAGTATTACCTCGCCTCACAAACTGTTCCAACTAAATTATTTGTATTCTGGATTATGTGTGGAAAACATTTATAAAACGTCTTCAATAAACCTTTAGAAATTCCAAATTCTTGTTTCCCATATAGAGCACAAGATATTTAAACGAAGATACATCTCTAAAACAAAATAAAACATGATCAATATTTTTCTTTCATTATCTAAAACTCTTGATATCACGGCAAAAAACAGGGGAATGCAATCACATATGTTTATAATAAAACAAAGAGAAAAGAAACTACATTAACTATTCCCTTCATTACATCTTACCTGTCAAGGTAATTGAACAATTAGGATAAAGCTTCTTGTAACTCCAAAACTTCGGTTCACTTGTTTTTATTCGGAGTGAAAAGACTGGTATCATTTCCAATTTAACACCATTAGTAATTATCATGGCAGCGTCCTCATACGGAACTCGTAAACCGGATTCCAACTGCAAGTTTGACTTTCAGGCAATGTCCAAGAACGTCCCAAATATGGTAAAAAAACACAGCGCTTTTTCAAGACTTGTATGGGATTTCACTGGATGACGCAGTTTTAAAAGTCTCATAAAACAGGGTCACTTAAAAGATGATCTCTTGCATCAAGTCCCCTTTTTCTTTTTGATGACTTCATTATTAGATAAAATATAATAAAATGCAAAAATATTTCAAAATCAGTTTATTTGGATTTTTTTATAACAGCTTTATAAATAAGTATAGATATTTAAAAAAAAAATTACATCCCTTTGGCAAGTACAAACGTATCTCGGAGCAATAGCATTATAAACCTGAACTCTTCTGTTGAAACAGATATAGAGGGAAACATTTAAAAACCTATCAGTGAAAGTGAAATAAAACGTAGCATTTTGGAAATATTCAAACGCTCCTAATTTAGTCATAGAAGTGTTAATGAGTTCCTCAATATAACCTGTGGCAAACATTTACAAGCATTCACTTTAGTCAAAGAGAGCATCTATAATATATATTGCAAATGAAAACATTTAGAAGCCTCCATATCAGTCAATGAGAGACATTCGGGAGTCAATGATATTACTTGAGGACAACACTAAAAAGCCTCCACTTTAGTCAAAGAAGAGAGTTTGCAAGTCCCAATTTTTCATCAAAAAGGAAAACATTTAAAATCCTCCAGTTTTAGTCAGAGAAGCCTTTACGAGCCCCTTGACATGTGAAAAATTAAAATATAAACAAAACAAAAACTAACAAGAGGCCTAATAATCATGCCTCTTTAGTTCATGAGAAGAAGCTGTTTGAAGATTTTTAACAAATTTGACCACTGTGACCTTGAATATCGGTCAAGGTAATTTCTTTTCGCAAACTTTGTCGCGCTTTATCTATGGAACATACCAGCCAATTATCATGCCTCTATGCCTTTTAATTTGTCAGAAGTCATTTAAAGGTTATAAATTTGACCCCTGTGACCTTGAATAAAGGTCAAGATCATTTTGTTGTAACATACCTGCCACATATCAAAACATTTGGTCCATTGGTTATTGAGAAGAAGTTGTTTATAGAAAAATATTGACACTGGATGGACTGATGACAGGACGACGCACCACGGCATAAGCTCACTTCACTTGGCCCTTCTCCAGTTTAGACAGACAGGTGCTTTCCTGAACTCCTCAATCTAACCTCTGGGATTTACTTAGAACATACATTGAGTGAGAGAGGAGCATTCCTGAGCCCCTTGATCAAACTTCTGGAAAAACATTTAACCTTCACACCTCCCAGTTTAGACAAGGAAGCATCTAACATCTCCAAGTTAGTCAGAGTCACAAGGCCCTAATGAAAAACATTTAACCTCAATTCCATCTCCCAACTCAGCAAAAGAGGAGTGTTTCCCTATCTAGCCATAATAAAACATTTAAAAGATTAAATTTGGTAAGAGAATGTTCCAGAAGCCCTCATCTAACACAGGGGAAACATTCAAATGTCCCCAATTTCCCTGTGGTGCTGTGGCATCATCTATAAATATAACATCTTTATCTTCCTTTGATGTGACATTTTTGTATAAATCAAAATAATGTGAATTTCATGGCATATTACCTTACTTAAAATGAATAAAAAAAATCCCATTTCTGTACCAAAGGTATTTCCCACTTGCAAACCTGTAAGATGTGTACATACAGGAAGCTTCAGTGAAAAATAACTCTGAAAATACAACCCATGGATCTTGATTAATGATGTAAGATAATATTCTGTTGGCTCCATTGTACAAAGTCAATATCAATCATAAAACAATAAGGTTTAACCAATAGTCAACAACAATGAGCGTTCAGTGTTAACTTTCTGTTGAAATTCTTTTCCAAAATTCCTGTTGGCATTTTAACAAATTGCAAACATCTTTCCTTCGATATTCTAAGAAATTCACATTCTAAGAAGATTCACATTATTGTTATGAAGGATAATTGTAAATCTTACCAAACACCATTACAAATAATGTATTACATGTGATAAGAAACAAAACAATTATCAAATGTAAGACACAAATCTCAACACTAGCATAACCCCTTTCCTAATTAATCTAAAATATCTGTTATTCTTAAAAACCAAACATTCAACAAATCAATGATAATTTACAGATAACATAAAACAATTTACATGGAGTACATAGTAAAATCTGCATATCACATATATACCATAAAAAATCATAATATCCAGTTGCCTATGTTTAAAGGCTGCAAGCAATACTAGAAAAAATGAAAGATATAGATGTAGATTAAGGAGATGAGGAAGAAGGAGAGAGTGTAACAGAACAAGCAAATATATATATAATGCTGAAAATATTAAAGTGATAAAAGTTACAATGGGTTGTTTAAATAAAGTAAGTTCTACTGCAATAAATGACATAGATATGGAGGAAATTTCATAAGGAGACCTTCCTCAAATATTTAGGTTACAGATGTATTCAATGGTTTGTTAAATATCTATTCAGTACCTTATATAGTATATATATATTCATAAGTATATCTGATGTATGGTTTAGTGGTGAAGGAAAAAAAAAAAGTAACATTGATTCACAGAATTAATTGGCTAAATGAAAATATTTGTCATGGAAAATAATATGGATCTATTTCAGCAAAAAAAATTTCAGAGCGAAAATTTACTTACCCTTAAAGTGGTGCTCATGCTATAACCACTTTTTTGATGTTGGTCATACTCCTAATTTAATGTTGACATTACTTCAGCACTAGCAATACCCTCAGTGAAATTCTTAAAAAAGAAAAAAAGGGGGAGGGAACTGCATTGAAGAAATGCATAGGATGTTGGAATAGTCACAAGAATAACATATAGAGCATGTGTACAGTCATTTTAACAATAAATCTAGGTCAAAATTTCATTGTCTGTATCAATAAAATCTGGCTTCATCTGATCAAGGACTTTGTCTTTTGTATACATTCTTTTCAAGGCTTCATTCTCTTTGTACAATGTCTTTTTCTTGTCCGAATCAGAGAGCTCTTCCAGTGAGTTGAACAATGGTGTTTTTTCTTGCAGACCTTCTGGGAGGTTGACGAGACTTCTGCGAGTTGACCGTCTCACTGGTGTTAATACAGCACACTGGGATCCTATTGAAGTATCACCAGTTGATTTTCTGCTTCTGTAAAGTAAAATGAATATTACAATATTGTACACATGGACAAATCAATGCATTCTGTTGTTTCCATACATGAAAAGTACCTAAGAAACATCTTTTTCTTATCACAACAAAGAAAGGTTGATATGGTTTGTGGTCAAGGCTTTTTAAAAATGATTGATTTCCCACCTTTAAATATAACCTCTTTAAGATATTCTATTCACGTCATCGATTACATTGTCTATATCCCCTGGTACTGATTAAAGTCTTCTGTAAAGCCTGTCGCCCTAATCTACCCTACACTTTTCCAGTGTACACTGTCATAGGGAGGCATTAAAAGCACTTCCATTCCTTTATTCTTTACAATCATTTGAGAGATCTGACATTTTGATTCTCAATGTCTAACCAAATAACTGTTAGCATTCCATCCTTTGTAAAGTGCTTATAAATAAAAAATTAAAATATGATTCCGTGACAAACCTTATTTTCTTATGTTATTACACCTAGTAACAAACAATCCAACTGACCTCTAGGTCATGCTCTGAAGAACTAGCATACAGAAAACAAAGTAAGCTGTTTTTTGCATTAAATTACTGGAGGTAGAATGTATCATTGCCAATGGAAATAAGCAACACTTACTGGAAGGTGTTACTGCCTGCAGTGTGGTAAATGTTCCTAAACTACTTACCTGAAGAAATTGTGAGTCCTTCACTCATTATTCCAATTTAAGTGAATCAGTGTCTCTTACAAACTCTAACATGACAGAATTCTACATCTGAATTGGCATGACAATTTAATAGACTCATTAACAAACTCATTACTCTACAATTTTTTCTTTTCATATTACATTGACAACCAACTTTCAGGTAAATCAGATTTGAAACAATGACCAAATTTTCCAGACCATACTGCTCAAACAGTCAGCAATATCTGAGAACAGAATGCTCATACCTCTTTGAGAATGGGGTAACCTGACGAACACAGTATTTGATAGATGTTGATTCAAAGATGTTTTCCTCCTGAATGCGTTTCTCGATTCCATTCTGGTGAGCTTTCCTCTCTCTCTCCTTGCTGATTTCTTTTATGATTTCTGTTAGTGCTGTGGCCAGTTCTTGTGCTGGCTGCAACAGATAGCGCATTACTTGCATAAAACATAGGACTAGACTTGTTACATAGTTTTGTTCATTACCAAAATTTTTAATAATTTATGGATACTTGAAAACAACTCTTTGAAATTGATTTTATTTGACTGAAAATTGTATATCAAAAATATTTCAGGATCAAGTGCAGCTTGGGACTACAGTTTAACCTCAATAGTCTGCCACCTTCCATCAAATTAGATTTTTGGTAGTACAAGATTTTGATTCCTGGAAAAATGTTTTGGGATCAGTTTGTGTCTATTACACATGTACTTGCCTGTAAAAAAAGCTTTTTATTCACACATTTTTAAACATTAATTAGAAAAAGGACAGCACATCTCTCACCATCGATTTATAAACTATCAAAAAGTCCAATAAATAACATTCCAGCTTCTAGATTCTGAACACCTTGTCCAATAGTCCAGACAATGACTGAAATTTACAATGCCATTTGTCTGTTTTATGAATAAAAACTTTTGATGAAATAATAATTGGTGCAATATGAAGACTTGAAAAAATTATTCTGTGATCAGAATCCTGATGTTCATATTGTAGCACCTTTCCAGAATTTTACCAGCTATGCTTTTATCTGCACATGCACATAAAGGTAACATCAGGAAATATGAAACAAGGGATTTTGCGGTCATGAAAAAGAAATTTTGACATTGACGATAGAAAGCCAGTGTCAATACATGCATACCATCAAAACTGTCATCCATTATTAACAACTCTTTTGTTAATGTGGGAAATAAACAACATTATGCTAAAAAATTACAGTAAAGTTGAACCTCCTCCCTAAGAAGAAATGCGAGACCCATTTTGGTACATTAAGCGCTTTAAGATGCTACTATCCATGAAGAACATTTGATTCTTCCATATCTAGAAGTTGAGAGGAAGATTTTTGAAATTCAAATCAATCTGTCCCCTTTTGGCCCTGTAAAACAGCTCCTCATGGTCAGCCAGGATCAATATGAGCATACCGTCAACTTCATCCTTTGCTCATAATTCTAACTAAGTTTGAAATAGTTCCAATAGAAATTAAACAAATTATATTCAAAAATATTTTTCCTGTATAGACTATAGTAAACTTTACTCCCTCCAACATGGAAATGTGACACTCTGGGGCCATGAAATTCACAATTTTGGTAAAGCACCTTTAGATGCTTCCATCCATGAAGAACATTTGATTCTCGCATATCTGAGTATTGAGAGGAATATTTTGGAATTTAAGTCAATTTGACCCCTTTTGGCCCTGGCCCTCAGGCCCCTATCTATGTAAGCTTTATACCTCCGCACATGTTAAATTAAGATAATAATGATGAATTCTCTATATGTACCTATTGTTAATTAAGGCCAAACATAAACCAAGAAATATTTGTGTTGTTACATCCTGTAATTTCCAGCACTACATTTTCACTCTATCATTTTGAACATGGAGAACATAAGCAGCAAATAAAAACTGACCAAACAGCTTACAACTTATCAATACAGTCAACATAATGTGTCAACAAAGGAGGAACAGAAATGAATATGCCCGCCTTTGTTTATCCAGCCTTTATCTAGCTTACCTGGGCTGCATTAATGACTGCCTCTTCAAACACCTTGAGAACGCTGTCTAAATCTGCGGTAGATCGTAACACCTGTGCCTTGCAAATGTAAAAGATGGCGGACTTTCTGGCCAGGGGAATGTTCATTTCAATGGAATCAAGCCACTTGAGGATGTCTGCATAGGGACAACCCTATTATAGAAAATTCATTAATTGTAATTTAATTAATCAAAGTGATCCTGGAAAAAAGGCAGTATTCAATTGTTTTAATTCCATGCTTTGTTGTGCCAAAAACAAATTTCAAAGTAAACAATATAAAGTAACATTTTGATGTATGATTAGATGATTCAACTCACTGCCTCAAAGAGGATGGTACATTCGTCCAGAATGGTACGAAGCTGTGAGAGACTGGGGTCCTCCTGTGTTTGACAATCGCCTGCTGTAGTCTCCTCCATCTCTTCATCAGCCACCAAATCAAACATCCCTGTTAGATTCACAGCCACAGTTGCTTCCTTTTCCATTGCCTTTTGCTGCAGCATACAAGTTTTTTGATATTCATGGGTAATTGCTGGACAATGAAATAGCATTTCTACTTCTTCTGAACAGCGTCAGATTTCGTTGGTCTTATTTCCAGGTATTTCAAATATTTTACCGTCACCCACATATAGCAAAAACGGTAAGACCTTTACCATATACTTTTATCTCTTTCCATGTAAATCACTTTAGGAAAAATACTTTTATCAAATATCAAAGCATTGTCAAATTTTAAAACTCAGTTCCCCACCACAGAGTTGGATATCTAATGTTATGAATTATGCTACAGATGATAACAACCAATGCAGTACTGCTGTCAGGATTTCTTTTCATTTTCAAATCAAAGTTATACTCAGACATATATATGATCAGCTGATCAAAGATATAAAAATGGTAAGGTCTATAATATGTAGAAGTAGCTGTATGCTGGCAAAATTTCTAAATCAGGAATAAACTCCAGGGCACCAAGATACCTTTATTAAAAAGGATGTTAACTCCTCTACTTTTTAATCACAATTAATGACAAGTAACTTTGATTTAATTTTGTTTAGTTAATGGTTTACTGACTAAAACTTTTGTAAAAAGGTCCATGGCTATCAGCTGAACGGATTTTCTCAGTTGTAATTGGTGTACTATAAAATTTTATTTTTGAAAAATCAAGATGTCCACGACTAAGGTATAAGGTTAATATACCTGTACTGTTAACTCCTCCACAGTAATGTTTCTCTTTGTTTTAGGGTCACTTTTCTTTCTAGCAGACATTTTGGCATCAAAACACATCAAATGCCGGAATTTGGAAGGTGTTTTCCCTTTAGCAACAAGCCAGTCATTAAGTTTGTTTCTGGAAAGAGAGTATTTTTTTAATTACAAAAGTTGTGAAAAATGATATTTAAAGTTATAAAACTTACATGTAAAACATGTTTTCTAAGAAACAAGATCAGTGTGATAGACAACTACCTCATTGACTCCTCCTTGCTTTGTTTGCTGGGAGTTTTTCTGAAGATAGCAGAGTCTGTCCTATGTTGAGGGGAGTAGAATCTCACAGTCCTTGCAGTATCTGGAGTCCTGCAAGGGAGATCTTGGACTGTGGTCTGACCTGTTTTATCACTGGATGGAGACATGGTCAATACTCCATCATGACAAGGGGCCTTGTTGCTTGATTCTGTGTCCCCATTATCACCAAAGCTCGCTATACAGGACTTTCTCTTGAGTATTCCAGGTCTTCTGAGGGGACTGCCTCGAGCCTGGACCTAACAATTGAAGAAAAAAATCATGACAACTAGGTAAAGCTGATTCATGAAAACATGCCAATTACATTTAGATTAATAAATTGTTTGCCGAGCTTAATTCCACTTAAACTTTCAGGCTCATCTTTAGGTGGGGTCTCCCTCTAATAACTGATTGCTACCTCACAGACGAACATACACAGCAATTATGTAAGGTGTCTTGCCCAAGGACACAACCACATTAGCACAAACCAGTCCAGTTCTCAGCTTCCGGAGAAACACACCAGAGGTAAGGGGCATTGAGCTACACACCTCAGATCTGCATCACCAGGGGTAGAGAGCATTGAGCCACACACCTAAGATCTGCATCACCAGGGGTAGAGAGCATTGAGCCACACACATCAGATATGCATCACCAGGGGTAGGGAGCATTGAGCCACACACCTCAGATATGCATCATCAGGGGTAGGGAGCATTGAGCTAAACACCTCAGTTATGCATCACCTGGGGTAGGGAGCATTGAGCCACACACCTCAGATCTGCATCACCAGGGGTAGAGAGCATTGAGCTACAAATCTCAGATCTGCATCACCAGGGGTCTTTACACACCTCAGCACCAGATCTTTAACAGCACCAGATGTTTCATAGGCCAACTGTCTAACTGACTGAGCTACCGACCCCTCATTTAACAAAAACTAGACATTCTTGATGCAACCCCCCAAATAAAAAACTTAACTAAAATGCAATATAATGGTACATGTGCATTGGGCATTATAGAGTTTCTCCACATATTTTCATATATACTTAGTTCAGTGACTGTTTGAATCAGAATTCTTTTTAGTAATGGACTTACACACTAAAGGTCATGCAACTTTTCTATCCTTTCTTGATTCATCGATCTCTTTAGCAAAGTCTGTACAAGCATCTGTGTCAATGAGAATTATCATGGGTGTGATATATATAAGTTAAAGAAAAGAAAAAAAAAAAACTGTCTTGTAGTTCCTTTTTACCTCAGAATGGCGTCGCTTGACCTCTGGTTTTTGGATTGTCCGGCCCCTGGTACTGGCTTGATATTTGTTGACAGCACCTTTTGATCCTGATGGTCTTGCTGCACCTTGTCCTGGCTTACCTAGTCCAGAGACTTTACCCACCATGCTGGTCCTAGAGCTGGATTCTTTTGGTTTAATTGTTGAACCCCTGGACAGCCTTTCCCACTTACTAATAGACCCTTCAGTACCTGGAGTTTTCTGAGAGGACAGACTGACTGCCTTTTGAACAGCGGTCAGTTTGGATGCTGTGTCTTGCCGTCTTGTGTGAGACTGTTGAATTGGAAGTGGCCCACTTGGTTTTATGTGCTTTTTACATGAACCTGATAAACCTGGAATATTCTTCCTTGAAAGGGAAACATACACAAATTCATAAATGACTTGGTCCAGTATTCATTCCAGTAGTTATCTATAAGATTAAATAACTATAAGAAAAAAAAATATATTTTTTTCAATGCATTTGTATCTATTCTTCAGCTATATCTAAGCAATCATAGGAAAATTCAACGCTATTGGATTCAGTTTGGCATTATACTGCAGCAGAATCTCTCAGATCCAGTTTCACACAAATACTGTTACTACTCTCAGTATATACTGGTGCTGCTTTTATACAACTGTAGAGACAGAACCCATATAAAACTTCATTACTCCTACCCAGCTCAGAGACTAAGTGCCAGCAATCAATACATAACAAATATTAATTTCTTTATCAAAGAGTCAATGAGCAGAAATAAAACCATGACAGAATCTTTGCTTTTTTTAGTCTATCATCACAATGTAACAAAGTGCAATGATCAAATGGTATGTCCACAACGACTGCTTTAAGCATTCAGACACCGCAATATGCACAACCTCTTTTTAGTCCAATACAAAATGTGTTGAAGTAAGGTGTGTCCTGAAATATGTATGCTTACAGCAACTCAAGTAAATGTATTTGAGTCTGATTACCTGTTGTCTTTGTTCTTCTCTAGAATCCTTTTTTGTTTTTCCTCTTTCCATCTTTTAAGTCTTTCTCTAAAAAAAACAAGACACATGCAATCAAAATAACCATGTCAAAGAAAATAATAATAAAAAATACTGTAATTTGTATTGGAACAGTAAGATACCCCCCCCCCCACTCCACAAAAAAAAAAAAATAAATAAATGGAATAATTATTCTACTTTAAAGCAATATTTCTTGCATTTTGTTGATAAGGGTTGAAATAGATTTAACTCCCTAGAAAAACAGATATACACTTGATATCATTATTCATAGCATTGAAAGAAATATTTGTTAAAACTCTTAAAAGTTCTAGTCCGAGGTTTCCATACTCCTGAATAAAAGATGCTTTTGTTTTGTTATAATAGGCACATCATGAAAAGTTAGTCATACTAGACTACTTCCACCGAACCTTAAATTGTCTAACACTGAAATCACCAAATATGAATATCAGTGAACATGGTTTTCAAATCTAAAATCACATAAAAGCAAAAAAAATCAGTATTTGTAACTTCATTGAACTCAATACAAACACATATATACTGAATAGGTATAACACCAAGATATTACATGGTTTTTTTTATTTTTAACATTTGTTTTACAGATTATGATTGCCATACCAACTCCAACTGAAATGTCACGACCACCTCCCCGAATCAAAGTAAACTTATCCAACATACTGGTACCAAAGTACATTGTAATCAGAAATTAAATTTGAAAAAAGAAATACTGTAGCTAGGGTTAACTCCTGAATGTTACATACAACATAGGTGTGGGTTCTCGTTCTGTTTCTGTATCACCCTTATTAGCAGTAGACAGAGGTTTCTTTGCAGAAGGTTGAGACACAACAGGTTTCCTGGTCCTACTGCCTGTAGAAGTAGTGTCTTTTGGCTTAGAATTGAGAATTGGAGTGGCTCTGTTTTCCTTTGACTTCTTAAATGGTACTTTGGCAGTTGTGACTGGACATGATTTTCTTTTCTGCCCACTGAAAACATAAGTATAAATACAAGCTTTCCATTATTTCAACAGATTTCAAAGTTTCCTACATAAAAGTCTAGTATGCATAATAAAGAGACATAACTCTTTATTAACAATACTTTCAAAAGCACAAAACGACACTATTGAAAATGAAAATGTGCATAGATTGGTGATTGTCAGAGATAAAAACAGCACTTAGACCTTGATCTTGTTAATAGTAATGTACTAAGTGTATACAGTACCCATTGTTTGATGATTTTCCCCTTTCCTGAAGTGGTTCTAATTGCAATTGTTGCTCCTGCTTCGCTTTCTTGAATTTTGTGAATTTGTCCATGTAGTCTTCTGCAAGAGATAATTGTTTATAAATACAACATATGAAAAATGCGTTTCATAAATTATAAATCTGTAGAAAACAACATAAGTACACGCATGGTATACAATATGGTCTGTCATTAAATGGATTCCTTTTGTGTGGAACAACAGGAATGTGTTTCTCTGATGACTCCATCCCCTGTTTTGTTATCCCAATTTATGATGGCCAACAAAATCCCTTGGAGTTACATGTCATGATGTGTTCACACTCAAAACTAGAGAATTGCTTACTCAAGGTAAATCACAATAAATTTAATGATTTCGTTTCTGGTAAGTTAACTGACTTTGTGAAGAACAAGATTTGCTTGTTTGCTCAAGATTCCTTGCAAATACATAAACATGGTTTGTAGCAGCTAGTATGTTACTTAATGAACATCAGACTTCAGTTTTATGTCACTCTACGGCAAAGTATATTCCCTATGGACACAATCACACACATTATGGCACAGAACCTTATAGCTGTGACTACTTCTAGTTATTGTTACTCCCACACACCAGAAGATTTCTTCATGAAAAAGCAAGTTTAAGAGATTTGGGGAAAAAATTACCTTTATTTTTTTTCAAATCCTTTTTTTAGTAAAGAAATTTTAGTTACAATGCCGGCGTTTATAATTGAATTACTGATGTGACAGCTGAAAATGAAAAATATTTTTCTTGATTTAATCCCCTTGGTTATTACATGAACTTATAAATTATTAATACAAGTCTAGTGGTAATTATAATTATTAACTCGTCTGATGAAAGGCCTGTTAGATAAATAGATAAGATTTGAGAATTATGAAGAAAAGCTAAGGGATTAGGTCTACCATATATATGTAGATCTACAATGTAAATTTTGAGTATGCAGTAATGACAGCTGTAGCCAAATGTAGCATTCCATGTGGTACATATTCGAAAATGAGGAAAGATATACATAGCAGAAAAAGGGAAATTATGACACTGACCTGCGTAAAGGGAGTATCGTCGCCCTATTGAAGCTTCATGGTTACCACGGACTTATATACACATTGATATTGGCATGGACGTATAATACAGTATTATACGTTCCTGATATTGGTCAGTGTATATATACGTCTGAAGATGCTCAAGATGTTGAAAATAATAATAAAAAAATAAAAACAAAATAAAAAATAACGGTATATTCTATAATAACGATGTGTATGAAGCTAAGTAACAATTCCAGATAGTGTTCCTTTTGTAGATAAATTCAAATCATTCACCATCAAACTTCATTTTCGCTTCTTTTTCCCTTAACCATGCATGGTATTGGCCACTGCATACACAAAAGGCGTGTGGGCGGGGTTTGTTTCGTGTGGCAAAAGAAATATTAGCGTAAAATCACCAATATGAGTCTCTAGATTTCTAATGTTCAATCCATTCGTACCAATGAAATATTTTATGACAGCAAAATTATCTCAACCGCAGCAGATTTGAGTTGACCATATTTGTAAACAAAACAAACTAAACCAACGACTCTACATGACTCGCGCTGTTATCGAATTTGACGGTGGTAACACGACTTAAACCCGTGTTAAATATGGAGCCAAATACATCTGCTATATACCCGATTGTCATTTGTGAATCAAACCTTGTTTATTCTTGGATCCTGGAGTTTGATTTCCCCGATTTTCAATACATGCATCAGCCATCTTGTCCACTTTCCGTTGCATTCCGTATTTGGCGCTGTTTGTTAAATTCTCGATGTTGATTGGTTCGGTATTTTCATATAAGGGAAATAACTCTTATATGATTCCTATTCATGGTTACCAACCAGTTAACAATATGCAAACCAATCTAATCCACCCAGTCAAAAAAAAAAAAAATTGAAAAAAAATTCTTTTGTATTCATTAAAAGTACATTTGAATTTAGAAAATAATATTATTTATTTTGATTAAAGAAATGTATTGCATTAAAAATAATTGGGATGAAAGAAATTTGGATTAACACGAACGTCATTTGGGTTAAAAAGTGGACTCAATATATGATATCAACCATAGACACTCATCAATAGTGAATATTCTTTCCAAATATATTTTTATAAGTGGATATTAACTGCAGATCCAAAGAATATAGTATTTAAAAGAAAGATACCGATAAAACGCGAAATCAATTCACGCCAACAAGGGGCCAAACAGTTAAAATTAGCTAATTATATACTTTTTTCATATATTTTTTTTGCTTGTTTAACTTTTAATGCTAGCATAGTTCTAAATATTTGAGAATTCTATATTTAAACATATTTTATTGCCAAGAAACCAAGCAGGTTATTACAACATTATTTTAGCCCTCGCCACAAATTGTAACAAACGAATATAAAAACAAAAACAAGAAATTGGAAACACGAAATTTGTTTCCAACAAGTTTCGTTTCGTTCTCCTTATTTCTAGAGGTAAAATCTACCTTTACTATTATTTCAAAATAGATCAAAATCTAAAGAAGCTTTTGGTGAACAAAGGATGAACATAATAAAGTATTCCTACGTTAAGGTCTACGGGAAGGTTACTTTTTCCACAAAGAAGGACATTACTGCCCTATTTTAGTATGAATTATATTTAATTGTCTCTCTCTAAAATCAAAATTTACAGGTGGCTGGTACTGATTAGAAAACATGTTGTGTTTAAAGTTATTTAAAGATGGTGATGTTCTAACTGAAATGTCCAGTTCATTTCAAACACGAAGAGTCGAAGGGAGAAATGATGAGTTTGTACTGGAAAGTCTATAGATAGGAATTAAAAAATCGAATCCGTAATGGGTATCGGGTAGGATAAAATTCAGAAAAATCTGAAGTTAACTTGTTTTTCATTTATACAAAAGACAGAGTTTACGCCGTTTCCTCCTTTCAGAAAGTGGTTCTAATCAAGTTGCAACATACAACGATTCACTGCCTTTGAAAGACGGAAGTCATGTGATTTTCTAATAAGTTGATTCGTATGCATACAGTACAGCCATCCCATACTTAAATTAAAATGTCTAGACGATAGTTAGTGTTGAATATCTATGTTTGGATGTAAATATCCATCAAATGGTTTTGAATGACCACATATTTGGAATATGTTTCTCTTTCCTCTTTCCATATCCCACATATTTTCTATATATTTCCCTTCTAGTGCCCCTAAAGATCGCGGGCACTGGCGTATGGCCGTCATCTATTCTTTATGCGGTCAACCCGTTTTAGACTCTTATAACTGTAGAGACAGCAGATATAGATACTTCAGAACTGCTGATGCTCATGTTTCATTTGAAAACCTTGTCAATGTTCATCATAAAGCGCAATAAAATCAACAGATTCGATCTTATTTTGAAAAAGTGAAATCTTGTTGGGCCGACGAAACCGATTCAAAAGCAAAAGCGAGCCCAGCCAATCAATGCAAGGAACGAACGATCAAGTCGCCGACTGCAGACCGAGTTGATTTCTAGCTTATCAACTGCTTTCCTCATTTGGTATTTATTTTTTTGTTATGAGCGGGTTACGGAAGTCATTCAATCGCAATCGTCGTGACAGTAAAAGGAGAAACAAGAAGCTTAGCCCGAGGTAGGAGGATATATACTTCCTACTTTCGATATGAAAGAAATTCTACTTTCGTTATCGGAAGCAGGATAGTGTGTTTTCTTAAATGAAATATCAATTAGCTTCCACTCGTAATTATAGTTATAACGATTAAGTAATTATTTATATTGACTGCATTGCATTGGTATCCATCTAAAACCAGCTCCACGTGTGTGTACTTGTAAATAACTTAATAACGGAGTTAGCTCCCCTATAAGTAAATACTGCACGTTCGCTTTTACAATACCGAAAAGGGAACTAAAACCCAAAGGGGAAACCAACGTGCCATCACGAAAGAAAAAACTGCAACCGAACTTTCTAGCTCTGCTGAAATCAATATATTTACTTATCTATTTATTTATTAACATTCACGATTACAGCCTCTTGTCCTTTCAGCAGACAAGGAATGCTGACATTTTACGTGTCAGCAGTTCGCACTTGATTGCACACCTTATGGCACTCGATTAACATAGCACCCTGCCTCAATCCATGTTTAAGGAAGGCCAGGGTAACCGTGCAGATAACCGTTCATCATTGTATCTCAACATGATCAATATCCAACTTGTGTTTTCATGTATTTTACAGTTTGTAACAGGCAAAACATTAAAAAAAGTAGGGGTTATCATTCAATTATTAACTGATATATATGTGCTGATTGTCACTAAAGCAGTTTATTGGTATTAATTTGAATGGTGTCAAATAAATGATATGTGTGCCTTTATTGGAATGACTAATATCACTTTATGAAAAAAAATATATGATCAGTTATTCATTGACAATTTATGATTTCATTTTAGTTCAGAAGATAAAAATGATATTTGAAAGATGGGGATATTTAACAATATCATTTGATATTTATAATGACATCACAAAAATGTCATTAGTGATGAATTTGATTAATTTACAAATGATATAATTCAAATCAGAAAATTCAGATGAAATATATCACTTGATCCACTTATTGGAATGATTGATAAGTAATGAAAGCATTAAATGAATAGTGATACTAATTCAGATTTGTGAAATCATGACTTAGTGATATAATTACTTAGATTGATTTTAATTTATGACATCATAAAATGAGTTTGTAAAATCATTCAAAAACTTTGATATATCCATAAGACTGTGATATCACTGAAACCATCCTTGATACTCCAGGGGTCAATATCACTCTCTGCACAGCTAGAACATGTCATGGCAAATTTGAAGATTCCACGTGTGACACCTGTTGATATGATTAATTTGATTGATATATATCAAATAAATCTTGAGGTCCCATAACAGTATGTAATAACGGTTTTTTGAAGTTGGGTGTCTCTCTATTATATTCTTCAAAGGAGTGTATCAGCCTGTGACTGGTCATAATTTCTTTCCTGGAACTGACTCTAAACCAATCAATTACTGCACTTGTGCTTTCAATTTTGCTATGAAATGTTCCATGGGTTCAGAGAGCGAAATTGAGTGTAACTCCTGAAGTATTGATGATGCACTTAAACAGCTTCTAACTATTGGTCTAGAGATATTAACAAATACAGGCAATCAGTAATACATGTGTACCATTAACTTTATTGGAGAAGATAAGATTATTAGTCGATACTTGCAGCGCAGTCTTATGTATCTATATCCCAGTCCATGCTTGCAGTTATCACAGCAAAGCAACACTTCTGAAACACATTAATTTAAGGGAGATAACTTCAACAGAAACCTGTCGAAGGATTCTGTTTCTTTGGATTATCTTGTGCTTTTGTAGTTGTGACCCCGGCAAGACATCTTTCAGCATGTTGTTCATTTACACTTCTACATAACCCTGACTGTTGACTTGGTATCAAAACCAACAGATATACAAGAAATGTAAAGGTCTATAATTGATTGGGTGGTCCTATGTCCATCACTTTGATAAAAAGTCAAAGAACTAATTTGTACAGCTTCTGAAAGGGATAACTTTATAGCAGATAATTCTCCTGAGCCTTTGATATATTTATAAATATTTACAGCATATCATAGGTCACACAAGTTCTTTTCAAACAAATAACTGTACCATTTTCAGATGTTAGGGAGAGGTAGTGTATCTGTTGTTGGGGCTAGAGCTATACTCAGTATGAACTCACTATGCTGCTTGACTAAGGGGAATGCTGCACAGTTTGAGACTGTTTAAGTAACCTGTACAAAAACAGCCATATAAAGTTTACAACTGTTAGTTACAAAGCTGATGAGTTTTCCTTGCATAGATTTTAGAGCACATATTTAACATTTTTATGTGATTCGTTTGTATATAGGGAGGTTGATGCTGATGAGATCCATAAAACTTTGAATGACATAAAAGCAGCCAGCAAAGCCTGTAAGGAGGCGCATAGACAATGGGAAAAGGACAAGTATTATGAGCAATGGGATCCAGAATATCAAACTAGGGCCGAAAAGTTACTTTGTGCAGCTGACCAATTTAGAAAGGTAAAAGTAGCTACATAAATATACTGGTACATGCTTACCTGTTATGAATTTTCTTTTTCTTTTAGCCCACCTGCATCTAATAGTTTGCTGTTCAAATTATCATTTTTCAATAGTCAGTCAATAAATAGTTATCATTATCAATGTATTTTTTCCATTTCATTTGGGACTGATCAGAAAAACAATGGCACGGGGGCAGCAATGTTGGATTTTCAACAGTTAGAATTTGTTATAGCCATCATGCTTTGTCCGTCAAGCACTGTCTGCCATGCGTAAACTTTTGACATTTCAATTCAAACTTCTTCTTAAGTTCTACCTGTGGGATTGAGCTGAAACTTGCATGAAATGATCCTGAGGTTGTCCTGACCAAGTGTTGTTATTTTTTTAGGTTTGTCTGAAATCCAAGATGGCCGCCACGGCCGCCATATTGAAAAACAGATTTTAAACTTCTCCTCCAGTTCCAATGGTGCCATTGAGCTAAACATTGGTGGGAATGTTAAGGAAAGGTAGTCAAAAAAGTGTTGTTACTTTTTTACCTTGTCAAAACTTCGATGCATCTTCCAGGAAGGCTATTTTGTAACATGATTGAACAATCACAGTTTTCTTGTGCAACACCTATTTCAAACTTCTTCACCAGATTCACCAGTTGGATTGAGCTCCAAGTTTTCTGTCAAAAAATAGGTAACACTTGTTACAGTTTCCTACTCCTCACTAGAACTACCATCTGCATCATGGAAAACAGCTTCTTAGTAAGATTTCATTCAAAGTAGAAAAAATAACCCTTTTCCCTGCTGAAAGTTTTTGTAGTCAGATGACTGTTAAGGCCCGTGTGCCTTGAGTTTCTTTAGAAAGTTAAAGGAAACTAACATAAAAAACTAGGTGAAATTTGGTCTGACATGATTTGATTTGTTCCATTGATTGCCTTGCAGTTTGTGTGTGTGTTGCAATATTACTTCTTGTGATTGTGATTCCCTTACACCTAATCAATGCAGAACTACTTGCTTTCAAATTTCATGTAAATTTACCATGGTTTCTAGTTGTGCCTGTTTGATTTTAGTATGGGACACAATGGCCAACAGGCATCCATCTTGGATTTTTACAATGAAAGTTTTGTTATTGCTATTTCTTAAGAAGTTTTGAATGAATCTTTCTCAAACTTCATAATATATTAATTTCTCTTGGTCCCTAGTTGTGCACTTTTACATTTGCGACTGATTAGAAAAAACAAATATGGCTGACAGGATGTTGTTTGATTATAATTGCTATTTCTTGGAAAAAATTTTGAAATTTTTTTATAATTAAGAGCAAAAAGAGAGGAAATATGAAATTTACTAGAAGGGAAATTATTAAACTTTTAAAGAACAAAAAAGATCAAACAATAGTGGGCGCCAAGATCTCTCTCTGGGATCTCTTGTTTTTGACATTCACTCACAAATGCTGGAAATTGCCCATAGCTCTTCCAGTGTTTTCCCTGTTAGATTTGTTACAAAATGAGGTAAAAGATAAATAAAGTCATATTTTGAAGTGATAGTCATTTTATATGGGTCCCTCTTGTCATTTGATTTCATTGATATTATCTGATTTAGGGAATAATTACGATGATCTAAGGTTCTTATTTACCTCTTTTTATCACAGAAACATGTCTGTACTTATCAGGACATTTAGTATAGGGTTAGAATCTTTCTTAACTCCCAGGGAGCATTGTTACAGCTGAAGCTGTGATTATACGCAACATTTCCAGCACTATAGTGCTCCCCAAATCAGGCTGCTGAGTTGACTGGAAGATGAGAAAAAAGTACATGTATCTTTATCTGGTGGCCATCAAAAATGTCTTTATTGTACAGGGACCATGGTGGCTGAGTCGAAAAAGTATCTGACCATCTTTAGCACTTAAGCTCTCCACCTTTGGGTCACAAGTTCAAAGTCTACATGGGTCAGTTGCCAGCTACAGACCGTAAGCTAAAGAAGTCCTACTTTCCTCCACCACCCAAAACCTTGTACATCCTTAAATGACCCTGCTTGTTAATAGGACAGAGAGCAAAAACCTACCAAACCTACCACCTATGCCCTTTGGTTATAATGAAATTACTATGGGAGGCAGCCTAGTCTGGAACAACAGTGTCATATACCATTTATAGACAGAATTTCAAGATTCTGTTGTGTCATTGTGATAAATCTTAACCATTAATTTGCCACATCATATGTTGCCACTAACTTTTCTTAGTTGTTGTAAAAGTAAAAATATATGACATTGTGTAGTCTTGTATGTATCGTTATATACCTGCATGGTAGTTTTATGAAATAACTTGGTACAAATGACACTTGACAAGATTGTAGATTGATGATTTTTTGATATTAAAGAAACTTGACTTGCCATGGCCAATGACAAAATCAACTGAGGTGGATGACTTGAAAGCTCGCCTCAATAGAATCACCCGCGACAAAGAGGAAGCAGAATATTGCCTCGAGGAAGCTGAATTAGAAATTGAAAGGCTAAAGGATCGCTTAGGAGATCAGGTAATAAAGTTTTGGCTAACATCTATTTTTAGTCCACCATCATCAGGTGGAGGGCTCTTCAGATTGCAAGTAGTCCATGGTTCATCTGTTGTCTTTTTCATCCTTAAAAATAATTCTTGTCATCACTATTTCTTAAATGAAAACAAAACATCTCAAATTTCATAATTCATTTTCTTATCATTTATTGTCCCAAGTTTTCATTGTTTATTTTTTGGAATAGATCAGATAGTTAACATGGCTGTAAGGCATGCAGCCACCTTTAATTATGACAACAATATTTTAGTATGATTATAATGAGAAATATATGGATCTTTCTTGAATTTCTTTTCAAAGGTTCCATTTGCTGCCTAGTTAATTGTGCATGTTCAATTTGGGGACTAAATGATTGCATGCAGCTATGTTGGATTTTAATAGTTGAACATTGTTATTTCTGGAGAAGAGCAGAATGAATCTTTCTCAGATTTACTGTGTCACTCCCCTTAGATCCTTGTCAAAAATATTAAATTCTTTGAATGATAAGAAAAAGAAAATGGCTGAATAGCAGCCATATTGGATTTTGGATGTTGAAATTTGTTATTGCTGTTTCTTGAAATTGATCATGAGTATTCTCCATGGAGCTTTCTCAGATTTGATATGAAAACTCCCCTTAGTACCAATGTAGTTTTGCATATGTAATTCTTCATCTTATCCAAAAATGGCAGACAGGCAGCTTGTGACCAAATGAAGATCATACAATAGTTGGTTGGATTTTTTTTTCCTGAAAAGTATTTTAAAAATTATTTTCAAAGAGTTTTAGCCATGATTTTGGCTTTTATTAAATTCTGTTATGTCATAATTGAAATGGCACCACCACCAATATGGCACCACTCAAAAATGTCTTGCTATCTGTCTTTTGGCGGTTGAAAGTACTTGTTATGCATGAGTGAGATATTTGATGAGGTGACCACCTGACCAGTCACATGGTTTATTTGATGTCAGAGTTACTTCAAATGAATGCAAACAGTAGTGTAGAAGGCTAACACTTTTCATATGATTCTGTTTTTTCACAATACTGTAGAAATATCCTGTGTGTGTATTCACACAGGAACCTATACGGTTGCTCCCAGCTCCCAGCCAACAAATGGTACAGTGATATTACTCATTTTTAGTGGCCGTGTCTGCACAGTTTTCTAGTCAAGAGTCAAGAGAGCGCTGTCATGGGGTTTTGCGCCAAACTGTCACAGGAGCTCCATGAGATCTCACATTGTCAACGTCACCTAGTGTCAGTGGTGACAACCAGGGGGAGATCATTTCCCTCGGTTTTCACTACATTCCTTCCCGCTTTATGAAGGCCTCTTCCATGAGGATTGAAGGTGTTCACAGGAGGCCTTTCCAGGATGGCAAGCTTGTTTGATTTGATATGTTTGTGACAAATGTTTCGGGGATGTCAAACCTCAAAGAGGTGAAGTGAAGTGTCAAGCCCCCTTAAGCTCATAGGGTTTTGGTCTTAGGCACAGTTTATAGCTGCACCCAAAACCCGAGGTCAATGGGTGGTTACACCTAATATGTGGATTTTTCATGGGAACTGCCCAGGTTGGTGGCCTGTTCCATGTGTAATGACTTTGTATGATTTGTTTCAACAGATGCAAATACATGGGTCTTACTACCCCTGATACTGGCCACATCCAGTGTTTTAAATCATCAGAGTCACTATGAAGAGCAGGTTGTCAAAACTGCCCACTTGGCGTAGCTGAGTCCCCCTCCTAGGCTAAAGGTGAACTGACCCACAAGCTTTTTGAGTCCAGGCCTTCACACAGGCTCTACTAGCCCGAACCTAATACCCAGAGATCCATCAACCCTTCGTCCTAACTAACCTAGTGTTAATTATAAGGTATCTCCAAGGGATGGTCCCTCTTTTCCTTTTTATATATGGGAGGCGTGCTATAAGTATGAATGTATAAACCCGAAATGTTGTTGACCATAGTTGCAGGGTGCTCTCTGTATAATGGACTTGGTGCCCCTAATAACAAGTCCAGTGGCTGTTTCTCTTCCAACATTATCATGTTTGGGTGGAACCCTATTCCTCTGTGTTCAGTGGCGTTGAACACCATCTTGATTAGAGTAATAGTGCCATGTATCATCTTTACGATTGATACAATATCATATGATTTGAAGAACTGTTCGGTTAAGCCGTTCAACTTCTTCATTTGAGGAAGGATTGTAGGGAGTTGTGCGGGTTTTGGTGTTCTGAAGTAGTTCACATAACTCTGAGAAAAGTTGATTGCTGAAATTAGTTCCCTGATCTGTGTGGATCTGCAGAGAGCTACCTGATGTTTTTTACTTGGCTGTAAGCTACATTCTGTGCGGATTGAGTAGGAGCTTGGAGTCCAATCTTTTAACTTTGTGTATATTTTGTGCTCCCCTAGATGTCCTCCCACATAGTTGTCATGGGCACAGATTAAGGCGATTTCCCTGCAGAAAAAGGAAGTATCACCTGGGGCCACTTGTTGCCCAGCAGGACATGATACAACACACCCTCTTTGAGGGCCAGACATTGCCTCCTTAACCACAAAGCCTTCATAGCATGTAAACAGTTCCTCTTGTAAAGGGGCTTGTCCCTTCCTGTAGCCATGCTTTCACTGGTCCCTCATTTCCTGGTTCACAATATCCATCCGACACAACCCATTCATTCAGTTGATCAATTCCTTGGAATTTTTTGTTTCTCATTAGAGTTGATTCTGTGGTCTGTGTCATCCTCCTCCTCATACTCTGATGAAGATGAGGTGTTCTTCCATTGTACAGTGTTGATGTTTTGAATGGCTATTGATGGATGGGTGTAGGAGTCTTGTCCTCGAGGGACACTGGTTCGGTAGACTAGTGGTACAACATGGTCCACATCTTCACTGAACTGTTTCCACTACTAATGATTGAAAAAGTGAAATTTTCAACTTTAACAAAACACTGTATATTGTTATACAGAAATTTGAGCAAATGAAACTGTTTAAATAAAACCTAATTTATAGAAAAATTGCATCAAAGGTCGTGAGTTGGCGATAATCCATTTAACCTGTATTTCATAACATCTCAGATGTAACAAATGTTACTTTTATGAAATAACTTTTTGATGCATAACATGAAATATGACTATAAAGGTGTTCAATATTTTTTGTATAATTTTGGCTCATGAGTTTCGGAGATATAAAATATATATATTATTTCATCATTTTAGACTGACATAAGGGGTTATGAAAAATTATGGCCAAAACCATTTAAAGGTAACTTTACAGCAGAGACCTATGTATATGCCTGTACGGATGGATCTTTCTCTTATTTGTCATTTAAATTTTTAAGGCTCCCAAAGTTCCTTGTGCATGTTGTGATATTGAGTCTGATGAAAATCTTTCTCAAATCTATCATGATAATTGCATAGGTTTCCATTCTCGCATGCTGTTACCATTTGATATTTCATCAGTCTTTTAACATGTAAACAAATGATAGAACAAATCAGATGAAAGAAGAGAAAATAAGGAGAAAAGTCATATACCAGCCGGAGGAATATTACTTGTTTTAGTCTGCAGGTTATTCATACTATTTCTGATCTACAATTTTGCTCGTACTAAGATCATTTAAACTATATATATAGAATAAGGATATTAACTGTCCTGTTGCAGCCTAGAAAAGGTAGACCACAATCACCAGACAAAATGCCAAAACGTCATGCCGAACCTGAATATGAGCACAAGATAGAATCAGATGACTCAAAGCGTCCAAGGAAAGAAGGAAGTATTGATCGTCGAGGTCCTTCTCGTACTCCGATCCATCGTCAAGAGAGTAACACTCAGAATGCAAGAAGGGAAAGTGGCAACTACGAAGCTCTTCAAAAGGAAATTGCGGATCTGAAGAAGAAATGTGAAATACTTCTTGACGAAAATAAGTCGTAAGTCCATGTTAATAATTTGATTCTGTATAAGATGACATAACGACCTTATCGGGGCTCTTTGACTTTTTACAGATGTCATTAAAAACAGCAGATTCAAAAGCTTGGAGGAATTTCAATGTGCGACACACAGATCCGTTTTATATTAATCAATTTCATACCAAGATGTAGTGCATTTGTGAAAACCAATTACGATATATATTTCATAACTTCTATTTATCAAAACACGTAACTCAATTTTTTCTCCTTTAAAATCCAAAAAATTCAACTTTAAATTCTGTTCATTTTATCAAACATCCACACATATATCTAAACTTTTAAGTGTCAAAAGTAATTTTCCTTTGGCATTTATCTGGAATCTTCAAATTGAATTCACTTTCGAAACCTTAAAAATGCAGAAAAATTTGTTATCAGTTTGAATTAAGTATTATTAGTTTTTTTGATCATCTTGATTAATCTATCCAGTTTGTCAGATTTTCGAACGAATGCTACAGCGACATTGGACAAAGCAAGAGATGAGGCTGCCAGATACAAGAAACAGATGGAGACCAGTGATGCCACAATACATAAATTTATTGTTGATGATGGGTTTTGCTCTCTCGGGCTTCTTCAGGACTCAAAAAATAGCTTATTATAACTTTTAATACGATAAATTCATTACAAACGTCATGATTGTGGAAAGGTCTCCTCATCTTTATGTACTTTAGGGATAAACTTTTCAGTGTTAAATCGTGTCATGAAAAAGCCCGAGAGGGCAAATCTGGACTACAGTAATAAATTTAGGAATCATACCGCTTCGCCTGTTGTGATTGGCTTCTACATTTTAATAGTCTTATTTATCCTCCAATCACCATGCATACTTCCGGGTATCGAGACGGAGAGGACTGAGGAAATATCATCCAACTACTAATACATTTACCTGGTGTTGGCTCCATCTTCTTTGTTTTAATGCATAAATACATATGTATAGTGACAATTTAACTTCACCACTATTACCACTTAGAAAGAATTTTGCTGAATAAACTATAGGACGTTGGAAGGTTCTGAGTTATCAGGCAAATGATTCAGCGTTAATCTATGATGTTTACTGTTGTCAACAACTGACATCAGAATTGCAGAATGTACACCTCCCAGAAGTTGTGCATCTTGTGATAATATTTTCCTTCTGCATGACTTTCTTTTCAGAGTTATGCCCCTTCACAGAAACCAACAAGTAAACTGTTTGTGTCTATTTCAACGAAACTTTACACATATTTTAATCATACGATTACATGTACCTCTATTGGTTGAATCTTAACTTTCTTTTCATTTTAAGCCTTTCTTTTAGAGTTATGCCCCTTTGTTGAAAAAGTCCGAAATACTAGAAATCTTTGTAGGTTGATATTGGTGAATTTTTACACATATCATAAGGAACCTGTGCATTGTCTGTGGATTATTTTTTTATAGTATGTTACCAGGATTGTCAAAACTTTGGTTCAGAGATTGGTGAAGTTCGTTTTCCTTCAAGATGAGATATTTTAACTATTTTCTTTAACTTGTCGCGGTTGCTGTATATCACCTCTGATTATTTAAAGAATCTTTGGAGTTGGATATATCTGTATTGCTGTGAAATGATATAGCTGGCTCTGCACATGTTAAAGCATAATTGACTTTATTCCTGTTTCTTTTCGTTAAGTTACCATCAAGAGATTGACAAATTGAAAAGCCAATGCCAAGAATTGGATAGGTCTATGAAAACTGAGCGTCAACAAAGAGAAGAAATTCAACGCAGGTAAAATCAAATAAAAAACAAACATAGGAAAGAATTGTTGGTGACATACTTTTTGTAAACTTAACACATAGACAAAGAGTCCCTGAAAAAAAAATTCCATTGCATTTTAGTCTGCAACAAAGTAAGGTGAAGGAAAAGGACCTGTATGATCAACTTGACAGACTTCAGCAGGTATTGTCTGCAGAGAGACGAGCCAAAGAGGAGGCACTGGTCAGGTATGATACCAGCTGTACATCTTAACAGAGTGCATGACTAACAAGGATAGGATATAAATAAGTTATACCCAGCATGGAGAATTTTCTCCAACCTCTCCATATTTAAGGTATACGCTTTCCTCTTACCCAGGACAGACTTATCCATACTTTTACCAGTGTGAGATTAATAGAATCTTTCACCTCCTTCAATATGAAATAGAGGGTCTCAATCTGAGGGACTGAAGACTATTAAGTTGTCAAACATGTGTATGAATAGCGACAAGGCCTACACCTCAGACACTTCATGCATTGTGATTTAATGTTGCACAAAATATAATTCTAGTGTACATGACAATAAAAAGTTAGATAAAATAATGCTCTTAATATTTTTTGTAATAAGTTGTGGATTAAGGTGGTTTTCAATCTCATTGATAACACAGGATTTTCAGTTTGAGAATAACACAGGATTTCAGCAGGAGGCGAAAAATTGTATTTGTGTGACCTCATTAAAGTAGTTCCACTGTCATGCACTATGGTGAGACAAGGAAATCTTATATGGGGAAAAGCATGGATTTACCTGTCCAGGGTAACAAAATGCCTTGAATCCCCTTTTGATTGAAGTAGGGGATTCCCCTTTCATATTTATAATTTCGCATTAATACTGCAAAACATGGGGATAGCAACAAAATAAATCATTACACAGAACTGTTATAAAAAGATTATGTTTTTTTTTTAAACTGACATTTATGATGTATCCATGGTATGATGTACTTTTTTTCTCATCTTTCTAAATATAACTTCAGTTTAAAATATATTCAGGTCTGCATGCAGATGTTTGATCAAATTATGTTTACCAAATATTCATAAAAGAGATGGAAGAAAAGTGGATGTTCATATGTAGGTATATGATGTTATGGATATTCTACCCTTGATTTTAGATAGTTCAGAACCTTGACAAAACTGCTGTTCTGTCTAAAATTCTTTACCACCCTTGGCTGTTAGAATATCCATGTTCCACATACCTATATGTTAACACTGTGTGTGTCTATTCTTAGCACACCATCATCAGATGTAAAGTTTATTATTGTTATTTCTTGAGAAGTGCTTGATAGATCTTTCTCAGATTTCATATGTAAGTTTCCTTTGTCTATAGATGTGCATTTGATTTTGGGAGTGATCAGAAAAAGCCAATGGCTGATAGGCAGCCTTTGTCAATTTTGATTTTGGAAGTTTGTTATCACTACTTCTTGTGAAATACAGCATATGTCTTTTTCAAACTTCAAGTGTAGGGGCCCTTTGGTCCCTTGTTATGCCTGTTTGAGTTTGGGACTGATAAAAAAAAAAAAAAAAAAAGGCTAACAGGCAGCCATCTTGGATTTTGCCTAGTTAAGATTGTTATCCTTATTTCTTAAGAAGTGCTGAATGCATCTCTCTCAAACTTCATACTTATGTTCCCTTTGGTCTCTACTTGTGTCAAAATGATTTTGGGACTTATCAGAGAAAACAAAATGACTTCCAGACGACCATCTTGGATTTGGCAAGTAAATATTATCATCGCTATTTCTGCAAAGATCAAATAAAGATCAAACAATGATGGACGCCAAGATCCTTCTGAGATCTCTTGTTACATCTTCCAATACGTGATATGAAAAATGATATGGAGTTTTCTTTGGAGGCCTACATATTGAAAAAGAGGGGACATTAATTGATGGTCAAAGAAAGGGAGAAAATCCTGTATATTATAAGTCCTAACGAAAAAATATAGATCGGTAAAATATTGTGAAGTACTACAACCAGAACTAAACCTTCGCAGTACCCTAGAGTTTGAAAAACTTTGAGATTTTATATAATATTCCAACCCCTGACCATGAGTCATTAGTAATGCTTTTCCTCTTTAGCACTGTTGTCAGTATAACTTATAAAAACATATATCTCCTTGTAATTTGCAGTGTGCGGCATAGTCAGTCAAAAGAGGAAAATTTACGTGACACCATTGACAGGCTACAGAGGAACATATCATCAGAGAGAGAGGCCAAGGACGAAGCATTGCTCAGGTAACATTTAAGTTGTGTCCCTTAGATTTTGGTCTGATGAAATTGTGTTGATCTATTGATTGATAATCTGTGAAAATGTACATTGTTGTTTGTATTTATCATACTAAACACATGTAATTGTCTTTCAATCCTTCTCTCTAAATATGATATCATTGTGATTACAATACAACTTTATGATATTGGGTTTATTACCAAACATAGACTTATTGTCAGATATATGAATGAATATCCATACTCAGACTTAGTGCTGTTGCTGGTAACAAGCTCCGTGACAACAACCCTGGCATCACTGACCTTAGTGACCCCAACCGACCAATGAAGCTAGCTGAGAAAGTATCTGAACTGTATGATAATGAGTGGACAAATGCAATGGAGAACTTGGAGCGATACATGGATGAAGAGAAGGCAATAAAGGTGCTTCTCGATATCATCACGGTACGGTGACTAATCTTATTTTCACATCATCCTTAAACAAAATACTTATTATAATGTTGCATACTCATCAGTTCATGTCGGTCAGTGGAGTGTACCTACATTAAGTATGTATGTTACTACTAAGATACTGATAACAGTTAGTGAAATCATAGTTAAACACAATGCATATGCTTTAATAGGGATGAAATGATGCTTAAACTGCTAAAGACGTGACTGTTGTTGATGCACATATTCCTTAATTTACTTTTTATGTTGTAATGTACTATCATATCAAACAATTTATGCACATGCTTTAGTTCAAATGTCTACCTAAATATAGGGCATCAAACATTAAAAGATGAAAATACATACCATTTTTCTTGGCTATAAGCCGCACCCGAGTATAAGACGCGATGCTTGTTTTTGTGTTTTTGTTAGCATGTTTTTATTTGATCCACATATAAGACGCATCAAAATATAAGTGCACTCCCTTTATTACGATGTTTTAACCGTTATGTTAACAAAAGGTTGTTGATATTACAGACAACGGAAGACAATTTATCAAGATTGTCAGTGAAACATTTAATATAAGTTTGTAAACAAATTATACACATATTTATTCTATGTCATTTTTATTTCTCCTTGATTTTATTATGTGAAATTCTGAATACTGGTTCTATGATTATGCATGTAATTGTACATTGTTTTTTTAAGAATGTGTTTGAAACTTTTGAGGAAGCTGGTGATGCCCAGACAAACTTTATTTCTTCCCTTGAACTGCCCGTTGCTGTACCGGACATTGATAACCTCCAAAGCACTGCCAGGTCATCTCTACTGGTATAATTTTTTTTTTTGTTTTTCTATTCATATATCATATACATGTTTATGTACAAGCACAAAAGTATAACGGGTGATGTAATGAAGTGACTATGTGAACAACAAAGAAGTGTTTGATCAGTTTTCGAGGTGACCAGCCCCTCTAGGAAGACATGATTTCTACAATTTATCGGGTTTTATTTTATCATCATTGCCAGTATTTGACCATTTTGATCTGTTAAAGAACACTCTCTGCCATTTCTTCATCAATTAGCTGAATGGATGTATATAAAATGGGAGATAAAATATATACTATTTCAGTTGTCAACTTGAGAGAGTAAATGTAATCTCTCACCATTTCTTTTTACTTGAATCAGGGAGACCTAGTTATATATTTTGTGTATTTCTTTCTCAATCAAACATAGATTTTCCATGTACAATGTGATCACATGTTTCATGCATTGTGAGATAAAGACAAAAAATGATACAATTTTTTTTGTCCTGTCTGTGTCATTATTGTTTATTTGTATAGCTAGAAATATTTAAACAAAGTGGAAATAATATACTTGTTTCCTGCATAAAACAAATTTATTTTGTTTTTAAAACACAAGTACATTTCATCTCGTGCTTTAAGTACATTACAAGATGATTTGCCAATTGAGTTTAATGATGAAGACCGGGTCTAAATTTTTAGACATGTCATTTATATAGGTAGAAAAAAAAAATAAAATTGAAAAAAATATGATACAAGTATAAATATTTCAGTTATATTTCTTCACGGTTTTATGAAATTAGGAATCTAATTTGATAATGACTGGGGTTAACAGACCGTTCATAGCATGTTCAATTTTGTGTTTAAGAACAATGGGAAGTTGACTGCATTACCAACAGAAATCACCAAACCACTGAAGGATTACCGCAAGTCTCACTGTGAGACTGTTAGCCCACTGTTGACTGAGGTAAGGGATCTGTCACAGTTATTCTGCTCTTGTTTAAGGTAAAAAAAATACATGTCATATTTAGCTCACTGTTGTTTGAGGTACGGAGTCTCTTAGCCAATTGTTGATTGAGGGAAGAGAACTGTCACATTTAGCCAATTGTTGTTTGAAGTAGGGAATCTGACAATAAAACCCATTTGAAATAAGGGATCTGTCATAAAGCTAGGTCAGTGCTGTTCGGGGTAAGAAATATATCTGTCACAGTTTGCCCACTGTCGATTGGATGTAGGGATCTCTCAAACTAAGCTCATTAAGGATTTGATAAGAAAAAAATGTAATCTGTCACTGCTGGGGAGGAGATCTATCAACGTTTTGCTAAGATAAAGGTTTTCACAGGCAGTTAGTCATTTACTTTTAGGAAGATATCTTGAGAAACCCTGATATAATGTATTCGTCCGAGTCCTCTTGAATGCATTCCTTGTGCACACTGATAGTCAAACTATGGTTGGCATTCATTTTCTATCAAATGTTGAGATTTTCTTGCTCAGTAAAAACATATTTGAGGAACAGGATGGTAAAAACACCATGCCTTTGTAGTACAGTGGAAACTCATTCTCTCAAAATTTAAGGGGCTGTAGAAAATATTTCGACTTATCTGAAGTTAGACTCAATCAAAGTGTTTAAATAAGGTTGAAGATATCATTTTCCTGACGATGATTACGGTTGAACGAAGTAGGGCTATGATAGCACGCAAGCAGCATAGTTAAATCTGTTTTTTTTAAACAGCAGTAAATAAACAAATAAATTAAATTCTACTTTCTCCTTTTATTGTTTTTAATCCAAACAACAAAACATGATTTTGATATTACTAGAAATGATGTAAAAAGCTGTATATTTCTGTCTATTTCTTACAGGTCATGAAGTCAAGGCTACAAACGGTATACCAAATAGATGGTAAAATAATTGAAGCTTGTAAAGAGTACATTGAATACAGTGTCAAGTACGTCTGGATGATGCGAGTGCAAGATCCACCTGTTCACATTGAATGGGAATTCTCTCACGGCGAGAAATTTGATCATGACCGCCTTAGGTCATACACAAAAGGTGGAGATAGTTTAAATTATGTAGTGTGGCCCATCCTGTACCTTTACAAAGGTGGGCCCATGCTAGCCAAGGGAGTAGCTCAAGGCATGAAAAAAAAACCAGAATAAGTTACACACAAGAGTATGCTTTATTCGTCCTTTCAAGGAAATCATATCATTTCAAAAACACAACTGGGATGTGCTAATAATTATGGTTGTAATATTTTGTTTCATAACTTTTTTGCTTGTTTCTTTGAAGAAGACTTGGATTTTTGCTTGCTGCAAGAGGGATGTCTAGCTTCTGTCATTATTACTGTTTGTTACTGCTGATATATCACATCGCCACATATGATTCCTTTGGTGTATTTCAAGGAAGAACGTGTTATTTGAATATTACTACACAAATTTATTTTCTATTTAGAGAACGCAATTTGAATTTAACATTTCCAGAAATTTTTTTATTGAAGTTTATGAATACAAAAGCAGCGCAAGTGATATTGGTGTTGGAAGCAAGACCATGGAATACTGAAATTTTCGGACACTTAGGTATAATGAATATTAGTGATTTGTCAAAAACTCTTGCATAACAAGTTGTGGTGATATTTGTCTTTAAGGCAAGTAAACTTAACCATCCTAATGCTGGAATGAAATCGTCTTTATTGTAACTTCATTATTTGTATGAAGTATATACCCATGGTTGTATTTATACTTGGATACCTATTTTTTAACCAGCATCTGTGACAATGGTGTATTGCTAGACTTAATATTTCACTAATGTTTTCATAGGTAGACAATCAAACCGCCAATGGATTAGGCCTAAAACTAAAAGTTCACATCAATATTACTGACATCCAGTTCCGGACATAATAATTATCTGATAAAAAATCATAAGATTGAATTGTAATTTATTTTCTTGATTAAATTATACATAAATTTTGTATATTTTACAAGAATTTTTGAAGAAGTGATACACTCAATGTATTCGTCATACTTAGTTTGCTCTCGTTAAAGCATGTTAGCAGTGTTACTGTTGGAGAAAACCAGTTTCAAAATGTTTGAAACTTGTATTTTGTGTTCCAATTTGAATATAGAAAGCCTTCAAGGTATTTGAACCTGAAGTTATTTAGTATTATTATGGAGCTAGATGTTAAGTATTTAATGCTTTCAAAATGCAGCTAGCCAGCTAGTTTGTTGGGTTTATTTTCATTTTTATCAAAGATAACATTATAATATTGTGTTTTATGGCTAATATTGAAAATTTGTGTGGAATGACTTAAAATACTTCTGAAATCAAATTTCATATTAATGCATGATAAATATTTCAATTTTGTAGATGTTTTTAAAATCCTTCAAATTGGTTGTTTACTTTTACAGATATATCTGTTTAATTTTATGTTACATGTATTCATATTTGTATCACATTATTATATGACAAATAAGGCTACCAATTAAACTGATTAGGTAATTGAACCTAACGAAAGTTATGACAGTTATTTACCACAATAGGCAAGTGTTATTAAATTCCTAATCATAAACCACCAATTGACCATTTCAACTGTGGTATAAACATAATTGTAATTCCACAATGTATTTCTGAAATTTTCAGGTCTTGCATATCAGTTAACGGTGTTTCACTATAGGTCATATCATCAAGCCCCGACTGATGACGTAAACAAAACATAAGTGGGTACAGAACAAGTTAAATCAGCTTCAGAATAACTTATGTGATAGAAACAGGTCAAACAAACTCATAATTGTTATATATTAATGGTCAATACCACAACCACTTGCGCACTACCGTATGTAATGCCATTAAATCCCCATGGACACCCATTATATTCCACCCTTTAAAATCCCCATTTAAACCCCTTAATAAACCTTTAAAACATTCGAATATTAAGGGAGTAATTTCAATGGCTTATAGGCATATGGCCATTAAATTTTGATGAAACTGCATGTAATGGTCATTAACGTAACAAGGACAGTGGTGACTGATGACCATTAATTCCTTGTTCAGGCACTGTTAATGACAAACCCATTAATCTTTATCCACTTTCATTGGCATTATTGACTTGTTTAATGGCCTTTAAACAGAGATATCACATTTTATTGGCCATAAAAATACCATGACACATCCTAATATAAAGGGCCATTAAAAGTTTCGTTTCTTGCATTAATGTCCATTAAACACTGTTAATAATGGCCATGAAAAAAAATGTACCCCCTCTAATCTACCAATTTAATGGCAGTTTGAAGGGATTTCTGCAGCTTAATGGCCATGAAAAAGTGAATTGAAAATATAGAATTGAATTATGTATATGCACACATATATATATATGTGTGTGTGTGTGTGTGTGTGTGTGTGTGTGTGTGTGTGTGTGTGTGTGTGATCTGAAACATTTTTGCAGTTCAAATACAAATCTAGCATACTTTTAATATTACCCAACATGTAATTTTATTGTATACTAGCAAGATGTTAAGGCTGAAGCCTCAATAAATCTTCCACAATTTCAATTCTCTTCCATTCAGCCCTACGGCTTACTAGTTAAATAATATGCACTTGTCAACCTGTTGGGTGCGCGACACTGAAGTTCAAAGTTGAAAATTATCTTATCGATATTGCATTACACGTGCCTGACCCATGTGAGAGGTCACCATATAAAAAGACATGACCAAGCCTAGACACACGCTTTTTTGTCAGTCAGGGTGCGTGACAGACATTAAGCCAGAAGGGAAGGATATCTTGCGGGTCTCGCGTCCGCGATTTGCATTTGCTTGGTAAAATTTTCAGCCATTTGAATTTATTTTTATCGATTCCTTTCCTTCGCTCCGCGAATTTCATTTGTTTACATTTGGTTATCAGCTGTACGGTTATGCGTCGTCAGCAGGCTCGCGGTAAACGGTTGCCTTTGTTGGTGACTTTCGATAATTGTGAGTCTGACGATGACCTCTCTCTCCATCCCGGAGAGACGGAGGCAGAGGGGTGTGATGATTTCTTTCCGGGACCCCTTCCCGATTTGAGTTCGGGTCTAAGCGACTCTGTCGCTTGTGCAAGTGATAAGGACTCTGCACAGCCGCAGTCACCGAACGTTGTTCGGAATGACAAATATGGCGGCGTCGGAGGCGATGCCCCGACTGTTCCTTTGCCCCGTGGGGGTAAGAAACGTCCCGTCTGCACTGAGGCTGCCGCTGGTAGCGAGTTTCAACTCATGGCGAAACGTATGAGGGCTCTGGAGGAGCAGTTAGCAGACGTTAAGCGGGACCGGGCGAGTACAGGAAACCAAACGGCTGGTGGGTATGGCAATGATTATGTTGTTGACAGTTTTGACTCAGATTTTTTTAGTATGACGGACCCGTTGGGTCTTCAAGATACAGAACAATCTTCCATTGAGTTAGATGATATATATTCTGATATTTTACCCACAGAGGAAAGTCATATGGAGGACTTGTTCGCCATCCCTGACTATATATATGGTGATGTAAAGTTGGGCTCTAGTGTTCACGAGGGACTTGCCAAACTGGTAAATACTGCGTGTAGGAAAACGTCGGACGTTTCTAAAATGGCAGAAAAATACCCTGTACCGGCAAATTGTGCCGATATGACCGTCCCACGATGTAACCCTGAGATTTGGGGTAAACTTGGTAAGCCTTTACAGGCAAGAGATTTTCAACTTAAAGAGGCCCAGAAGTCGGTGTCTGACGGTATGGTACCTGTGATGAGGCTGACTGAGGCTCTTATGAGTCATCCAGACTTTCGAGAGAAGTTCAGGCCTCTGTGTATTGATGCTCTGTCCATGCTAGGGAATGCAGTACATACATTGTCTGTGAAACGTAGGTTTCTTATGAGACAAGCCCTCCCGTCATCATATCATGCCTTATGTGGGAAAGACATGCCAATAACTTCAAATCTATTTGGGGATGATCTTGCAAGGAAGGTGAGAGACATTTCTGAGGCTAATAAGGCTTTCAATGTTTTGTCTTCACGAAAACAGGTACAGCGAGGAGGCTGGAGTGGCGGCCAGAGAGGGCGAGGGGGCTATAGCCAGTACAGAGGCTCAGCAAGGCCTTTTTTACGGTCGGGCCAGCGGGGCCGGGGACAACGGCGACCCGCATACATGCAGCAAAGTCAAAGCCAGAGCCAGACACAGAAAAAAGAATAGCCCCTAAGGTGGGTGTTCCATCTGGTAGAATCGGAGAGCGTGTAGAATTTTGGAAATCATTGACTGATGATGAATGGATTTTGGATACTGTGCGTGGTCTTACACTTGAGTTTGTAGAAATCCCTGTGCAACATAAATTGCCAGGACCAGTAGCTTTTAGTAAGGAAGAGATGGAGATTGTTGATTCTGAGGTGAATGATTTAGTATCCAAAGGGGCAATAACTCAGTCTATTCATGAGAAAGGTGAATTTGTTTCTAATTTGTTCCTGGTCCAAAAGAAAAATAGTAAATTTAGGCCAGTCATTAATTTGAGGAAGTTGAACGAGTTTGTGGTGTACCACCATTTTAAGCAGGAGACCTTAGATGTTGTACTAGAATCTGTAGAGAGAGGTGATTTCTTCACTTCTATTGATCTGAAGGATGCATATTTCAGTATACCAGTGAACAAACATCATAGGAAATACCTGAAATTCAAATGGAGAGGTATACTATATGAGTTTATGGCTATGCCTTTCGGTTTGACAAGTGCCCCTCGGATATTTACCAAAGTACTGAAGCCAATTATGGCTAAAGTTCGCAGCTTGGGTATCCATGCTTTCTATTACATAGATGACTCTTTGGTCAAGGCTGCTGACAGAGAGGTTTGTGAAAGGAATTGTAGGGTGTTAGCTGGAGTTTTGGAATCTGCTGGGTTCCAGATTAGTTCCGAAAAATCTTTGTTTTCTGCTAGTCAAATGGTCATTCATCTTGGGTACTTGATAGATTCTATCACATTTACCGTTTCGTTACCAGAACAAAAGGTGAAGAAAATCATAGATGCATGTTCCCATGTCTTAGGTCAAGAGTCAATTTCTCTAAGGGAACTTGCTAGTCTCATTGGCTTGTTTACGTCATCTCTTAGAGCAGTTCGGCTGTCAGGACTATTTTACAGATTGGTAGACAAGGAAAAGACAGCAGCCCTACATAATGGTTTGTCTTATGACGACAAGGTCAGTTTGTCTAGGTTGGCACAAACGGAGATAGTATGGTGGAGAGATAAGGTGAACAGTATGAATGGTCGGGCGATAAGACCAAGTGATCCAGATGTGATTATGGAAACTGATGCATCTGGTGATGGATGGGGAGCAAAGTTTGGCTCTCAGATAACAAAAGGTCTTTGGTCAAAAGCAGAACGTGAACATCACATAAATTTTTTGGAATTAAAAGCTGTCTGGTTGGCATTACGATGTTTTTGTTCAGACATGTCTGATACTCATGTCAGGGTTGTGACGGATAACGTCTGTACAATTTCATATGTTAATAAGCCTGGTGGAAATGTAACAGAGCTGAATGAGTTAGCAAAAGAGATATGGCTGTGGTGTACGGACAGAAATATTTTCATTTCTGCCTGCCACATACCGGGTGTTTTGAATGTTGATGCTGATTACTTATCACGGTCAATGCAGTCTTCGGGAGAGTGGTCACTACACCCTCTGATATTTGACAGGATATGTGGTCATTTCTTCAATCCAGATGTTGACCTATTTGCAAGTAGGTTGAATTTTAAGGTTACCAAGTTTGTCTCGTGGTATCCTGATCCAGATGCTTGGTTTTATGATGCCTTTTCTATGTCATGGTCAGACTACTTACCGTATATTTTTGCTCCTTTCAGTCTGATCAGCCGTGTTCTGCACAAAGTGAAGGAAGACAAAGTAAGTATGGCAATAGTAATCGTTCCCTTATGGAGAAGTCAAGCGTGGCTACCTACTCTATTAAATATTGTTGTGGATGCGCCCGCACGCCTGCCGAGGTGGCGAGACTTGCTATTGTCCCCACAGGGGGAGCTGCATCCCTTAAGAAACAGCCTGAGACTGATCGCATGTTGCGTGTCAGGAGATCTCTCCAGAAGCAGGGCTTTTCACGACAGGCTGCCACACTTGTCTTCTCCTCCTGGAAACAGTCCACGTCCAAGCAGTATGACTTGGCATGGAATAACTGGGTCTCTTGGTGTGGTGAACGACAGGTTGGTGCCAATCATCCCACTATCAAGGAAGTGATTTCCTACCTCACTCATTTGTTTAATGTAGGGAAATCTTACAGTGTTATTAATACACATAAGTGTATGTTGTCCCAGACTTTGCCATTACTAGGCCATACAGTATTGATGAACAATGCCCTAATTTCGAGGTTTATGAAGGGGGTATTCAACACTAATCCTCCTAAGCCCATGTATTCATCGACATGGGATGTGGCACCTTTGCTGAAGTATTTGGGTGATATGTTCCCTTTGACAGCCCTGGAGGTGGACTCATTGACTAGGAAATTAGTTTGTTTGATAGCACTTACAACAGCACAAAGAGCACAAACATTGGTTAATTTAGACCTTGAACATATGCAGGATTTTGGACACTATATTGTTTTTACAGTCCCAGAACTTATGAAAACTTATGAAAACATCCAAGCCATTTTATAAAGTAACATTGTACAAATATTCTCAGGAAAGATTATGTGTAGTTTCAACCTTAAGATATTATGTGTCACAGACAGTAAACATACGGAAGAGTAATAAACTTTTAGTTTCTTTCAGAAGAGGTTTGCAAGTGTCCACTTCCACAGTGGCAAGATGGGTGAGAGAAGTGATGATGGCGGCTGGAATTGATCGACAGTTTAAACCTCATTCAGTTAGAGGAGCGTCTGTGTCGGCAGCATACACGGCGGGGACATCCTTGAGGGACATACTGGAAACGGCAAACTGGGCATCAGCCGAGAGCTTTAGGAGGTTCTACTTAAGAGATATTGATGACCCGGGTTCCTTTTCAACCAGTGTTCTGCAGACAGGGCAGTGATAAGATGTCAATGATATAGACTTTGTGAAATGTAGTGTAATTTTGAAATACTAATGAATGAGTGAACTTGAGTTGCAGTTTGGTTTTCTTTTTCATGGTTATCTGGAATGTTGGCGGATTCTTTGAAGGTGCATATTATTTAACTAGTAAGCCGTAGGGCTGAATGGAAGAGAATCCCCCCCTCATCCAAGTATCACGATGGATGAGAGGGATTCTCTGTAATGAAGCCCGGAGGCTGGAGAGTTAAATACCCTCCCAAGTCTCTGGGTTTCTATTTCTGCTGTTTAGTTTTGGATCTCCCACCCTATAGTTGCACACAATCTGCCAACATTTCTCTTTGAAATAAGCGTGTGTCTAGGCTTGGTCATGTCTTTTTATATGGTGACCTCTCACATGGGTCAGGCACGTGTAATGCAATATCGATAAGATAATTTTCAACTTTGAACTTCAGTGTCGCGCACCCAACAGGTTGACAAGTGCATATTATTTAACTCTCCAGCCTCCGGGCTTCATTACAGAGAATCCCTCTCATCCATCGTGATACTTGGATGAGGGGGGGATTTTCCTAATGTAATATCTACATTTACATGTATGTCGCACGTCTTGAAACCTTTAATTAATTGATATACGTAACCTATATTCATTCCTGTCATGAATCTAAGCAATTAAGACTAAAACTAAAAATTTTTAAAAAGTTGGTTTTACGAATGATATTATTGCTGATTGTTACACTTTTGTTATTGCAATTTGTTGGTGCAGTAGAAGGTAACATCCCCAGCTGATGAGTCCTGTGTGTACTGGCCCCAATAAATGTAAAGTAGGACGAAACACACCCAATAATTTGTTCTGAAAATATTCAGTGGATATAATCGGAGAATGTAAATGCATTTACTCCTGGTATCATTAATATTTCAGTGGTTTCAACCATTTATCATCGAAAAATAACGGAGCATGACTACGTACCGTGGTAACAAATTTGCGCCGAAATGACGCATCTATTGCAATACAATGATATCAGTTTTCCTGTTTTGTACTGTTTACCTTTCAAATGACGTAAGGCTTCTTTGCACCCATCTGACAGGGGGATACTGTCCATTTGCAATTGTAGGCCTAACAGTGTGCTGGAGGACACCATTTGCGGGTCGTTTGACAGGTTTAAAATATCACATGGATTAATGGGGTGAATTAATGGATTCATGTGTTTTTAATATGAATTTAATATTAAATTAATGGACTTGATGTATAATAGTATGCTGTGTAATTTCTTTTTATGTAATATTACTTAATTTTAGAGATCTTTATATTTTTTTCATTATGTATTGTGTTAAATATTTGAATACTGTAAGAGTATTTTCGATCATTTAAAATGATTGTGCGCTATTTTTTTAGATGTTGTGTTTTTATTGCTGTTTTCTTAACGTTTCCAATATGTCATTTGATAATAAGATCATATCAAGCTAATCAATAATTTATTGTATTTAATTTACATTGTAAATTGTCGTCTATTTCAGATTCTAATTTTATCTAATAATAGAAAAATATACTTTTACTAATCTTGAAAAAATTCTTTACAATTGTGGTTGTAGACTGTTTGAAACCTTTTGCAATTTTAAGCATTTCAAAATGTCAAAATTATAAAATTACAATGCTTGTACGTGTATTGCTTTCTCTTTTAAAATAAAATAAATGTATATCATATGTTATACAGAAGTGTTATCTTTGTTTTTGTACTATATTTATCTGTCCAATACTATAGTATCTAAGCTTTTATTAGCGAGAATTTAACAGCATGTACTTTGATCGTATCAAGACAAAGTCAACATACAGTTAAAAGAAAAAGTTAAAATGGAATACACCTAATTTTCTGAAACATGACCATCGTCGATGTGTCGGTCAGGTTTCTGGAAACTAAATGGAAACCATTTGGTTTCTGCTTTCGTATGACTGTTTTTTTCCCTATCACCATGGAAACACATTATCATCAATTGAAAAAAGTTTCGTCTAGAAAGTTACAACCCGTTTTCAGTATCACAGGTATAAATATTGGCATGGTAACAGCATGTATGATGCCGTTCGAAAAAGAAACATATATATGGTAAGACTAGGGTGTTCTTTATAATTAAGCATTTCCAATCGGACCTTTCCATGGTTTCACCACAAATCGATTATTGGACAATTCGTTTTATTTCATCTGTCGTACACTTAGAAGGTAAATAACATTTGAACAGGGATACTCTCACTATCGCTCACTGCATCTCTGTGAAGCTTTCATGATTTCATGGGAAAATTGAAGGCACAAGCGAAGTAATTTAAATGGAACTGACCAATTACAGACTGATACGCTCCAATGACGATAGCAAAAGTAGCGACACCCAGATTCAAAGTCAATACAACATATCGTTATATAAGCGACTTCGAGATGCGTTTGATTGTACATCAAATGATCAAACTTGTTTCCCTACCCACAAAGTATTACAAAAGGAACCTTCCGTTTTACCTTGAAATGGTCAAGGGGTGCTGAAAGCGAGTAATCTCACCCCTGTAGTATCGAGGAGGTGATACATGTTGTCAAACGAATCAATGACCTCATGTATTCTGCGACTGGATTTCCTAAGTGGATAATGTAGTACTAAGGTAATCATCCTATTCTCTCTCTCACTTCTTCATCTAAACACCCAAACGCCTTACTCCCACTACCAAAGTTCTCTACACAGACAGTAACTTCTATATCTATTTCTTATTTATAATGACCAGCTACACAATACACAATGACGCTCTGAAGTCGTCTTGTTAACTCTTGGTGTATCTATGGAATATAACAAACTCGGGCTTCTTTCCACTACAATTTATCACCATTTCGTACATTCCTTACAACCAGGTTTACGGCTGATTATGGAGTATGTTCACAGCAAATTGATAACCTAATTACTCTACATTGATGTTGAGCAACTTAATGGTAAATTGTCAATTTATTCATTTTATTCTTTAGGAACTTGCGAAGATTAAGAGATGCATTTCGAGGAAAAAATTAAGCTATGTTATTTTGGATCATGTTATATTATCATGACATTTGAAGATCATGTCATAGGATGTGTTACTGGACAACTAGCCAATCTTTCACTTGTTTTACATTCTCTTTTTCATTTTGTGTATTGCTTATGGAAACCGACAGCTTAATCACATGACAACACTATATTAACTAAATACTATCGCAAATTTTATCTAATTTACCTTTATTCTACTAGTTTTGTCCTAAAAGCAATTGAATTCCTAACATTATAGACCAAACAACAGATGCTTTTATGCTAAAGATTAACATTGTAACATCGTATTGGTAAATGCCTTTGAATGAATTTGCTAAAAATGTCTACCCAAACACTCACGGACAGATATAAGATATTCTATGGTTTAGGATGGATAAACTGTGCTTAAAGACGAACTTGACATTCGGAGCTTTGTTTAACATGTACAATTCCGTTAGGATTGGTGTCTGAAATGTTACATCACAGGAAAGGTTCAGTCTCTTGCAACCTGGACAGTTTATGAAAGTTATGAATCATCTTTTTTTCCTGATTTCCTGAGATCTTATTTTCAAGTAATCATTTCATGCGGATTTGATTTCCATCTCCGTCAATACAAAAATCAAAATGAAGCGAAATATGAAACAGCTCGAAAATAACCACTGCTTCAATATCTCAAAATTTAGGCCTTAGCATCTGACCTAAAAGGACAGAATCAGCAACATGATACAATTTAATTAATTGTTTGACTCTTCTGTGTCAACTCTAGAATTGAATGAAAAGGTGCTATCCACTTGTGTGTGTTTTTCACGATCCTATTTCCAGTTCAACAAGTAATCTTCAATGTTTCTTACGCTCAAATAATTTCATCTTTATTGTTACCAAAACAAAAAAGTATGTACGCGACTACCGGTGATAAAACTGGTGTCATTGATAATGGTGGATTGCTACTATTTTCTCAAACTTGATAACCAACCTCGCTTATACTTGTAATGGTAAAAAACTTCATATTTATTTTGATACTGAATAAAATGAACTTAATAACTACTGATAGTAATTCTTTATTTTATAAATAGAATGGAGTAACCGGGATAACATGTCTGCAGGCTTACGAACCAATTCCTTTTCATGTCTAGAAGGATGAGTTCCATTTTATGATTTTTTGTAATTGAGATTGCCAGATAATTTCGTACGTTTATTGAGCTAGATATTTGCTGTCTGATATTCCACAGTTTTTTCCGTCGTTTTCAGATTTTTGACATAGACAACATTAATGTTTTATATTGTCTAATGTTCAAAACCGGAAGTACAATTATTCTTGATATGTTTTATTAGTCGGTGCAAATGTATTCACTTTGTATTCCTTGAACGAAATAATGAGTAGATCATATCATTTTCTGATGTAGGTGACAGATGATTTTATATAATTCTGATTGGTTCTTTCCTTTTTTCGTACATCATTGCCATTTGACAATTATTTCAGTAATGTTTGGAGCATATATGTTGGTGACTCACACCGGTATATGTTTTGCGTTTAATGTAATAAGGTGTAGAATTTACTCAATCTATACTAAGATAATATTTGTTTTGTTTTTCCATGGTGGAACGTTCTTTTGCACTGGATATTGTCATAACTTTTGTAACTGAACAATACAACATTTCTGTTTTGCTTGCACCGTGACGTGACGTGATAAGGGCCCTCACTTGAAAATTACCTCTCGAAAGACTTTGGTTGTGACCATCATTGACTGTGACTTTACAACAAAAACTAAACAAAAATAAGTAAAATAAATAGATAAACCACAGACTACAGAAACTCAATCACCCAGTAGGATTTCGATGAAACATTGTCTGTTGCGTCTAGGTCTTTTAAATGATTAAATGCTAAACATGATTTAAGGCATGTAACTCACTGTCAATTTCTAGCATTGTGTCACAAAGCGGTTGCGGAGGTACAAATCTAGTATTGTCGTATATCAATAGCTATATTTACTTTGCTAACAGGTCGATATCGTTGACAGATTTATTGACTATTCGCAGCTTTCTGTGTGGTATGGGAGTTTTGTTTTCTTCATGTATACCATTGCACATGGAGTGACATAACTGTTTTGAAAGGCCCGACATACTTACAAGCACTTTGCATTTTTATAGGTCAAAATCAATATTTACAATTCAAGAGGTTCGTTCAGAAAATTTGAAATTCCAGACGAGGTTAAATTAGAATTTGCCAATGGTTGATACACAATGTTAGTTTATTTCGCACCGGTATGTTTTTAATTACCATTTTTTTTAAATTCAGCAAATGTAATGCTCACATTTATTTTTCTTTCCTCTGAGATTATCGTTTATATGAAAATACCAAAAGATATTGAATTATGGGGTATGTGTTTCTCCCTATTTAGGTTTTATTGGTTTGTACCTCTTTGGAATTTGTCTCCAAAGTTTCAAAATTTAATCTCTTAGCATCCCTAACGAGTGTTAGAAGGTCGACAAAACGTTATGGTGCACTTTGAATTAATTATTTGCTCTACTTTGTATAGTTCCAAATGTAGCAATTATAGCTTTTTGTCTCTTTTGTACAATCTTCTTTATCCACATAACCAACTCTGATACCTACTTGAGGTTAACTAAACTGAGTATCAGATAAACTGTATGATTGATGATCGTAGATAACAGATCCAATATTTCAATCATATATTAAATATGTATACGTATCACACATATGTAGCAATCAGGCGATATGATTTGTTTTTAATGCACTGTATCACAGTATAATATTTGTATCCCACTTTTTTTAGTTCCTGTATTGATTTATCTTGACGGGACGCTCTCTACTTGTTTATTTGATATTTATTCAGTATATAATTTAACTGATTTATCTAAAAACTCCCTAATATTGTTTGTATACAATTTTTATAAGCCTGACACATTTCATAGAATCCAAATCTGAACAGAACAATGACAACGACAATGATAATTATTTTCTTTGAAACCAATTTAGTATATCTATATATACAGCTTACCCACTAACGTGCCCCTTTCACCAGGTAGTTTAAATGTTTTTTCGGGCCTATGTTCGCTAGACACTTAGGAAGTCATATATTTTCTGAAGTGCCCACATTGATTTGTGTTTGATATGATAGTATGAATCGTTATGGAAAAGTAACAGGTGAAAATTGTTGTCGTTGTGACGATACAATACGACATCATTTACACAGCAGAGCACATGATTTATATTTTCTACTTTCGATATTATCTAACTTCTACTTTCGTATTCGAATACACTCTTCTGTGTTGTTGTAGAATCTAATAGTTTGCCACATAATAACAGACCACCATAACTTAAGTATACTATAAATATTAGCTGATTTAATTATCCTCAATATTAAAGTAGCCCTGCAAAATCATTGACCATATCACACAATATAATACACAATCTTAAAAAATCTAAATACTCAAGGGATATGCACAATTTAACTACTGATAATTTATGCATTATAATACCATGAAAGAACCCTCACCTGACCAATATGAATAGAATATTGGTCAGTGGAGTTTTTCTAATACCTGACTGTATCGCTCAGATTTTTCATAAGCTAGAACTCGCTTTGTAGGTATATTTATAATGTCCTTGATGCTCTTGTGCTTCCGATAGATCTCAATAGCTACGTTATGGCAATGAATTACAACCAAACACCTTGAAAAGTATTCAATCTATAAGGTGTAATCAATTAACTAATTAGGAAAGAACTCTATGCTTTTCAAAATCTACAGATCCGATCCAAGGTAATATTTTGATAACTTAGCGATCAGCTATGCAGCCGTCCTACAATCCTCCAGATACAAAATCATGTTAAAATGAAAGTAGAAGCGAAAACTGTGTTGTCATTGCTGTGTACTGCACTGTAACCATGCACATTGTGTACACGAGGTAGCAAACCTGTCGATGTTATCTTTATCTATATCAACCCATGGCCATGATCGTGTACTTCAGTCCCTTACCAATCAAGTACAATTACTTACATCACAATTGTCGTCATGTATATTTGTCATTTCATAACAGTAATGCCTTTATATCAATTATTCTGATATAATTGCTACAATTACTTTTGTATCTATTCATAAAATTACAATAGATATGGATCATAGAAATCTAACATAGAAATGTTTATTAAAACATGCATTTCATTTGTTGTCAAAGGACTGATTTAGATTGGCTATTCACTGTTGCACACGTTACTTCATGTATCACTAAATAATACTGAAGATACTATACAATGCATTTTGTCCTTTGTTGGCGCTTTTCATAAATACTTTTTGATTTTATAAAAACAAAAACAAAAAACACAAGCTGTTGTCATTTATTTCTTTTGCAATGCTAATCAAGTACTCTTAACTACCAAATTAAAGATGGTATCTAAAACATTAGTTATGATTTTTTTTTTTTTTTTTTTGTGAAGAAAACATGATATTCGATTTTAACAATTACGGTCTATCTAATTTTAATTGATTAGATAAACTTATTTATCAAATTGGATATCTAATTTATGAAATTAAATATTATTTACTAAATATTTCAATGAAGTTAAATATTATTTGTAATTTGTTAAAGAGCAGCGTCAACGTTAATCCAGGAATTGATAAAAACTTAGCTTACCATAGGATCGGAGTACAATGCTTACGTGACTATATATTACCACAGTATTTGGAAGTGACCTTAGAAGGGTGATTTTAGTTCCTCCTTGCAAATGCGGAAGACGCCAACTGCAGTCCGAATTGATTTCTAGCTTATCAACTGCTTTCCTAAGTTGTAATTGTTTTTGTTATGAATGGGATACGGAAATCATTTAATCGCAATGGTCGTGACACTAAAAGACGAGGTAGGATATGGATTTCTACTTTCATTATCCGAAGAATGGCAATATATGTACAGACTGCAACGCATTGATATTTATTTACTCTACATAGATACATGATTATCCTTAAATCGAACATTATGTTAATTAACTCATTAATTCAAATGTTATGAAATTATCCTTGAAATTACTGATATCGATACAAAAAGTGATTCAGTGGCGTCAATGGAATACATTAATGTATATCAATGTCCCTAATCTCTTACATTGGACATAGATAAAAATACATCTAGAGATATTTACAAATAAGGGGATTCAATAGCATATCACTAAGTGGTATGTATAGCATTTGCCAATCAATAATCTTTTATGTTAACAATGTAAGGTGTTTAAACTTTGATCCTCAGATTCAAAATACTTCCTATTCAGTCAGTACCGGCATGAATTGATCTTGAAGTTGATGAAATATGTATTATAGTATCAACGAGAATACTTATACCTGTTACTTCATGAGAGGAGATTTAAAAATGCGTAAAGTTTCACAGCAAAACACCATTGATTAAAGGGAGATCATTGTGACAGAAACCTGTGGTAGGGATGTTTTCGGAGGAATTTCAGAGTGTGCTGTTGTGGTTACAACCTTGAATAGGACACTTTACGCAAAATGCTGTGGGCGTCTTGTTCAGTGAGGTAGCCACCAGCTACTTCAAAGAACCTATTGTTATGCTTCAAAATGACCTAGGTTGGTAACAGTTCGATAAACCCAGCAAACAATCAAGAAACGTAAATATCCACACGTGTTTTCAGTTTGGTGATGCTTTCCGAGATGGGTCAAAGGATGCACTGATACAACTTTTTCCAGAGTATTAGATCATTCTCTTCTACAATATAGTCTTGTTAATGCATTGTCAGTGGGTCAAAGGTCACATGTTACACAAGCATTTTTCAAATAATCAAATGTATCGATTTTAAAGACATATCTGTGCTTGTGTCTCAGCTTACATTAATCTTAGTTTTCTTGGAAGTTGTCCTACATTTTCGGTAATTTTAGTAACAAACCTATGTACTATATGATTGGGAAACTTACATACAGGTATATACCGAAATCATTACTTTGATAACTGATCATAAAGTGTATACAGGCTGTAGAATTGTTAATGAAATGTGGAAAGCTGAAAATTCCAAATATTGATAACAACACGGTACCGGTTGACTGAGGGTAATATCCAGTGGTCGAGGCAACATAAAATTTACAACTGTTTGTTATAAAGCGGTTTCTTGCATAAATATTAGAGCACATATTTAACATTTTTATGTGATTCGTTTGTATATAGGGAGGTTAATGCTGATGAGATCCATAAAACTTTGAATGACATAAAAGCAGCCAGCAAAGCCTGTAAGGAGGCGCATAGACAATGGGAAAAGGACAAGTATTATGAGCAATGGGATCCAGAATATCAAACTAGGGCCGAAAAGTTACTTTGTGCAGCTGACCAATTTAGAAAGGTAAAAGTAGCTACATAAATACTGGTACATGCTTACCTGTTATGAATTTTCTTTTTCTTTTCCCACCTGCATCAATAGTTTGCTGTTCAAATTATCATTTTTCAATAGTACTAGTCAATATAATAGTTATCATTATCAATGTATTTTTTCCATTTCATTTGGGACTGATCAGAAAAACAATGGCACGGGGGCAGCAATTTTGGATTTTCAACAGTTATTTTGTTATAGCCATCATGCTTTGTCCGTCAAGCACTGTCTGAAATGGTAAACTTTTGACATTTCATTAAGAATAAAACGTAGTGATATTTTGCAAATACAAACATAGGCTAAATCACAGTCAATAGGTAATAAGTATGGGTTGTCCTGAATAAGTGTTACACGTTATTTTTTTACAGTTATAATTTTAAAAACAAGATGGCCGCCACGGCCGCCATATTGAAAAACAGATTTTAAACTTTTCCAGTTCCAATGGTGCCATTGAGCTAAACATTGGTTGCAAATGGTAGTCAAAAAAGTGTTGTTACTTTTTTACCTTGTCAAAACTTCGATGCATCTTCCATATAAGGCTATTTTGTGAAAGGAGTTCTTTCAAATTGATGTTTTTTTGCAACACCTATTTCAAACTTCTTCACCAGATTCTGTTTCCAGTTGGATTGAGCTCCAAGTTTTCTGTCAAAAAATAGGTAACACTTGTTACAGTTTCCTACTCCTCACTAGAACTACCATCTGCGTCATGGAAAACAGCTTCTTAGTAAGATTTCATTCAAAGTAGAAAAAAATAACCCTTTTCCCTGCTGAAAGTTTTTGTAGTCAGATGACTGTTAAGGCCCGTGTGCATTGAGTTTCTTTAGAAAGTTAAAGGAAACTAACATAAAAAAACTAGGTGAAATTTGGTCTGACATGATTTGATTTGTTCCATTGATTGCCTTGCAGTTTGTGTGTGTGTTGCAATATTACTTCTTGTGATTGTGATTCCCTTACACCTAATCAATGCAGTTTACTACTTGCTTTCAAATTTCATGTAAATTTTGCATGTTTATCGTTGTGCCTGTTTGATGTTAGTATCTTTCACAACACAAAAATAACATCTTGGATTTTTACATTTTAAAGTTTTGTTACACGTTGCTATTTCTTATAGAAGTTTTGAATGTCGTAATTTTGTGAAACTTCATAATATATTAATTTCTTTCGTTTGAAAGTGCACTTTTACATTGTCTGTATTTGAAAGTAATATATATGGCTGACAGGATGTTGTTTGATATTATAATTTCTATTTCTTCAAAAAATTTAAATTTTTTTATAATTAAAAGCAAATTAAGAGACAAAATAACAAATTTACTAACTATGGGAAATTATTAAACTTTTAAAGAACAAAAATTTCCACATTCATAGTTCGCCTTTGTGGGGAAGATCTCTCTGTGGCATCTTTTTTTTTGACATTCACACAAATGCTTTTTATTACAAGCTCTTCAAAATAGTTTTCCATTTTATGCTTTGTTACAAAATATGTTTTTAATTTCAAGATAAATAAAGTCATATTCTTGAAGTGATAGTCATTTTATATGGGTATTCATTGTCATGTGATTTCATTGATATTATCTGATTTAGGTGAAAATACATAAAAAGCAGCTAAGTCATTAGCGTAATTTATGTATCAGAAACACTATACAAGATACTTTTATTGTCGAATTTTTTGTTAAATAGATATATGAGTTATTTTTCTGTTAAAGCTGTGATTATAAGAACATTTCCAGATTAGTGCTCCCCAAAAATAAGGCTGCTGAGTTGACTGGAAGTTGAGAAAAAAGTACATGTATCTTTATCTGGTGGCCATCAAAAATGTCTTTATTGTACAGGGACCATGGTGGCTGAGTCTCATTAGGCAGTCATCTTTAACTGTATCACAACGTATCTCCACCTTTGGGATTTTATTTGCATTTTTTACATGGGTCATTTGCCACATACAGACCTCCCTATGATTTGTTCTATTTTATCATTCATTTTCAAAACCTTGTACATCCTTAAATGACCCTGCTTGTTAATAAAAGGCATAACAAAAGTCAAAAACCTACCAAACCTACACCTATGCCCTTTGGTTAAATCATTATTAGAAAGCGGAGGACAACATTTCAAGCTGCTTCCTAACCACACTGTCATATACCATTTATTGTTACAGAATTTATATTTTTATTATATTGTGTCATTGTGATAAATCTTAACCATTAATTTTATATTCATATGTTGCCACTAACTTTTCTTAGTTTGTCTATTATATGCACGAAAAATGACATATTAGACTATTTGCTATTTTTATTTATTGTATAGCATATGTAGTTAATATATACATGTACATGCATTGACAATAATGCAGATTTATATTATTTATTACCAAAGAAACTTGACTTGCCATGGCCAATGACAAAATCAACTGAGGTGGATGACTTGAAAGCTCGCCTCAATAGAATCACCCGCGACAAAGAGGAAGCAGAATATTGCCTCGGGGAAGCTGAATTAGAAATTAAAAGGCTAAAGGATCGCTTAGGAGATCAGGTAATAAAATTTTGGCTAACATCTATTTTTAGTCCACCATCATCAGGTGGAGGGCTCTTCAGATTGCAAGTAGTCCATGGTTCATCTGTTGTCTTTTTCATCCTTAAAAATAATTCTTGTCATCACTATTTCTTAAATGAAAACAAAATATCTCAAATTTCATAATTCATTTTCTTATCATTTATTGCCCCAAGTTTTCATTGTTTATTTTTTGGAATAGATCAGATAGTTAACATGGCTGTAAGGCATGCAGCCACCTTTAATTATGACAACAATATTTTAGTATGATTATAATGAGAAATATATGGATCTTTCTTGAATTTCTTTTCAAAGGTTCCATTTGCTGCCTAGTTAATTGTGCATGTTCAATTTGGGGACTAAATGATTGCATGCAGCTATGTTGGATTTTAATAGTTGAACATTGTTATTTCTGGAGAAGAGCAGAATGAATCTTTCTCAGATTTACTGTGTCACTCCCCTTAGATCCTTGTCAAAAATATTAAATTCTTTGAATGATAAGAAAAAGAAAATGGCTGAATAGCAGCCATATTGGATTTTGGATGTTGAAATTTGTTACTGCTGTTTCTTGAAATTGATCATGAGAATTCTCCATGGAGCTTTCTCATATTTGATATGAAAACTCCCCTTAGTACCAATGTAGTTTTGCATATGTAATTCTTCATCTTATCCAAAAATGGCAGACAGGCAGCTTGTGACCAAATGAAGATCATACAATAGTTGGTTGGATTTTTTTTTCCTGAAAAGTATTTTAAAAATTATTTTCAAAGAGTTTTAGCCATGATTTTGGCTTTTGTTAAATTCTGTTACGTCATAATTGAAATGGCACTACCACCAATATGGCACCACTCAAAAATGTCTTGCTATCTGTCTTTTGGCGGTTGAAAGTACTTGTTATGCATGAGTGATATATTTGATGAGGTGACCACCTGACCAGTCACATGGTTTATTTGATGTCAGAGTTACTTCAAATGAATGCAAACAGTAGTGTAGAAGGCTGACACTTTTCATATGATTCTGTTTTTTCACAATACTGTAGAAATATCCTGTGTGTGTATTCACACAGGAACCTATACGGTTGCTCCCAGCTCCCAGCCAACAAATGGTACAGTGATATTACTCATTTTTAGTGGCCGTGTCTGCACAGTTTTCTAGTCAAGAGTCAAGAGAGCGCTGTCATGGGGTTTTGCGTCAAACTGTCACAGGAGCTCCATGAGATCTCACATTGTCAACGTCACCTAGTGTCAGTGGTGACAACCAGGGGGAGATCATTTCCCTCGGTTTTCACTACATTCCTTCCCGCTTTATGAAGGCCTCTTCCATGAGGATTGAAGGTGTTCACAGGAGGCCTTTCCAGGATGGCAAGCTTGTTTGATTTGATATGTTTGTGACAAATGTTTCGGGGATGTCAAACCTCAAAGAGGTGAAGTGAAGTGTCAAGCCCCCTTAAGCTCATAGGGTTTTGGTCTTAGGCACAGTTTATAGCTGCACCCAAAACCCGAGGTCAATGGGTGGTTACACCTAATATGTGGATTTTTCATGGGAACTGCCCAGGTTGGTGGCCTGTTCCATGTGTAATGACTTTATACGATTTGTTTCAACAGATGCAAATACATGGGTCTTACTACCCCTGATACTGGCCACATCCAGTGTTTTAAATCATCAGAGTCACTATGAAGAGCAGGTTGTCAAAACTGCCCACTTGGCATATCTGAGTCCCCCTCCTAGGCTAAAGGTGAACTGACCCACAAGCTTTTTGAGTCCAGGCCTTCACACAGGCTCTACTAGCCCGAACCTAATACCCAGAGATCCATCAACCCTTCGTCCTAACTAACCTAGTGTTAATTATAAGGGATGGTCCCTCTTTTCCTTTTTATATATGGGAGGCGTGCTACAAGTATGAATGTATAAACCCGAAATGTTGTTGACCATAGTTGCAGGGTGCTCTCTGTATAATGGACTTGGTGCCCCTAATAACAAGTCCAGTGGCTGTTTCTCTTCCAACATTATCATGTTTGGGTGGAACCCTATTCCTCTGTGTTCAGTGGCGTTGAACACCATCTTGATTAGAGTAATAGTGCCATGTATCATCTTTACGATTGATACAATATCATATCATTTGAAGAACTGTTCGGTTAAGCCGTTCAACTTCTTCATTTGAGGAAGGATTGTAGGGAGTTGTGCGGGTTTTGGTGTTCTGAAGTAGTTCACATAACTCTGAGAAAAGTTGATTGCTGAAATTAGTTCCCTGATCTGTGTGGATCTGCAGAGAGCTACCTGATGTTTTTCACTTGGCTGTAAGCTACATTCTGTGCGGATTGAGTAGGAGCTTGGAGTCCAATCTTTTAACTTTGTGTATATTTTGTGCTCACCTAGATGTCCTCCCACATAGTTGTCATGGGCACAGATTAAGGCTATTTCCCTGCAGAAAAAGGAAGTATCACCTGGGGCCACTTGTTGCCCAGCAGGACATGATACAACATACCCTCTTTGAGGGCCAGACATTGCCTCCTTAACCACAAAGCCTTCATAGCATGACTATGTGTAAACAGTTCCTCTTGGAAAGGGGCTTGTCCCTTCCTGTAGCCATGCTTTCACTGGTCCCTCATTTCCTGGTTCACAAGGTCCATCCGACACAACCCATTCATTCAGTTGATCAATTCCTTATATATAGAATAAGGATATTAACTGTCCTGTTGCAGCCTAGAAAAGGTAGAACACAATCACCAGACAAAATGCCAATTTAACGTCATCTCAAATGTAACCTTTTATGAATATTTTTGAGCACAAGATAGAATCAGATGACTCAAAGCGTCCAAGGAAAGAAGGAAGTATTGGTCGTCGAGGTCCTTCTCGTACTCCGATCCATCGTCAAGAGAGTAACACTCAGAATGCAAGAAGGGAAAGTGGGAACAACGAAGCTCTTCAAAACGAAATAGCGGATCTGCAGAAAAAATGTGAAATACTTCAAGATGAAAATAAGTCGTAAGATTATGTTTAAGATGACATAACGACCTCATCATGTCTCTTTGACTTTGTACAGATGTCATTAAAACAGCAGATTAAAAAGATTTGGGGAATTTCAATGTACGAGACATTAATCAATTTCATACGAAGATGTAGTGCATTTGTGAAAACCAGTTACGATATTTATTTCATAACATATATTCATTAAAATACGTAACTCATTTACAATCCAAAAATTCAACTTTAAATTATGTTCATTTTATCAAACATCCACCACACATATATCTAAACTTTTAAGTGTCAAAAGTAATTTCCCTTTGGCATTTATCTGCATTCCTCAAACTGAATTTACTTTCGAAACCTTAAAAATGCAGAACAATAATTTTAGCTGAATATTTATGATCAGTTTGAATTAAGTATTATTAGTGTTTTTGATCATCTTGATTAATCTATCCAGTTTGTCAGATTTTCGAACGAATAGTACAGCGACATTAGACAAAGCAAGAGATGAGGCTGCCAGATACAAGAAACAGATGGAGACCAGTGATGCCAAAGTAGCCAGGTAATGTATAACTTTAGCATGAAAATAGTTTATGTCATTGGTTGAGTTACCATGATTATCTATATAAATACATAAATTTATTGTTGATGATGGGTTTTGCTCTCTCGAGCTTCTTCAGGACTCAACGTAGCTTATCATAAATTTTAATGCGATAAATGCATTACAAACAACGTCTTGATTGTGGATAGGTCTCCTCATCCTTATGTACTTTAGGGATAAAATTTTCAGTGTTAAATCGTGTCATGAAAAAGCCCGAGAGGGCAAATCTGGACTACAGTAATAAATTTAGGAATCATACCGCTTCGCCTGTTGTGATTGGCTTCTACGTTTTAATAGTCTTATTTATGCTCCACTCACCATGCATACTTCCGGGTATCGAGACGAAGAGGACTGAGGAAATATCATCCAACTACTAATACATTTACCTCGTGTTGGCTTCATCTTCTTTGTTTTACTGCATAAATACATATGTATAGTGACAATTTAACTTCATCACTATTACCACATAGAAAGAATTTTGCTGAATAAACTATAGGACGTTATCAGGCAAATGATTCAGCGTTAATCTATTATGTTTACTGTTGTCAACAACTGACATCAGAATTGCAGAATGTACACCTCCCAGAAGTTGTGCATCTTGTGATAATATTTTCCTTCTGCATGACTTTCTTTTCAGAGTTATGCCCCTTCACAGAAACCAATAAGTAAACTGTTAGTTCAGACAGTTTCTCCTAGATTCTAGTGTCTATTTCAACGAAACTTTACACATATTTAAATCATACGGTAACATGTATCTCTTTAGGTTGAATCTTAAAATTCTTTTTATTCTAATCCTTTCTTTTAGAGTTATGTCCCTTTGTTATAAAAGATGCTTAATTGTAGAAATCTTTGTAGGTCGATGTTAATGAATTTTTACACATGTCATAATGAACCTGTTCATTGTGTGTCTGTGGATGATATTTTTACAGTAAGTTACCAGGATTGTCAAAACTTTGTAGGTCGATGTTAATGAATTTTTACACATGTCATAATGAACCTGTTCATTGTGTGTCTGTGGTGTGTCTGTGGATGATATTTTTACAGTAAGTTACCAGGATTGTCAAAACTTTGTAGGTCGATGTTAATGAATTTTTACACATGTCATAATGAACCTGTTCATTGTGTGTCTGTGGATGATATTTTTACAGTAAGTTACCAGGATTGTCAAAACTTTGTAGGTCGATGTTAATGAATTTTTACACATGTCATAATGAACCTGTTCATTGTGTGTCTGTGGATGATATTTTTACAGTAAGTTACCAGGATTGTCAAAACTTTGTAGGTCGATGTTAATGAATTTTTACACATGTCATAATGAACCTGTTCATTGTGTGTCTGTGGATGATATTTTTACAGTAAGTTACCAGGATTGTCAAAACTTTGTAGGTCGATGTTAATGAATTTTTACACATGTCATAATGAACCTGTTCATTGTGTGTCTGTGGATGATATTTTTACAGTAAGTTACCAGGATTGTCAAAACTTTGTAGGTCGATGTTAATGAATTTTTACACATGTCATAATGAACCTGTTCATTGTGTGTCTGTGGATGATATTTTTACAGTAAGTTACCAGGATTGTCAAAACTTTGTAGGTCGATGTTAATGAATTTTTACACATGTCATAATGAACCTGTTCATTGTGTGTCTGTGGATGATATTTTTACAGTAAGTTACCAGGATTGTCAAAACTTTGGTTCACTGATTCATCAAGTTTTCCTTCAGGATGAGATATGTTAACAATTTTCTTCAACTTGTCACAGTTATATATTACCTCTGATTATTTAAAGAATCTTTGGAGTTGGATGTATCTATATTGCTATGAAATGGTATAACTGGCTTTGCACATGTTAAAGCATAATTGACTTTATTCCTGTTTTTTTTCATTAAGTGACCATCAAGAGATTGACAAATGGAAAAGCCAATGCCTAGAATTGTATAGGTCTATGAAAACTGAGCGTCAACAAAGAAATGAACTTCAACGCAGGTAAAATGAAATCATAGACACATATATAGGAAAGAATTGTTGGTGGTATACCTTTTATAAATCTAACACCAGATTTAAACACGCAGTCCTTGAAAAACATTATAAGACATATTCACTAACGTAATTGATTCACGTATTTTCTTTCATTTTTTACCTGAACTTAGTTAATTATGCATTAATTGAATGTATGTTTGATTACTGTACTGTATTTTAGTTACAGATTTTTCTACTCAATTTCCCCCCTTATGTTTCAGTCTGCAACAGAGTAAAGCGAATGAAGATAACTTACACGATCAACATGACAGACTTCAGAAGGAATTATCTGCTGAGAGACAAGCCAAAGATGAGGCACTGATCAGGTATGGTACCAGGTTGGCATGATAGGACACGAATGTAAATGATTTACAAAGATATTGTTTATAACTCATTAAACCGCGTGATGAATTGTATTTTCGCCAACCTCTGTGTATGTAAAATCCGCATTTCTTTTACCCAGTACATATGCATTCACGTTTTTTTCTGTGCGGATGTCGTCCATAAAGCCGAGGTCATTATTAACTTTTCCGGAGCACATGGTCTTATTTTCTTTGTACTTTTTTCTAGAGTCTCCGAATAAACATGTTCTGTTTTTATTTGAGAGGGAACATAAAAAAAAACAGAAAAGAAAAAACCCTGGATAGTGTGATAAATTTTCAACATGATAATTTTCCCCCAAGAGTGCAAGATTCTATGAATATAATATATATTTTTAGAACAAATTGCCTAAATAATCATTTCTTTGTTACTAACTAGTCCAAACTGATGAGAATGTGTCTGTCTTGATTCTCTGCATTTTCCCCTAGTCTTATGACCTTTTCTACATTCTCATTGATATTCCACATGTATGTCGTGAAGGTGACTCCAAAATAATTAAATCATTGTTTTCTCTTTTGTCTTTCCTTTACCCCCACAAAGTATACTGTATGTTACCGTCTACCGTGTGGATTTGATATCAAGTATCATTTTCTTATACATGAGAAAAGTTGGTCTGTTAATCTTTCTCTACAGTATTTTTAATATCATCGCATTTCAAACACTAATCAAACGTTCGATGTCATTGATGCTGTTTTCAGATTCCTTTATTGCTCCATTACGTTGTTTTTGTATTGTACTCTGTACAATTATGCTCCACAAAACCACATTACATGATAACATTTTGTATTTGTATCTTCTATTTAACATAAATATGCTTTATATCGGTAATAGTGCATTGCCAAACTAGTTAACAATGTTGTCATGTTTACAAATACACTCAAATTGCCATTTTTCATCATTTCATGGATCTGTGAATACTTCCTATGACTCAGATGACGATTGCTATACTGAATAACCCCTAGTTATCGCTCAGCCTTTGCGACTTTAGGTTATCATTTTAGATTTTTTTTTATTTGCAGCTATAGTCAGATATATCTTCACAAAACGTATCCTGTCTCATACCAATAGTTAGTGACATCATTTGCATTGAACTACGTATTTTGCCGTAAAATGGCAATTCCAGTCAGTAGTAATGTGGCCCCTCGGACCAACTGTCGTTATAACTTATAAAAAACATAGATCTGTGTTATCTGTGTTATCTGTGTTATAGTCTGCAGCATAGTCAGTCAAAAGAGGAAAGTTTACGTGACACCATAGACAAGCTACAAAGAAAGTTATTATCAGAGAGTGAGGTCAAGGACAAAACATCGATGAGGTAACTTTAATTTCCCTCTCTAAAATCTGTCGTATGTAACCTAGGAATATGGTGACTCTCAGTCTTACATGCACCTGTATCAGACCATTTACCTTAGTGGTTGATGTTTTGACGGAAGAGTGAAGTCAATGCCTAAACGTTTTACTAAGAATCTTGTGAAAACTCCAACCATATTTCCATGATTTTCCTATTACTGATAATGTTTCCAATATATTTGCGTTCATTTTGTCTATATACACACTGACAATATCGCACCCTGTACATGTCTTCCGGACGCTTTGTTCCGAGATTCAGAACCTCTTCTAACTCTAATTGAGCCTTTTCAAGTTGTTGTTAAGTACATATCTCCCAATCATAATAATGTTATTTCAATGGAAAATGGATGTTACATTATCCGAGCTAACATATTTAGAAATGTTCCAGACATCGTGTAAAGTGCAATAGGATAATACTTTATATTGCAAAGAAATGCAACTCCATGTTCCTCTCTCATACAAATGATGAAATATGCAATACTTTTTCTGAGAAGGTACTGACGAGAAAAGAACTCAGACGAGTTAGGTATATGTCGAGAAGTAAGATCGATGCCCCTCAGATCAGTTATTGTATTGTGAAGAACCTGGAGTTGAAGTTGGTTCCAAGTTATTAGTTCTATGCTAGATATCTGTTTAATTAAAAAACCGAACTAGGAACCAGACCTCAATTCTGATGTGGGAATTAGACCCCATCTAAATTTAAATGAAGCACAATAATCTTCAGTGTACACGAATATTTAATAATAATTTTGCATACAGTATAATTCAATATTCATTTCCATTAACCGGTATAAGATAGTGACTGGTGCTCTTGCACTTTAAATTGTAACTAGTCTATTTAAATGGCATGCCTCTCTTACCCTGACTGTAACTTCTTCATTGCTCTAATTCATGCAAAAATATTTCAACTAAATACACTGCACGTGATAAACATATTGTTTATAGATGCATTAAGACAAAAAACGGTGCTCAAGTCTGACTTAATTAGTAATTATTGCACTTAATTATCATGACCTACTTTTCAACAATGGTATATATTTTGGTCATTTTGTCTAATGAAGGTTTTGAAATATATCATCAAATGACATTTAAGAGAAAAAAAACTAAAAACAAAATTTTAGTTTGATAATTATTGCAATAATTGTGAATTTGATCCCCCACTCGTCCCCCTTATAACAATTGAACAGCCTTGAGCTGACCTTAGATTAATGTCATGTCATTACCGCCTGACCTCAAGTTTTTAATAGACAAAAAATAAAAAGTTTTCGTCATGACCATCAGAAGGCCCAAACTGGCACTCCTCCTTTGGCCAAATTAGTTTCATCTCCATGAACTTAATAGTAAGTAATATAGATGAAAATGTCTTTATTCGAACTCAGTGCCGATGTCCGTAACAACTTATCTCACAACAATCCTGCCATCACTGACCTAAGTGACCCCATGCGGCCAATGAAAATTGCCGAGAAAATATCAGAACTGTATGATCGTGAGTGGTCAGATGCATTGGAGATCCTGGAGGATTATATGGATGAACAAAAGGCGATTAAAGTTCTTCTAGATATCGTCGCGGTATGTACACATTTAGTGACACTATCATGACAATTGATGGCACATACACAAGTTAATATATATTTCTTGGTTTTGACAAATTAGACACAGACAAATTTGTGAACAAATTTTTGTATGCAGTACCGCGACGTTCGTCGTCTGTCGACCGTCCGTTCGTCCTTCCATCCTTCAACCATTTGGTAAGATGACTTCTTCTTAACCACTGATTTGATTTCAATCATTTAATTGGAAGAGTCTTCGGATGATGTGGTCTAAAAACTCAAAAAATGGAGGGACCTTCCGAGGGGACTTAAGGGAGTGCCAAAATGGGGAACTTTGTCTCCATTGTTATAAGAGACATTTCAATAAGAATTGTTCATTCGAAATCATTTAAATTTGTTTTCAGGAGGCGGGGATTTATAAATGGTGTAGCTGATCTCTGAGAGTGGTGAGGGGCGGAAAAAAGATTATTTGGTGATAAATGGTTAAAGCAACTTCTTGTTATAAGCCCCTTTGGCACGATGGATGGAATATAGTGAATTTTTTTTTTTTTTTTTTTTTTTTTTTTTTTTTTAAATTGCTGAAAAAAAAATATAAGGATAATATAAATTCTGGTTTGAAGCATCTTGGTTAAAGAGAATTAAATTATCGTATAAATGGTAAATTTTATGCCTCTGTACGGTAAGGTTAAGGGGGGATGGATTGGGTGAGGGAGGGGGACGGGGCCGAATGTGTGATTGTTTTTAGAATCATTCTAAAGGACTGACAGGATATTTTCCGGTCCGAAGCATCATTGGCTGAGAGTGCCATCCTATAGGGCCAGGGAAGCTGGTTCCGATATGGATTTTATGATTACTTCTTTACAATCCCTCTTTTTTCTAACGAAATGGAAATATAATGTCTATATTTGGCATCCATGGGGAAGGAGAGTCAATTATATATCAGCTATGAAACTGACATGCCAGGGATCATATGGATGGGTTTATCAAGGGAAATGCAGTTAGTTCTTTGACAGACCTCTTCTGTTTGAATATATTCATTTTGACTGAACACAATCAGAAACATCCTTGATTGAATGGGATTTTCTTTTGTTAATTTAGTGACTCTGATCTCCTTTGTGCAGAGAAAGCAGGGCCTAATAGTAAAATCTTTAAGATACTTTCAGGCAAACCAAACCAGGTTAGCGTTGCGTGCCCTATAGACACAGTTGATCTATTTCCCACATGACAGAGTTAGTACATTATTCTTTGTTTAAGGATGTGTTTACAACATTTGAGGATATTGGCGATTCTCAGGCAGACTTCATATCTTCCCTGGAACTGCCCCTCGCTGTACCAGACATCGATGACCTCCAGGATACCGCCAGGTCGTCTCTTCTGGTAACAATTCATGAATTTCACATTTATGTATTGCATAGCCATGCACCAACAGAAATGGAATGGTAGACTAGTTGTTGTGGCAATTTTTTGGGCAAACTGCCCATATTTCTGGATAGAAGTAAGCAAATATGGAATAAAGTACTAGATATAAGACAGAAACAACTACACAGGATGTATATTGATAAAGAAAAAGGGTGACCACTAAAATACATCTACATATGGGTTCAAGGCCAAGGTCCCTTCAGTCAGCTGTTGGCAAATGATGATACAATAAGCAAAACTGTGATTATTTTTAAGAGCCATTTTATACATTTTAATATTCAGTTATGAACATTAAATTTTGAAAAATATCTTGTTGCTAAAAAAGTAGCAAAAGTCGGTTCGTTCCTCTTTCTCATCGACATCATTATCAAAAGGATATGAACAAGATTATGGTTAATATATACATATATCTTTAATTATGGTAACAACAAATAAAAAAGCATTGTAAATTATAAGGAAACATCTTGACAGGGCGTCAGTTGAATTTGAGAAGGCATTTGGATCAAAATTACATTTAAACTACTGTTCATATAACGATGTGTTTAAGGAAAACGGGATGTTGCCAGCGCTACCAAGGGAAGTCATCAGACAATTGAGGCACTATCGTCTAGCAAACTGTCAAGCTGTTTGTCCCCTGTTGTATGAAGTAAGTGATTTGAGGACATTTAGTCCACTATTGATGTGGTGCGCGACATGTCGAAGTTAGTAAACTCTTATGTGATCTGTCACAGTTAGCCACTATCGATGTAGTATGTGATCTGTCAGTTAGTCCACAATCGATGTAGTATGTGATCTGTCACAGTTAGTCCACTATCGATGTAGTAAGTGATCTGTCACAGTTAGTCCACTATCGATGTAGTATGTGATCTGTCAAAGTTAGTCCACTATCGATGTAGTATGTGATCTGTCACAGTTAGTCCACTATCGATGTAGTATGTGATCTGTCACATTTAGTCCACTATCGATGTAGTATGTGATCTGTCACAGTCCACTATCGATGTAGTATATAATATGTCACAATTAGTCCACTATCGATGTAGTATTTGATCTGTCACAGTTAGTCCACTATCGATGTAGTATAACTATCGATGTATGTCACAATTAGTCCACTATCGATGTAGTATGTGATCTGTCACAGTCCATTATCTGTCACAGTTATCTGTCACAGTTAGTCAACTATCGATGTAGTATGTGATCTGTCACAGTTAGTCACATTTATCGATGTAGTATGTGATCTGTCACAGTCCATTATCGATGTAGTATGTGATCTGTCACAGTCCATTATCGATGTAGTATGTGATCTGTCACAGTCCATTATCGATGTAGTATGTGATCTGTCACAGTCCACTATCGATGTAGTATGTTATCTGTCACAATTAGTCCTCTATCGATGTAGTATGTGATCTGTCACATTTAGTCCACTATCGATGTAGTATGTGATCTGTCACAGTTAGTCAACTATCGATGTAGTATGTTATCTGTCGCAGTTAGTCCACTATCGATGTAGTATGTGATCTGTCACAGTCCATTATCGATGTAGTATGTGATCTGTCACAGTCCATTATCGATGTAGTATGTGATCTGTCACATTTAGTCCACTATCGATGTAGTATGTGATCTGTCACAGTTAGTCCACTATCGATGTAGTATGTGATCTGTCACAGTTAGTCCACTATCGATGTAGTATTTGATCTGTCACAGTTAGTCCACTATCGATGTAGTATGTGATCTGTCACAGTTAGTCCACTATCGATGTAGTATGTAATCTGTCACAGTTAGTCCACTATCGATATCATATGTAATCTGTCACAGTCCACTATCGATGTAGTATGTGATCTGTCACATTTAGTCCACTATCGATGTAGTTTGTGATATGTTACAGTTAGTCCACTATCGATATCATATGTAATCTGTCGCAGTCCACTATCGATGTAGTATGTTATCTGTCGCAGTTAGTCCACAATCGATACTATCGATGTAGTATGTGATCTGTCACAGTTAGTCAACTATCGATGTAGTATGTTATCTGTCACAGTTAGTCCAGTATCGATGTAGTGTGTGATCTGTCAGAGTTAGTCCACTATCGATGTAGTATGTGATCTGTCACAATTAGTCCACTATCGATGTGGTATATGATCTGTCACAATTATTCCACTATCGATGTGGTATGTGATCTGTCACATTTAGTCCACTATCGATGTAGTATGTGATCTGTCACATTAAGTCAGTTGTTGGTTGAGGTACAGGATCATTAATACAGGTTGCAAACCGTTAATGGAAGTTAGAGATCATTTGTACAATTAGACAGTCATTGGTTGCTGCAAAGGATCGTTCATAAATGTACAGATAACTCACTATAATAGGAGATCTTTCATACGGGTAGCCCACTGGCGATTGAGGTTTTATTATCGTTCATACTTTTAAACATCTGTTTTGGAGGTAAGTTTTCTATCATACTCAGCCATTGTTTTTTAGACGATGTACAGTTTATAAAGTTAGCTCTCTAGGAAGTGATCATGCATATTGTAAAATTGAGGTAAGGTATTTATTACAGTTAGGGCACAGTTGGTTTAAATTGCTGTTTGAAGAAACGTATACATATATATCACAGTTAGCTAACTATTGGTTGAGTTAAAAGATCGTACAAACGGTAGTCCATTGTTGGCAATATACTTTTCCCAGTTAATCCACTGTTACTTGAGGTAAAGTATGAACCGAGTGTTGATTAATGCAAGGGGTCGTACATGCAGTTGTTATACCACTGTTATCTGAAGTAGGGAAGCGTTCATGTGGTACCCCATTTTTGATTGATGTAAGATGTCAGGGGAATGTTTTTAGCTCTTTTGTTTGAGTCTTTAAGTCTATGTAGGTGTCCGGATAAGATGTTAAAGGATCTGTTGTTTCTGGTAAGGAAGCTGTACGTGTATTCTGAAATACGATGGCCTTGTTGCTAGCAAATCAGCAAGCTTGTTCATTTCCGCACAACGCTTAAATCGGCACATCCTAGGGGATGTCCTCATTTGCCTGTAAATATTGTACTTCATGATTGAGATTTCTTCTTGTTGATAGGTTACTCATTGAATTCTCCTCGGTAACATGTTTAGAACAAATTTAAAAGGGACATTTGGGCATCATGTTTTACAAAGCACATTCATCAAATAGCAGAGTGTTATACTTAAAGATATCAAATGTCAGACGTTACCTTCTTTGACAGGTCATGAAGTCAAGGCTACAAAGCGTATACCGAATGGATGGTAAAATAATTGAAGCTTGTAAAGACTTCATTGAATACACTGTCAAGTACATCTGGATGATGCGAGTGCAAGATCCACCTCTTCACATCAAATGGGAATTTTTTCATGGAGAGAAATTTGACCACGACCGCCTAAGGACTTACACAAAAGGTGGAGATAGTTTAAACTATATGGTATGGCCCATCCTGTACCTTTACAAAGGTGGACCCATACTAGCCAAGGGGGTAGCTCAAGGCATGAGCACCAAACCAAAATAAGTAAAGATCTGGTGTTTTTTTATGGAATTCACTTAAAATGTAGATAAGAATATTCTTACTACAGTCGCTTGTCTTTAGGTTCAAATAATCTTTCGTGTCATTCAAGGTTTGGTGTTACCAATACAAAACCATGGGCTGTTTTTCATCCATGTCAAAATAGCTTGTTGCATATGAATTTGAATTGTTTGCTTTTAAAAGAAATATACTTTTGTCTTCTTATCGTATTCAAAATTTTACAACAAAGTTTTAATTTGTAGTCTTAAACTATAAGTGTGTAATTTACACTTAGATTCTGATTAACGCCGCAATGTCATTCAGTGAATTTGTCGGTTATGCATGATGTTGAGTAAAGTGTAACGATTACACAAACACTTCAGAACTATAAATTTATTAATCAGAAAAAAATGTATTTAAATGAGGTTTGAAGAAATCTTCATTACTAAATAATGACTGTTAATTAGTAATTAACTAAATAGAAGAATAAACATTATACCAGTGCTTTACACGTATAAAATCATACTGGATATAGCTTGCTTTTTCTTGTTATATCAATATTGGAGTTGAGTAGTGATGTCATAAAGTTAATAAACGACATCTTGAATCGAACCGACAATCGCACTCCGTGTACACAGGCCGATGCTGCTGCAATATGTCGATTGTCTTACGTTTCTATAGTTCTTATTGTGTATTCACTCTATCGACCCTTGACATAACTAACATGAACAATGTAACATAACAGCTGTGTAATATCTATTGTAAAATTATTTTTGTTTATAAATCCGTCATTACAAAAAAAAAATCAAATGTGTTTCGTAAAATCGTCTGGTTAAAACAAATTCTAGCAATTCATATTCAAATTCTCTCTAAATTCAAACTCAAGTGCAATAAAAAACCAATGACATATATGTAGAAGAAATATTTAAACGGAGACCCCTTAAATCGTAATAGAATGATAAGACCAGGGTTTCCTGAATGTAAAGTTTCTGCAGCTTCATCGACAATACCCATCATATTAACCTTGGTCGCTCCAAAGTGATATCCCGTTCCCAAGTAGGAACAATGTAAACAGAAATGAAGGAAAATCACAAATGATGCTGTCTAGAATTGGAATGATAGTCTTGCTCGTCATACAGTTCGTTGGGAAACAGTTCATGTTAGTTACATTGCAGAAAAAGTTCGCGGTAAGAGGCTGATGTACAAGCGTCTGTTGTGTCCTTGATTTCTTATTCCAGTCTGGTGGTTACGTCAGATGGACATGGTCAAAGGATGACTCGCTATTAAAGCACGAGTCCACCTATCTATCTTAATGTGAAATCGCCCGACTGCAATGTCTTTGTAGCCTGTTTTGATATGTTCGTCGATACAATCAGCATCGCATGTCAGATAAGAGTTTGATCCTAAGCATGGCATAAGTCTTGCCATCGCAATTAACAATAACATAGACATGGAATATCAACTATATCGTGTTCGTATTGTTCACGGCATACGTTCTTATGGAAGACTTTTTAATGTCGGGATTTTCAGGATTGGTCAAAAGCTTTTTGGAGACATTTAATATTTACATACCGTTCAATCCATTCGCGAGTATCATATTACGAGTGAAATCCTGATTTGATAGTACTAAGATTGGCAGCAATAAAACGCTCTTGATAAGGATATTACATAATACATAGGTAGGGTCTCCTTCGTTCTTTTTGAATGCAGGATATGTACTAATGTCTGTAAATAGTTTATAGGATACCTTATCTGCAGGTATAATGACATATTTATCATTCAAATTGCAAATGTATTTATGAGATAAAATAAAGGAATACAGACCTTTTGTTTGTTTTCAAGTTATATTTCAGACTGTTTATTTTTATAGGAATGATTAGCCGAATTGGAGTTAATCCGCTCTGAAAGTGAATCCGATCCATTGTGTTCTCTTTTCAGCCTCTTTCTGTCATAGCTTTTCACAGAATCCACAAGTACCTTAAACTCAATATTCCATTTCATGGTAATGTTTTACGATATCTAGATCCTAGGAACTATGCGTCCAGGCCCCACTTGTATAAAAGATCTCAACTTGAGATTTCCTCAAGTCGAGATTTTCCTCAGCTGATATCTCCTCAAAAACGGCATGTATAAAATTTTCTCAAGGAAGAGGAGGAAGGCATCGGCTAGGATGTCCTGAAATTCCTTGAGGAATTTTCATACAACATATTTTCAAGGTTCAAGTTGAAATGTTTTATACAAGTGGGGCCAGATGATATATAGTTATAAGAGGAAGAAATGGTTCCAAGTCATCTACATTCATCTCTTGCAGCATTTGCTTGTGATTGAAAAGTTAAGAATGAAGGGTTCTTATGTAACTAGGTATGACGGGTATTTCTTATTCGAAGTTGGGTGGTACGACAAACCTTTGGACAGGTAGCAAATCTACAAAAAAGAACACCCCATGTAATCCTACTAAAAAAACTTATTTTGAATTAAATATATATATATCATATATACATCTCTTTTGCCAACATTTGCCATGGTTATAACTGAAACAGTTAAGAACATGTATTGAATAGGGAGTACCATTACCCTTCGTTATGAGTGTACTATAATGTACTTCTAATACCAGTCTCAGTTATCTACTGCTTCAACGACACATCTGCCTTTCCGTTGCGCCCAGTTGTGTGATGCACATCCGTTTCGCACTAAATCAACCATTTCCTTCCGATGGCATTTTCTTTGACCAACTGATGATCATCTCACCGAACATCTTAACGCGTACGTTAAATTCCCGAAAGATTGAATGTCTTTCTGTCACGAAACTGTTAGTGAAACTGCCTTGAGTAAACGTTTACATTGTTAAAAGCAATCAGGAAAACTTTGTTTTATTTTCATTTAAGTCATATGTGTAATATTACAGTAACATTACAAAACTTATTTTGAATTAAATATATATATATACAGGTCAATATATAATGTTGTTCTTTCTGGACATAAATTTGCACTTTACCATAGGTAATATGGGTTACTTTAACACCATGGTTATAACTTGCATCCGATTACATAAATATTGAAAACCATGTATTGAATACTGTATTAGGTCAGCTATAAACACATTGTATTTTAAATTACTAGGCCTTCGTTATGATTGGTTGATAACAAATGGGGATATTTTACAACGAAATACGATATATCATTACATCTACATCAACAACTAATCAAGTAATGTTAACATCCGAGATTTGATATTAGTAAAACCAAATAAATACGATGAAATATTTAGTAAAAATCAAATGCCTATTTGTTTACAGAGCTCTGAAATATCAGATAATGTCGATATTGATTAAACTCGATTGAAATGCGCAGGCTATGTCCATTTTTCTGTGGTGAATCGATCATCGGAAATTGAGCTTATGTATTGAGAAAGTCAAACTTGGACTTGAACGATTGGCCGGATTGGTTGTCTTTTGCTTCTACAGAACATTCTGTGCCTCCAAAAGTGAGGCTGACGTCAATTTTTTGGGAAATATTCAGGTCAGTTTCGCGTGTCAGAATAACTTCCCCTAGTAAATTGCAGCCTTCCTCCGTAACAAATATCGGATCTGCCGCAGTTGATCTGTAAACACGAACGCGATTGGTTGAGCAGCCTCTTCCTGCACTACAAGACATCGTCTGTTTGTGGTCCACATCTACAGATTCACCACACTCGACAAACTTGTAAAACATGTCTGTGCAAATAACACCATTTTGTGTGGCTTTCCTTTTCTCTATGGGATGATGTCCTTCGATAAATGGTTTGCTGATTGCTATACCGTACGTAAATTTCGCAACCCGGGCACTGATTGTTTCAGGGTTGTGACCAAATATCACTGCTCCTTTTAAGACAGCCAATCCACATTCGGGTGGAACAATAACCTTCATTCGAGGAAATTTCCTTTTAATGGTTTCCTGCACGATCGGGGATTCAGAAAATCCACCAACGAGAAGAAAGGTAGATGTTCCCCTAACCTCAGGCCTTGCGAGTATGCATCGGATATGATCTTCAAGATGGACTAATGGATCCCGAAACATGCCCTGTATCAGGTTAGGTCTGATTCTGATCTTGTCAGCGGTGGAGGTGACGTCTTCGCTGTAAGTAGAATCGGCAAGAGCCTCAGGGATTTTCTTATTTTTCATCTTTTCGAACAAGTCTGTAAGAGCAAGAGGAAGCTTGAAGTTCACGCTGCTTTCCATTTTTTCTTTGACACTCCTCTTTTTTACCTCAAACTCACGAAGAAGATCTATGTAGTCTCCCGCGTGTTTGACACGAAATGTGTCCATGACGTCATCTCCTAAAATCGCGCATAGTAGTCGAATGAAGGAGGCGTCGACTTTCGTCCCACCCCAGGCGCCCCCGGAAGCTTTGTGAAGCTCGCGTAACTTGCCATTATCTGTCACCTGATGTACATTGATGTCTGCTGTTCCTCCTAAACAGAATATGATATCATTATCGCGTTATTATTCGTGATCAAGAGAAATGCGATCATATTGCTTCAACTGATCTTTATTTTTGCACAATGAACGTGCATTTTTTGCAGTATGATCCATTTTCAATCTTTCCGTTTTGAACATTACAATCTACATCGATATTTCCTGTCCAAAAGAACAGTGTATGAAAACAACAGATTCAAGTACAATAGTTTGGTTACTTTGTTACATGTCACGTATAAACAACACATTTTCTCTGATCAAACGACCCCAGTAAAATGATAAACATTTATCTAGTTCTGAAAATTCTTAATCAGCATTAAACTGGCACAGATGATTTTGATATATGAAGAAAGCCGTGAAATTTGGAAATAAAGATCTAACATAATACCATGGATTATTATCATGTAACCTTACGTGATATTAGTAATGGTAAAGGTAGCAGAGTGCTTATTTCGTCTGCGTCAATCATTTTTACTTGCGTCAAAAGTCGAAGGATATTTTCTTGTAAAAAAATTATAATAAAGCAATCCTATCAGTCGGGAAAGACATATTTGTAACTGATAATTTATTCTTATCTGCCATTCATTAATCATATACTACAATGGTGACTACACTCTTTGTTTGAAATGGGACAATGTGCCGGCAACTCACCTCCAAGGTCAATGACCATGTATTTTGATCCAGACTTGAATATATCGGAGCCTTTAGCGTCTGGTAGATAACGACAACACACTGATGCTGCTTCTGGCTCCAGAGCTATCAGCAATTGGTCGTTCATGATTTCTGCCTGGTAGAGACAAGAAGATGTAATTTATCGTAGAGCGCTGAAACTGATACCTTGAACTAGCCACTCTTCATTCATGTCAATGATATTTCAGCATCATACATATATTCAAACTTAATACCGTTTTATGTGAAAGTTAAATTAACATCTGACATAATCAAGTACCATCTAATATCTCAAGTACTCAAGGTTTCCAAGTAACCTGCATACGACGGTTCAAAATGTACATGTTCCGTTGTTGTTTACCTTGTTCTCATTTGAGAACGTGACATTACTTGGATTGGCCAAAGTTTACATGGCGGGTGTCGTCGATGAAGTAGAAGACACTTACTCGTCCAGAGGACTTGGTCTTATTCTCCTTGTACTTTTTTCAGACATTTCCGTATTTATCTTTCTTTTGTTTTTATTTTGCCCTAGTTTTATGGAATTTGGGTTTGAATTATGATTATGTTGCCATGTTGGTCATTTCATGATGTTTTATGTACCTGAGTTTATATTTAATCATCTTATATTAAAAAGTGTGAAATCAATACAATAATGGGGCTAGATTTCCCGCGAATTTTGATTTTCCCAAGTCGCATGCTAGATTTAAACATTTTGATAACCCGTTGTATAGCGTAGCATTGGCCAGCTCCAGAAAGGTGAAACAGCCATATGATACGGTATCTAAATTAAAACTTGAATCGAAGGGTACACATCTCTTGTCTTCTCTTCTACAATTTTCTAGAAATTAGTAAGGATGTCCAGTACAAAATAGTCACGTAATTTGTTTTGCTTTGATTATTTGTTATACAAGGGCAATAACTCCATCATTCTGGACAGCAATGCAAGCTACACATGTGTTTGATAACTGTATGTATAATTACAACTATTCACATGATTCATTTATTCGCTTACACTAGTTCATCAAATAAATACAGTTCAATAAAATTTTATGTATATTATGTAAATGGTTTAGTCGATAAAATGATTAATTACTAATTTTCTAAACCAAACGTAACAGTAAGCAAATGTTTTTGAGTGTTAGGTAGAGGTTGTGTCATTTCTGTTTTAGTGAACAATATCATACACTTTCAAAGAATCTTTGGTTTGCCTGGAACAAATGGTTGTAGCACATTTCTTACATTAACCATACATCATGTTCTTTATGTACCTTTTGGGCAGCTTCCCTCATGAATTGTTTTGCGGCATCTGACCAGATGGCGGGTACTGTAAGAACCCACCGTATCTCCCACTCCTCAACACTTATCCCGCGGGTATTTATCAGGTCTTCAGCATGTGTTTTCAGAAATCGAATGCCGGCTGCAAACACCGTTTTGGCTTTCATGGTTTTCCCAGTTTCATCCTCTATAACGGTGTCTCTGTTCAGATCCTGCGCTCAATTTATAATCAAATCAAGTTTAATCAAAATTTAAAGTCAGACTTGATAAAGTCGTACGAGTATTGCTTTACAACATGGTGTTCTATACTTATCCAAATATTATCACGATAACATCGATTAAGAATGTTTGAAAGAAAGAATTTCAATATTATGGACAGCTTATATATTCGTCTAATTAGTCAAGACTGGAAAACTAAAATTATAATGCGTGATGATTCCTTTAACCATGTTTACTTCAACATCCAAACCTAACAACAGTGTTATTTTGAAGAAAATTGGAAGTTATTTTTACCTGTATGTTTTGAACTCACCGGATGTTTGTGCAACGACATCTTGAATTGCTTGAAAAAGTGGTAATCGCGGTGAACGTTATCTAGGGCGAGATTCGAGTACTTATCCTCAGCCTCGTAACCAAAATTAAGAAATTTTTGGTCTTTGTCAAACAGAATACTGGTAGGACACTTCATCGACATCAGGCCTGCTGTACCAGCTATCCAATTCGTGTTGGACGAAATTTTCATCGGATCCTTAAATAATATAGAAATCGTAAATTCTAATGCAATGCGGAAACCCTTCAATAGTTATATTCAAATTGCCGGTATCATTTCGTAACATCACTGTGCCTCCTTCATCAAGCTATTCAAGCTATGTTTCTTTGTATGCTTGTTTGCATGAGCAGGTATCTGCAATCAACATCATCTCAATGATTTGTAAAGCTACATTGTCTGTTATCCAAAGCGACGTACAAAGCATATGTCATATTACTGTCTGCAGATTAAAAAGGTATCTTCATTTCTATGAATACTATCCATATTAACACCGCGTTAATGGGAATTCGTAATGCAAAATGTAAATATACACATGTAATCAGGTAAACTGTACATTTCATGATTCGGCACATTTATTTTTTCTTGAAAAAAAAAACAAACAAACTCGTGCTCACTTCAAGGTATCGAAAATTTGATGTAAACCTGTATCTCGAACATCCTGTCTTAAGTTCCTTTAGATTCCGGTTGATATACAGACCTTATCGTAAGTCTTTATTTCTAATAGAAATATCAAGTATTAAGTATATAGACGATAGATCTAACTTCGAAGTAAATACTTCGTCTACAATATATTGAACCCTGTTCACTGACAACCCTTTCAATGAGAAATGAAGTGGCATTTACTTATGAAATAGTTACATATCCAGAATAAAAAGACACATTGATAATTTAATTTTGCTTGTGGTGTATCGCTTTAGCTGCTAAATATCTCACCTTTTCATTGTCGTAGGTCGAGGAGAACGCGTACCCTGAATATGTGGTACCGAAGTCAATAGCCACAACGACCTCAAAGCTGGACGTCATCTTACCCTGTCAAACTACTGAAGCTTCGATACAGAATGCAAACAAATCTGGATCATTTTAATATAATAGCAATTAGCAAACAAATAAATGTTATAAGTAATATAATGTGTCATTGCAGCCTTCTTCGAGCCATTCAGAAATGGGTTTTCGTTGTGAGAGATGATATGCCTAAACAAGACAAAAGACAATTAAATCACTGGTCAATTTTTCATTTGCCATATTGTTTTCAGAAATCTTTGGCCATTTACATAAGTTATTATTTGTCTATGATCTAATTTTTTCGGTACGTTTTTCCGTAAATGGATCATCTCGTTTTCTTTTTAATATCTAAGTAATTTTAAAGAATAATCTATTCATAAGAAACTGTTGATATGATAATGAACTAGTAACTATTTGTACCCCTTTTATATAAAATGACTGTTTGATATTAAATTACTTCAGCAGATGTTTCCATCATTTGATGACAGAATAGCGAAAGTACAAAATAGGCGGAACAACGGTATATTAGGTATACGTGTATAGACACGTTTAATCGACATATAGTACACTTTAAATGCGCTTGTCCTACTTTCGGTTTGCATATAGATATCACGCACTTCTTCATCCCATTAGTCAGTGGGATGTACATTTTGACTGCATCGTTAATATATCTAGGATTGTTACTGCACATGGCAACACCTTTCGGTAATCAAAAATTCTATCAGCCTTCACCTGTGTATTAGAGTCGAATTAGTAAATCTACTTTCGTTTTAGGTAATCATAAACCGCCCGACAGTTTTTTTTTTTTTATGTAGAGATGTTTTAAAGCCATAATACCTAAATTATTGTTATTTTTCATAATGAAAACCAGAACATTTCATATTATTTCTGAATGGTTTCAAACAAATATGATGCATGTAAATAAACACGATACAGTCAACCAACGAAGACAGTAAACAAATCCGGATGTCGGATGCGAATGTCTAAGCTTACGTAAGAAGACTTTGATGAACTTGTGATGTATGCCCTACCAAAAGATCATTACTTTGTAAGGATAACACTGAGTTTAGCTGTCTGTACCTACCGGCGTCACTCGATCGTGAGTGCTGAAGCTACGGTTTACACAACAGCTGCCACACCTTCACCTATGCGAGGCCCGTGTTGACAATTCCAAGAAATACAGGTCACGAGGGTACGGAAACCGGGTAGTGTCAAATACGCAATGATAAAGACGACGTATGTTTGTGTATTTGTTGCTATTAAACATTCGGTGTAACGGATTGTGAATTTAGCATCGATCATCGATATGCACGTATCTAGCTATTTTTACTGATTTTTTTTTATCAATAATTAGGTCAATGACCTTGACATGTAAGATAAAGGCCTTTTTGTGAGGAACACCTTTGAGATCTTGCATGGTAAGCGGTATTTGTAAACAGATATCGATACAATATTTGATAGAATTGTACCGAAAAATGTCCTGCATTGCTCAGCTTAATAAAAAACTGAAAATGAAATTTAGAAAAAAATCTTATTGACCAAATTGTCTTCTAACTAATTATCATATGACTAAAAATATATAAAGCTAAGTTTGTTTGAATGATCATGGTAGCTGTTTTTCACTTAACATTAACACCGCACGTTTTTATTCAAAATGCAGATGCTAATAGCCCAATTGAGAGAAAGGAAGACTTCTATATTCACCAATTTAGATGAAGATAATGGAACACATATGAGAGATTCTGCTCATTCGGGATTAAAGATATATCCTGTATCTTGTTTAGATCGAGATATAAAGCAGTCTACGTGGATATTATCTATCACATGAAAATACAGACTACATAGAAGGCTTGCTGGTATCAAGGATAAACAGTGATTATCGTCTAGGTAAACATCGCATCGAAAAAACTGAATAAAGATTTCATAATGCGGCATATGGTGAACGGTCACGTATTTGTTGTCTAGGAAGTTGCTTTGGTGAGAAGAAAATAAAATATGCCGAGTGTTGGATGTGGGAGCCTCAGTAATATTTCTAGTCAGGGACTATGAAATTATGTAAATAGAATATTGGATGGCATCAAACAATTTAAGAACAAATATTGATGGAACGTGCGATGTTTCTCATGGCAATTTACTAAAACGAAACTCTTACGTCAATTTGCTTCAATATAAACTCTGTTGAAATGCATACAGGCCATAAGTTTGTCAAAACACGTTGAAAGCCCGACTAACTCTATAGAACTGAACATGTCAGAAACTTTGTGTTCACCAATTCTTGTGCCTCCACAAATGCTGAAGAAAAAACACCAAGCAAGGCGGAGAATATTAAATACTAACGTTGCAAAATCGCTGCGGAAGTGACTAAATTTTGAAGAAAGCGCGAGGATTAGCTTTGAAGATGGCCTGATGTCCTAATCATTGATGGAACCCCATACAAAAAGTGAAGACGTTACCAAATAGTACCACCGTAAAAACCGCCAACGAATCATCAAACAGTTCCAAGAATGAAGTAAGGTTGGACGTCATTAAACCCTGAAGTTTACTGTCAGCACCAGGAACAAGAACTCATGTCAGTTAGATGGAGACAGTGGCTGTTATGTTGTCGCAAGTCGTTTTAATGGAACGCTGTTTATACACTTAACAATTTACGAGAAAAGAAAGGGCAACACCATGTACAAAAAAGGGTATAACACTTGACTTAAAGAAATGGCTGAAACTTCACTCTTGGCATCATGATGCTGTTGATGATGTCGTCGAGGTGTACAATGTTGACGCTAGGGATGTCGATATGATGATACAAACAGGCAGGGTCATTTCCTGGTCCATAAAAATTGTATCAGATCGTTAAAAATTCGAAGGGGAGTTTAAGACAGGTCTGGCTCGTATCAGATAATTGTAGCCGGGACAAGATGCCTATACTTTAAAAAGACACGTGCGAAGGAGAACGTGGACTGGACAGTCACTGGGACGATGACTTAATGGACGTAAGGATATTTTCACGTTTCCTGTTTACGACGCCATTGAAGCGAAAGACGGCAGAAGAAATTATTAAAGGCTTAAAGACCGTATCTGTCAAGGGGAGAAAACCAAATCTAGTTCGGTTTGACAAAGAGTTTCGGACCGTCCTCGTTCAGGAATATTTAAGATCTATTAATGTGCACGTCATTTTCACAAACGTGTCTACAACAGCTTACCATACTGAGAGAAGTATCAATACTCTGAAGAACGGAATGTTTAGAATGCTTATATTCAGTAATTCTTACCAATACATTGATCAGTTAGAAAACATAACCAGGAGCATCAACAACGCACCATCAATACCGCTCGGTGGTATTTCCCCCGTAGAAGTAAACAAAAACAACGAAGACGAAGTCAGACAGCTGATTTAGTTTATCCAAGCCATCACAAGAAAACCTAAACCAAATAAAAACAAAACAAAAAACAACAACAACAAAGGAGCTCCAAATGAAAATCAAAAGAGAAGAAATCGTGTGGAAAGTTCCCGTTTTCTGGCAACATTTGCCCAAAAAGTTCAATTCCTGGATAAAAATTTCTGATGTACAAACGACATCAATGATCAGACAATTAAAATGCACTTTTTTGTGTGTACTGTAATGTATGTGTAGCAAGGTAAAATTATCAAATTTATTTCATCTAAACATAATCGGTTGATCATAAAAACGCGTCCGTGTATTATGTCCCATGTTGTGATTTTACGTTTACATGTGTGTGTTTGTGATCGTAAGGTATGTGTGTAACGTTGGTGTCCTAGGGTGTGGTTGTTATTGGGTCAGGTATGTAAGATTGTCTAGATGGTTTGATTGGTTGGATCTATTGGTAAGTTTCGCGCGTCTTCGGCGGTTTTTGTCTAAATATCTACATTCATTTGAATAGTTTGAACTGTTTCTCGTAGTGTGAAAATGCTCTAATCAAATATGAGTTTTAAGGAACTGAAACAAAGTATTTTTCAGAAATCGTCATAAGAATATCGATTGATTTTAAAGATTTATCAACTGCTCTGTGCCATACACAGGTATCATTCTAGATGTATTTGAGTTTCCTTTGTGAAGGTATTTCTTTTAATAAAAGGGTTTTGATACATGTTATTTAAAATAAATGATTAATTATTTTAAGTAATATCAATTTGAAACATGTAATTGCATCGTTAAATACGATAAGTAATAATGTGACATTTTGTGGTAGAGTTTTATATGGATTTCTGTAGGAGTTGTCTCCCTTACACTGGAAGTTTGAATAAATGTTTATGTATGTATTTTAGATCCAACCTGTAGCATGTTTTTCTATTTGTTTTATGATTGTGTCATGTGATTCTAATGTGACTTAATTTAGATGACAAAGAAAGAAAATCAGCTGTCGTTATTATAAAGAAATAACACCCTGCTCTAAATGTGACGAAAAGCTGGCCTATAATGTGTCATTTATCATTATAAAAGTGTGTCATCTTCAGTCATTCATCTTTTAATAAACAGTTAGGGAAGGAAAAAGTAATGATATGCAGGTCGAGTTATTTTGATGGTTGTTTGTCACAAGACATGCCAAACACCAAGTGGTATATCAAATTTGAATTCTGTTTACGAAGGGTACACTCTACACATGAAGTTCATAAAATGTGTGGGAGTACTCGCTTTAGTTATTCTCGCGATGACGTCACTAGTACTAACCGGAAAAATGATCGGAGAACAGGGACCATCAGTTACGTCTAATTGTTAAAAGATCGTAGCAAGTATATTACGCATTTCAAGGAGTTTGCGCCTCCAGAAATCAATACCACGCTGTGTAGCTATATCAGGCAGCAGGAGTTACCAAGCGGATGCTAGGTATCTGTGCATCAGTACCAAGGACGTGTAGCAGTTGACTTGAAAAAAAATCCTCAATGGTAAAGTACCCCCAAACGTGGTATCGCTCTGATCATCCAAAAGTGGATTCATTGACAGCGTATCTCTGGTCACATTAACAATTCCGTGTAATCATTTGATGAAGAAGACAACATGGATGTTTTT